ATAATAAAAAAACATAATTTTTGAAGAATAAAAAAAAAAAAAAAAAAAAAAGAAAAAAAAAAAAGGGGGGGGGGGGTTTTAAAAAAAACCCCCCCCCCCCCCCACCCATATGATTAACTATAACTAAACTTTTTCAAAAATGAAAAAAAAAGAGAAATTGTCAGAATTGCAAAGAAAACAAATAAAATTCATGAGATACTCTTAAACAATTGCCAATCAACCTAAAATCATTTATGAAAGAAAGAAAATGATAAAAAGAGATGAGAAGAGCGCGAGGTTATCGATTGTTGCATTGAGTTTTTTCCGTCATTCTCTCTCTCTCTCTATCCCTCTCTCTTTCTTTCTCCCTCTTTTTGCCTCTCTCTATTACTCTGATAACACATATATTCCTCTTTTTATCAAAAATTATTAAGAAAATATAGAGAATGAACAACAGTTTCAATACGGCATATCCATCTGTGCAACCGTTCTCACGTATCGATTAAAAGAAAAAAAATGTTTGAACAAGTTTCACGTGGCAGCTATCACGTGAACTTCTTACTCTCTTATGCTAATTATGCTCAAAAATCATTTGGAAATGTAAATACTCACTACAATCAAACTCATGAAGCTACATACTTTATAACTTTAACAATCTTTTCTTTTTTTCAAAAAATTGAATAAAATGGTATAGGAGAGAGCAATCAGACGCTTTTCGTACCATATTTGCTGTAACGATGAACAGGTCACAGTTTCAAGACGAGGGCTGAATGTGATTAGGATGATTTCATGAAAAACCGTCATGTGTATTGCTCTCCAGATAAGGAGTTCTGCAAACAGATTGCAAATGGTCCTTCCAGCTTCTATTGGCGATTATACTCAAATAATAAGAATCATATAAAAACATTTCAAACAATATCTTTTCTCTTGGGAGCAGCAATCAAGAAGTTATTCAAACACAATGAGAATCATACTTGCTAATTATCAATTAATGGACTTCCGTATTCCTGCTAAGGGAGTTTACATGAAAAAAAAAGTTAAGTAGGAAGAGAGGTACATTGTCAGACAGTAAGTGCAAAGCTGAATTATGGTTTTCAGTATTCAGCATTCTCTGCTGAAGTTTACCGGCTGTTTTTTTCTCCTTATTTTCAGATCCTGTTGTCCCTCCCACTTTTCTACACCCGGGTTTGATCTGCTTCCAAACAGGCAGCAATGTTCATGCTCATTGTAACAATTATTTTCTCTGATGTTTAATATCTCTCGAGGTTGCATAAATCATTCTCTTTTTGTTCATCATAATGATAACGTATGAGCTCCCGTTTGCTTAGATGACGAAGATTTGCGAAGACGTGGATGATATCTCAAAAAATATATTTATTGCTATTGTTTGTATGGTAAAATGTTTGTTTGGCATATTAGCCATATTTAACCTTATTCGGCACATTTATAAAACTGTAAGTATTTTTAAGTTTTTACATATACATATCATACCACCCCCATTAGAAGCTGAAATGGTTAGGACATCCTAATGCTAAATGCATCTTCGTAGCTCATATTGGTGCAACAGTCTTCTCAACATTCTTTTCCAGTTACATGTATATGCATGACTTCGTAAGGTTTGTGAGAGCTTACCAACCTTGAATTGAAATTCATTTTTTGTTTATTTTTTTTCAGACTTTTTGTGTATTCTACAAAAAATCCGTGTGATCGTGAAATAGGTGCTTGGTGGGCATTTCATTCTCTCTCCATGTACGGATGTGGAGATTGTTGTCAGGTACATGTCAATACATGGGTTGTTCAAGAATAAGATGAAATATTTCTGAAAAAAATAAATATAATGTTACTGTATGACGTTGACTTTCGAACTTTCGTTAGAGGCAGTTAACCAGAAAACAAAACAAAAATAGTATTTGGCAGTAATGTCTGATCGAAAAAAAGGTGTGAAAAACACAAAATTATGTTTAAGCTATATACTTATCATACGTATTCTGACGAATTTGACAAAAGTTTTATTTTTTTATTTCAGCTTTTAACATTGTTTTCACTATCACTTGAACGTTTATTAGCTTCTATCATACCAGCATCTTATGAGAAAATCAAGACTAATACACTTGGATTATGCATATCCATTATGAGCGTACATATGATTGTAAGAAATTATTTATCAAAAAAATTATTATTCAAGGTTTTAATTGGATTCGGAATGTTTTATTATTTATTATATTATGAAGTTGATCTTATTGGCACGGTTCCTGTCTTTACTGTTGTAGGACCAACCAATAGAGCTCGATATCTGGTAACGTCTTTGAATATCCATATTAGAAAATTGAATAAGCAAATATATAGTCAGCTAGTAACTGTTACAGATATTCAAATGGACTGAATTTTCTTTTGAAATCAGTTCATTAAGCTTATTTCTCATTATCTTTTTCTATAATCGTAGTAGCTTGAACAAGCGATTTCTATCAAGTCTAGGAAGTAATTATCAGCGTCTCGAAAATATGTAAGTTTATTCAAAGTTTTATACTTCTTTTGATCATATAAAGGAGGAAGAAATATGAAACAGAAGTCAGTTTAATCATGTTTATTGGAACTTTTTCAGGAAAATCGTTGAGTTATTATGGCCAGTTTTCGTAATACAATTCATAATTTATACCTGTAATCACTTTGGTTTCAGCTTAATAGCGGTAAGAAAACAATTTCTTGAGAATCAGGAGGCTGAAGTCGTTGCTACAACAAAGGCGTCGACGATCAGACAGAAATATTTAACTATTATTTAATCATTTGATATTTTTCATTATTACAGACCGATGATCTGACGGCTGCTGATTTTTATTTACGTGGAGAATATATTTCTTGGACTTGCATGTATGGTGTTGCTATGCCGCTGATTCTGAATAAAACGATCGAACGTCGAAACAAGCGCCAAATTGAAAGTACTACTGTTCAAAGTAAAAACGTGTTTGTTCCTATTGATCAATTGTTTCACCAAAAGCCCAACAGAATCTGATTATCTTCAAGACTGTTTATACTTTAGATTTTTCAATTGAACAACATCTAGTGATACACTGGAATTGAGTATAATTGTATTATGTGTATGATGGACTCATCTTGTTATTTGTTTTTTTTATTATTTTAAAAAATGAACTATATAATTTGAATATGTTGATTGTCATTGAGATTCAGTTCATCTGATTCATGTGGCTTATATACAGAACGGTTGCTTTCATTGTTCGCTCGTTCGAAGTGCACTTCCGAGACAATCAGTGTTACTCTTCAATTGCTGTTCAAACGATGACCAATGAAGAGAGAGAGAGAAATAGATAGATAGAGAGAATATCTTCAATAATAACTTATAAGCTTTGCCGTACATTTAGAAGTTTAAAAAAAGTTGAGAAAAATTGGAATGTATTGAGAAATGACAGCAGACATAAATCATAAAAATGATTTATTTTCCGTTCGAAAGCTTGTCGAAGTCTTGTTTCCTCTAAAAATTATTTATAAGTATTATGAATTGTAAAAAGAAAATAATAATTTTTTTCCTTATATATTTATGATATATGAATGATATGAATAGATTATGTACCTGTCTTGATTCTTCGGTTATCTTCTGATCCAATACATTCTTAACTGTCGTCACGGATTCTGCTAACTTTCTGATGGCCATTTTACATTCATCTACGTCACGACGAAGAATCTGAAACAGAATCATGGAATATTTATATGAAACTTGATATGCAAATTAAGAATAAATGAATTTCATTATTACCGCATCATCCGGCATTTGATGTTGTTTCATCTGAAGACGTTGAAATGCTTCTTGAAGCTCTTTGATCGCCAAATATCTAAGATTAAAAGAAAAATGAATGACGAAAGTTCAGGCAGATTATTCACAAATTACCTTTCTTCTTCTTCTTTGTCAATTCGGGCATTCAATTGATGCTTCAGATTATCCGCTTTAGCCGACAACTCATTTAACTAAAATAATATTTTTATGAAAATTCATTGGAACAACCCTTGGACTTAGCTAGTTCTCTCTTCATCTCTCTTATCTCACTCACTCTCACTTTGTTAGTCAGGAGTTTCAAAGGGAGAAATGTGAATAATGTTCTTGGATGAACTTACATCTTGGGGAATCTGCTTTTCAACTTTGTCCCTGATTCGTTCTTGTGTTCTTTCTAACTCGTCCTTAAAAATGAAAAATAAAAAGAAAAGGTCAAACATCCATCAAACCTGTACGCTGTCTAACTTTATCATTTGCGCTTTCAATTTATTCGTGTGCTCATTCTCTTCCATATTAACCATTTTCTGAGCCAGATCTCGTTTGTCATGATATAGACCTTGAGATACGACAACGTGAATGGAGAAAGTAAATCATACTTACCTGTCTGAACTCGAGTCATTTTTTCTTCTAACTTCAGAAGACCTTCCATACTGAGCTTATTCTTGTCAGCAGCAATAGCTTCCATCTCTCGACGTAACTGAAGGAGTGACATAAATTTCTTTCAGGGAATTTCATTTGAAGAAGCTTAAAACAGGAAGAAGTTCCTAATTAAATTCTTCAGAACGCACTGTCAATATTGAAATGGAAAGTGGGACAAAAAAAGAAGAGGAAAGAGAGAGAGAGAAGTAGAAAGGAGGGAGGAGATTAAAATTAAAATTCCGTGAGTAACATGGATTTTGTTGAAGAACAAAACCTCGGTATGGTACATTGGGATTCAGCTGCTTCTCTTTTTATTTCATTTCTTTCGCTCCATCTGTCCGGCTTTTTGTGTTTCCGAGCATAATCTCTCTCTCTGCCTTTCTCTCTCTATCCGTCCCTCCCACCATAACCTCCCCTTCTTTTTCCTTTTTTTATTTTTTTTTCTAAAGACTAACACTTAGACGTCATCAATACGATGGATGTACGAAAAGTTCAAATTGATTTATTTTTCTTTTTTTTGTGGTTGAACATGTCGTCACAGACAGACCGCATGCGCATTGCATTTTCTTAAAAAGATTGATTATGAGTAGCTTAGACGGAAGTCATTTTTACGGATGAGTAGATTAGAAAAATGAGATTCAGAAGGGCGTCAAATATTTCACACGACATTCAGAATGCCGTTTTCAACGACGTTGACGATGAACTGAACGTCACAAAGCTTTAGTTGGGCTTAATGAGCACATGATAGACCAGAGACTAAAGCGGGGTAGCCAGAAGCAAAAAAAATGTCTTTTTTTTTATGACACACTATCAGAGAATGTTCATTGACTCGGACATTCGATAGGTTTTTGCAAAATTAATTTACAACTTTACATTATTTTTATTTGAAAATCTGTCCACTAGTTGAGATAGACTATGTATTGTGTGGAAGCTAATTGAATTTGGAAACAAATTTTTTTTTATTTGTATGATAGGAAGAGAAGAACAACAAAAAAGGGAAAAAAGTACCTTCAGTATTCCCATTCCGCCAATTAAAGCACACATAATTATGGAATAATAGAATATTTGAGTTTATACTTAAAATAGAATGAAATAAATAGATTAAAGTGATGATGATGATGATGATGAGGAGATGAAGAAGAATAAAACGTTCGAAAATGCCAAGAAAACGGGGAGGAACCTTGGGAGGGAGGGTAAACCCAAAATGAACGTGTAGTTAACTAAGATTAGAAGCTTCTTCATTTCTCTCTGACTCTCTCTCAATAGCATTCTCCTTCTTAGTCCCTCATAAATTTCCATCACCCCAATTCTGCCAGAGATGATCTTCTTCTTAAGCATTGAACCAATATACCATCATTCTTTTCTTACTCTCAAACCCTTTTTTTATCATAACACCCACAATCCTATCTTACTGCCCGAATTAGAGAAGTTAACAATATGAATTTGTGTTATAGAATCTTTCATGGATAACAAGCTTACCGCATCAATATCAAGTGCAGGCATCTTTCCGGTTCCTTTTCCAGAAATAACATCTTCAATTGAACGGCTCATTCCACCCATATAATTATTAATTTTTTCCTCAATCTCTTGCATTTTTGACAATAGTCCTTTCTCATGCAATTTTCTGGAATATTAATAAACGTTTATATATTGTTTTTCTTAAAACTAAAAGCGTACCTCGACTGAATTTCGGCATTCATAATTTTGTCCATTTTCTTGTTTCCTAATTCTAGATGATGTTCTAAAGCAGCTAATGCTTCATTAACTTTCTGAAAACGGTCCTTCTGTTTAGCTCTGTCCACCTGAAAATTTTTATTCATTTCATAAAACGAAAACAAAAATACTAAAACTAGCATAAGAGCTGTTCTACCTGAATCATTTTATTCAATGTCTCTATTTGATCTGTTTGAGAGCCAAGCATCAAATCTATTTTTTTTCTCGATTCACGATCCAATTCATTTAAATTTTCATTTTGAGATCGAAGAGCCTAGAATATTTCCACATCACTTGCCATAAAAGGTATTAAACTGACGGATTCAAGGGATAGAAACTTATTTGAAAATTCATCACGAATCCTGGAGGTACTTTCAGTCATATTCTTTGTTACTTCATTGGTGATCAAATTGATTTTCTCATTCAGCCGTTTAGCTTCTTCCGTTAGCTTCTCCTAATGTGAGAAAGTGTATGAGCCATACTTTTAGAAAATAAAAATATATACTTTGTCTGAATCTCCCTTTTTTGACAAATTGTTGAGAATATCAGTTTTGCTACGGTCTTGCTGACGGATTATCTCTTGTAGTCGATGGATACTGTAAACAGAGGAGGTCATATCTGTTTAAGAAGCAAAGCTCAGACTTGTCTCCAAACAGCTTGGCTTCTCGATTTCTTTCAGTTTTTTCATGTTCTAATTGCTGTTTCAATTGCATGATATTGCTGTGCAAATCACGTATTTTATTATCCAATTGCTGATTGGAACTGGCTATTTTCTGAAAATAATTATTCAAAATTAAAGTTAATTATTGGGATCAGAAAACATTTGGATCAACTGTGGGTCGACTTTTCATTTCATTATTAATATGAATGAGATCTTGTAGTTGACGATCTAAGGTTGTTCGTAGGCTTCCAATATCATTGCTCATCGCCATCACCTGGAAGATTTATTTACTTCAAATGGAGGAAGCATTTAATTTAAATATTTACTTTTCCATCTACGGACATTACTTGACGTCGTAAATCATCAACATCTCGACTTCTGAAAGAAAAAAAATTGGCCACCATAGTAAAGTGTTCCCTTCTTCAAGCTCAATTCCGCTTTGTCAATGAAGTAAAAATTAAGAGGAATTCGTATATATTCTTAAAATAATTACCCGTTGTTGCCTGTGGTCATCACTTGACGTTGGAGAACATCATGATTAGCTTCTAGACGACGGCGAGCCGCCTAAAAATCAATTATAATTTTAAAGAAATTTAAGAATTAATCAAAATGAGGTTCAGTGAGGATTAGAAAAAAAAGGTCAAAAAAGGTAAACAAATTGTCCAAAAACCTGTTCAGCAGCTAAAAGTTCTTTGTTATGACGTTGAAGTTCGCTTAGTTGAGATTGAAGGTTTTGAATGGCAGAATTATCGGGACGACGATCCACGATAACAGATGACGAACGTTGATTCAAATCAACAGCCTATGGAAGATGTGAGACAGTTTTTTTTTTCTCTTTTTTCTGTATATTCTTTGATCAAAACATGTGACAATAGATAATAAGTAGAGGGTAAAAAGGGTATTTCCGGAAAAGGGAGAACTGCAAACTACACACTTTGATACCTTAGACGAGGAAGACGCTGTTGAGGAGCGCGTTCTAACATCCATAGAATTAGATCGCTAACAAAATAATAATTTCATTCACGTATCTTATTTTTTTTCAAAATCATTAAGCTGAATACCTTAACTCCTTCCTTCGGAGGACGAGGTCCCTGTCCTGATGGTCTGTAACATGGAATAGCTATTGTGGTTTCGTCCGTATATATTTGAATGCTTTAAAGAAGCATTAGTAACTCACGCTAAACCTAGAATGATATCTTTCGCTGTATCTCGGGCTGCTCGACTTCTTCTTGAAGACATTCCTTCACACCTATCAGATGACAATTTTTAAAATCAAACAACGATAAGATCTTATGTTTTTAATACAAATATACTTCAAACACGACAATTCGTTATGAATTTCAAAATGACTTTCACGTTTCTAAGCGACCTTTGGAGGTGAACAAAAGCCACGAATATCCAATAAATGACTTTCAACCAAATATTTCAGAATATTAGTTGTTGAAGAAGAGGAAACATATTATGGGAATATACTTCAGAATTTGTACAGCCAATCTCAGCTATTTGTCAAAAAAAAATATATAGAACGACATTTTTACTAGGAAATTGAAACTCTGCTATCGATAGAATTACTGTTCTCATGATGCTCAATGATCTCAGCGGATATAGCATGAATCCCAAGTTCATAGGCTTTATCCTGAATATAAAAAATAAAATTAATAAAAAATATTCGATGTATTTACATGAAATTCTTTTTCCACTTGTTTTTCGCGGGTCATCTCATGAACGCTCATCTCGTCTATGATTCGTTTCTGGAAACGATAAGTGTTCATGGAGAGATACAATAGGTATACTAACCGTTTGCTTCACGAGGCGTTTGTAATGTTTCTCCCCAGGAAGAGTAAACAGCAATTTGAATTTTCTTTGTTGAACAGCTTGAACCTGGAAATCGGATAAAACAAAATACTAGACGATATCAAAGTTATACTATAATGGGCTCTGTTTCAACACGTTTATCTAGCCAACGTTTCAATAGCAGCATGTTGTGAATCATACTTTCATGAATTCTCTGAAAACGATATGTGAAGCTGCCAAGTCGATTTCTGTACGTACATGAGTCTCCTCGTGTGGATGCCGTGTATTGTTTGTGATTGTCGCGAGCTTCTTAGCATGACTTAATCGACCATCATTCAGCACACGGTAGGTCTGAACAAAGATTGTTTTTGAGAATATAGTCGATGTAATGACTGAGAAAGATTTCTGAAACGTACAACTTGCATTCGTTCTTCAGATGACATATTGTGATGGACAACATGATGAGGATGATTACTAGGCTGAGCATCTAAAGAATTTTTACTTAATAGTGTGTAAAAACTTTTTGAAATAAACTAACTGTTGATGATGAGATTGTCGGAGAAATGAATGAGAAGACTCCAGATGAAAATAAAAATCATTTTTGTTACTTTTTTTCGAATCAATATGGCTTGCGTTGAAAGAAGAAAAAATAGAGGACGTTACGAGGGAAGGAGGACAGTATCTTTCTATTCCCAACACACCCACAGCTATCTATTAATAGTATTGTTCACCGTTGGGTCAGTTTTTACAACAAAGTGTCTGTGGTGTTGCAGATCATAGAAAATGTGAGAAACTGGAAAGTCAGTTTGTTGATGAAACTGGAAAGAAATCATTTTTATGAGCGTGATAACAAACTAATTACATTTGACACTTTTTTTTTCAACTAAATCAGACGAGTGTTTGATTTTTGGGAAATGCTCTTTACTCCAACAGTAATGGTCTTGGTCGTCAATGAAGACAATGTGACATTGAGATCATAAAGCAGTAACAAAAAAGAAAAGAGAAAGTATGTTTCTTTTTTAAAGTTCTTTTGTTAGAATAACCTTGTAGGTCCTGCCTACGGCCATATACCCAAGTCGATCGTGTAATTAGAATAATTTTATTTCACGCCGACCACGTGAAATTTTTATTTTCTTGTTATTCACGTTTCAGAAGCGGTTGCATTCATAGAACAGGTACGTTTTCCCATTTCATCGCACTACACATAGAAGATAATTAAAAATTCATTTTCGAGAAAAATCTTTCACAGTAAAAATACCCATGTAAGTTGTGAAACTTGGAGACTTAGATATTTAAAATTCCACAAGCGCGCTGAGATTAATAGCCACGCCCGTTTTCGTGGAAACGTGCATTTGGAGGAGGCATACCATAACCTGGAAGATAATTATGCATTGGCATAGGTTGACGTCCGTGGCTTCGAGATCTTCTTCGACTAGGGGCAGCTCCGTCTTTCTTCTCCCTTCTTTCGCCGTCACTTGAAAAAGGCTCTCGAAGAAGTTTATCGGACCGACGACCACGTGATGATTTTTTGACTATGGGCATGTTGGAATCCATACTGAACTCTTCCTGAGGTGACATTGTTCGATATCTGGTTGGACGGTCATCAGCCCAGAGTAGCTCTGGAGCTTCTCTGGAAGATGGATCAGCGTCAATTGAGCTACTGGATAAGTTGGGCATTTCAAAGCTGCTCTCCACAACCTTGGGTTGAACTAGTTGAGCCTCTTCTAACCTTCTCTTCAAATCGAAAACTTGATGGAAGCTCTTATGTTCTAATTTAGCGAACTCGGCTCGAACTTTTTTAAGTTCAGAATCAAGCTGAAGAATATATGTAAGTATAACAATAAAAAAGAATTAGAGAAAACCTCTTTGATTTTATCTTCCTTCTGACGTTTCTCTTCCTGTAAATCGAGCATATTCTCCCTGAGTCGTTGCAGATCATCTCTCAACTTATCACATGTCTAAAAAGGTTTTTTCAAATAAAATAAAGAAAATTTAAACATACAGCTTCGGTGTCTTTCAACTTCGAAGCGTTAGAGTCAATTATTGACAAGAGTTTGTTGGCACGTTCGTCAGCACCAATTCTTTCAGCATCTCGTTGTTCGACTTCTTTACTCTTTCTTACTAGATCTTTCTGAGCTATGGCATACAAATCTTCAATCTTATTTTTCTCTTCCACAACTCTTTCGAATTGTTGTCTGAGAATGGAAAAGTTAAATAAAAACTTTCTGATGTAAGAAATTACTTGAGCGAGTGGCACTCCTGCTCTAGCTTAGTCTGTTGAGCTCTCATCTTGATCAACTCCCTGATGTCTCCAGCTGGAGGAGTTGACTTTTCCTTTTCAACCTTCTCTTCATAATCTGGCTCGTCACCAAAATCAGACCAACCACCTGAACCACCTGATTCTATAACTAAATTATTTTTATTTTTCTCTCAGAAGAGAGTTGCCTGTAGCATCTGCTTCCGCCTTTCTGGTTGGCTCGTCAATACTGAACATTTCAGAGGCAACTTTAAGCTCTGATTGCAATTGCTCATTTGCAGCAACTAATCTAGATTCATTCCGTTGCAAGTTGTAAATCTCAGTTTCCTTTTGACGCACTTCTTCTACAGAACTTTCATAGTCTGAGACCACCTTCTTTAACTTTTCGCGTTCAGCTGGAAATCAACAATAAAAGACGATCAAACATCGATATCTTACAAATTAGATCTCTTTCTACCCTCTCCAAAGCATTCCTAGTCTCTTTGAGCTCCTTGTTTGCTTTCTCGAACTCTGATGAAACTTCTCGAACACGAGATTCCGCTAACTCCGCATTACTTTCATACTGCGTGATCTGGAAGAGAAAGAGTAATAGGTAAAATCGCCAGGTATTACTCACATGTTCTCTGAGCTTATCTAATGACTTTTGCAGGGATTCTTTCTCTGAGGATTCTCGAGAGAGATCAGTTTGGAGCTGTGTCAGTCTATAAACGCAAATGATACATTTCAACAACATTGTAAATACCGTTGATTCAACTGTGTTCTTTCAAACTTCAAAGGCTCTAGTTCTAAGCGTAATGCTGAGAGTTCATTAAGGTGTTCTTGGCTTCTGCTAGAATTAGTTCCCGCTCTAAAGTATTGAACTATAGAAACTAAATGACAACTGGAAAACCTTTGAAGCTCCTCATCTTTCTGTCTCAGTTGCTCTTGAAGCATTTTACACTTTGTAGCCAAGTCATGAGCGACACTAAAAAAAAGTTCATATGAAATTTCTATGTTACTTACTTTCGATCGAAATAGAGAGAATCTCCATTGTCCGAGAGGAAGTAAGAAACAAGATAAATGGTGAAGGCAGTTACGACAAAAAGAACATTCAACAGAAGACCGACACCTAAAAAAAAATGTTCAAATTTGAAAAGGCTTGAATCACTCACCAGCATCACTCAAGTCACCCACGGGAAGGATTGTTCGCACAACATTTAGCACATATTTTTGACAGAAATAAGAAAACATATTTGGCTCAGCTATAGAAAAAATTTAAATATTTTTTTCAAAACTTTGCTAAGTTACCGTTCATAACAGGTGCCTCCGGTACTGGATCGAATTTATCAGAAAAGCCTTCTTCGAATGGGTTGGCTCGCAGAGGATCTTCAGGCTCAACAGCAGAAGGCGGAGTTGAAATTATTTTCTGGCAATCGTCACCATCACATACGCCCTGTAAGTCTTCCTCGATGGTAGGTGGGACAGTGGAAGCTGGAGGAGGAACTGTTGATGCTTCAAGTGTTGGAAGTATGGTCGAAGGCTCCAGAGGAGGAGGGACCGATGAAACCTCAACAGGGGGAGGAACAGTGGGAACCTCAACTTCAGGACGAATAGTTGAAGCTTCCAGTGGAGGTGAAACAGTAGAAGGCTCTGCTGGGACCGGTACAGGCACTGTAGTGGGCTTAATATTGATGTGTGAAGGTACCATTGACTCTAGTGTTAGTGGAGGAAGAGTAACAGTTTCCACGATCTGAAGCAAAGAATTATTCAAAAACAAATGAAGTGACTCACTTGTTGCAGTATAGCTTCTGGCACGGCTTCTGGTATGGCTTCTGGCACAGCTTCATGTATAGCTTCTGGTACAGCCTCAGGTATAGCTTCTGGCACAACCTCTGGCGCATCTTCAGGTACAGGTTCGGGCACTGGTTCAGGAACAGGTTCAGGTACAGCTTTGGGAAGAGTTTCATGTTGAGCATCAGTATCAGGCAGAACAGGTTCAGTAGGGAAGGGATCTTCTGGAATTACTTCAGCTGGTGGAATAACAGCTTGAGCTTGGTTCTCCATATTCTGAAAGAGATTTTATTTAATTTTAAAGCAAAGTTAAAATACCTCAGCAAGCATTCGGTCTCGTTGAATCATTTCTTCAAGCTCTCTCTCAATCTCAGCATCATGCTAGACAGAAAAAAATAAAAGACTCAATTAAAACCGAAATAAACCTTCAGCTTTTCCAGCTCAGCATCGCTCACATCTTTGACAGAAAGTCCTTCTGTTTCAGAAGTGATTATGATCTCTTTCGGCTCATCGTTTATATCCACTTGAACAGCGGCATCTTTGACAGGGAGCTCAGATAATTTCTGAGGAACTTCTTCCTTCTCCTTGATAGGGACTTCCACCTTTAGTTTTGTTGGTACTTTATTGACGAGGGGTATATTTACCTTAACTGCAGGTGGCGTCACAACTTCAACTACCGGAACTTTTGCGTGAACCAGCGGTTTTTCAGTCTTCACTTCTACTTTTGGAGTTTCAGCTGTTTTAGGAGCTTCGTGAGTATGGCCATGAGCATCATGTGAGTGTCCGTGTGCGTCATGAGAATGATCGTGAGTGTCATGAGAGTGTCCGTGAGCACCATGACTATGTCCATGTGCTCCGTGGCTATGTCCGTGACCAGGAGCAGGTTTGACTGGAACTGGCATCTCTTCGGGGGTTGGTAAGTTCTGTTCAACAGCATATACTTTAGCCTGAACACACTTATAAAAAGGCGACCAAAAGTATGGAGTTACCTGGACATTATAATCTCTGACTAAATCTGAATCAGCTCGGAGCACATCTTAATTGAATGTTTGAGAGTAAGAAGCAAAAAACATAACTTACTAATAACTTTTGGAGAAGTGGTCGTATGATCCTGGACTACCTGTTGAAGAGTTTTCTTCGAGGTTATAGCCTCTCTCAAGAACTCAACATAAGGTCCTTTGTCTAAAGCACTGTAGAAAACAATTCCCCGCTTCTGTGGCTCTCCTTTAATCTGAAATGAAAAAAACTATGTGCTCGAAGAGCTTCATAAACGAACACGTCCTTCCATGATATCGACTCTATCACTGAATTTTATGGCGGTAACCTCAAACCAAACATTTTCTTGAACCTCTAAGAACGAGGGGTGAGTTGAAGGAATAGATCTAACAACTTTGGAAGTGAACAAAACATCTGAAAGGAAATCCATATGAGCTGGACAACTAAGTTAAGGTAACGTACTATTACAACTCTCATCTCCGCATAACTTAGTTTTTTGTACAACAACAGCTTGTCTAGCCGTAACAAAAGTAATCGTTAATAAATAAATCTAAAACAGCATAAAATCAAAGCAAAAAAGGTAATGACTTACAAAAAGCGGTATCAGATCTTTCGTTACACGCATTGTTGTCTTGTGACAAAATGATGTAAAATTAGAAAATACTACTATGACTATAACAAATCAAGCTTCTTAATTGTTCTGAAAACATTGAATTCGTTAAAAACACGCAAATAAAAACAAATAACAAGTCAAGAATCTTCATAAGGTAACGTATTTGTATGGCTGGAACTGCGCTATATCTATACGCAACGTGTACCGAACGAACGGTTACTTCGTTGGAAAAATTTAATGATTTCTTCATAGCGGTTGTTCAAGCTCATTTTTGCTATGAAAATCCTGTTTGTGAGTGATGATAGTGTATTAATATGCTGATATGTGATACAAACTAGTTTAAAATATAAATTATTTATTAAACTTCTTTCTTTTTCATAATTTTCTTTGATATATCGCATGCACAACATGAATGAAAGATAAAAAAATAAATAAATAAACGGCAATAAAACTAAAACGATTGTTCTTCTCAAATCAGTTCCTCTTTTGTCTTCTTATATAAGTCTTTAACAATACCAAAGAGGGATATCCCAAAAGAAAAGTCTGAGCGATCCACTTCATCTTGCTATCCGTGCTTAAATTTGTTTCATTTTCAGATTAACAAACAATTGATTTAGATTCGTTACCTCATTCTTACTCTCTTCGAAATGTAGAAGGCATAAAGAGCTTCTCCAAGATGAGCGATAAGGGCTAAAAGGTTCGTAGCTTGTGCAACAACAGGGTACGCCGTAACGAAGTTAGCAATTGGTGATCCGATTACAGGTATAAAGCTTAAAACTTGTGGAGCAAACCATGCAAGCTTAAGAGCAATAAATGAGAACTTGTAAATTCCTACGAAAAACATACATAATTGATTAGAAGGCCAAGAGGAATAATAAGCCACCAATGAGCTGCGGGACTAACAAAGTAGTGAGAAACAGGCTTTTTAGCAGTTCTAACCATTTTCGAGCTGGAAAAAAAATATTTTACTCAGTTGTAATTGAAAAAAAAGAACAGATATCATAAGACACTATTTAAGGAATGATGATTACTATATTAAGAAATGAAGATAATCGCTACGTGGTCTGTACGAACGGTTAGATCGTAGGATAGAAATGATATAAGACATTCGTGAGATTGAAAACATCAGATATGAAAAGAATGATGATTAAATAACAGTTTATTAAAGATTTATTAACAATGATAGAAAACAAGATACCATTAAACTATAATTGTGAGCTATGTACAAATTTAAAACTTCCTTTTTTGGTCTTCAAGAAGCTGTTAGCATTCTTTGTTCTCGTTTTTCAAATGGCTAATTAACATCGTAAGTGATGGATAGCCAAGCAAAAAAGTTTGAAGAAACCATTTGAAGCTACAAGCCAAGCTGAAATGAGTTTTTGAGTTACAGATTTTAATGATATTCCACCTAAAGCGAGCAGAATCACAGAATGTCATGACGTATATAGCTTCCGCAAGATGTGTACCCAAGAATATCACATTCGATATGAACGCTAAAACAGGATATTGTAACCCGAACGAAGCAGCTTTTTCTCCGATAATGGGAAGCAGTGGATGAGCGAGGACAACTGGATTCCACCAGATGTACTGGAATTAGTAAAAGCTCAGAACTGAAGTTGGGATATGCAAATTTACAAAGTTGAATAGCATAGCTAAGGGGATTATCATCCACCACCCAATACATGGACATTCATAATAATCAGGCGGTGTTGGCAGCAGCTTTCGCTCACTATTCGTATTACTGGGATCATATTTGATTCCAAGGTATTCTCTCAAAGTTCGACCAACATTTATCGACATTAATCTGAGATATTCAATAATCACAATGCTCAAGTCGGCACCTATCTTACCCTTTGAAGAGAACAGTCAAAGTCACATAGCTTGGAACAAAAGATAAAACTTTTTCTTTTAAAATATCATCTACCATCCTACGAGAGCATGAATCTATGCTCATGAAGGGAAACCAACTGTAAAGTAAAAAAGTTTGTTTTATGTTAGATTCTGCAGATTAGGTAATTGATTAGTGTTTGTTGAAAAAAAACAATTTCTAAAGGAAGAACTCACGTGCAAGTTGGTCGTAGGCCTGCGTTGCACACCATCGGTGTTCTCGCAAAGTAAGGACATAACTTAAAATGAAAAAAATCAATGGGGAGTTATTGTGTTTTGGAGGTAATAGTGTGTTTTTTTTGAAAATAAGGCCAGGCAACCGCTTTCTGGTGAGCAAAACTAATAAATAAAAACATCATCAGCGTTCACGTGAAATACACGTTAACATTGAAATGAGACACAAAACAATTTTTTGAAGAAACTAACCGTTGTGCATTTGATTCCCTCCAGTCCCATATCTCGTAATTCCATTTGCAAGCATTCCATGACACCTCGAACAGCGAACTTACTGGGACTTAACAAACATATAACTTGAATGGAGATTTGAAAAAAGATTCAACATACCAATAAGCTAATCCATATGTTTCACCATAGAAACCTGCAATTGAAGCCACGGAAACTATTTGACCATCATTCCTTTTTTCCATTTCCCCGAGAAATGCTCGGATAGTCTTAAGTTATCATAATGAGATATCAACTGGTGCCACCAATATTACATTGACAGTTCCAATAACATTGACATCAAAGGATCTTTTTAACTCTTCACTTGAGAGATCCATAAAAAACTTGAAAGCAAGTACTGCCGCATTACAAATCACAATATCCACATTACCTTCAAAATTGAGTTATTGAACGGGAAATTGTTAAAATATTATATTTGTTACCATATATAGATTCTATTCGCTTAGCTATCTCATTCATATTCTCTACACTACTAATGTCACATTGAAACGCGATTGCATTTCCTCCTTGATCAATGATGCCTTTGACCGCTTCTTCAACAGATTTCTGAACAATTGAAAAGCTTGTTGCAAAAGTAATATCATAGTATTCTTACTAAGTTAACATCTAAGCAAGCTACATTTGCTCCATAATGTAGGGAAAACAGTTCCGCCATTCGTTTACCGAGTCCTGATCCGGCTCCGGTGATGACAATTGTTTTTCCTCTGACATCCTTAATACAAACTTGACAGACGAAAATCAAGATATGAAACCTTTTGTTTCAATGTTAACCATCGAAATAAATCTTTAGGAATATCAATGAGTAGTAAATGGACAATAGCACCAAGAGTTGAAAGAATTTTAAATTCCCATTTGTTATACATACCACGTGAGATCTAAAAACGAATAATGAAATAGGGGAATGAACTGTTGCTTAAATATATGAATCTTCTTACAAGATGTCTGTTAGAATAACAAGGACGATTTCGCAAAGGAAGAGCATTATCATCGTTATATAAACCCATTTTTAGTAATGTAAGTTGGTAACTAATACTAGTATTTTGCAAGTAAAAAAAAATCGAAGAAGCGAGAAGAATGTGAGGAAAGTCCGGAGAATTGAGAGTGAAAGGTAGCGCTTATCATATTTTCAAATCTTGGAATAATGATATCATAAGAGAAAATGGGAACAACAAAATTAAGATGTTAAAGATCAGAATGAAACGAAGTGCATAATTGCAAAGACATAGAAAACTATATTCTATAAGCTATTTAGTGAAAGGAGAAGATAACTTTCTTTTGCGAGAAATCTGTTGGAAGTCAAAGGACAAGGATGACAAAAAAAGACAGTTGTAAACGTAGTTGACCCATTTTCAACAAATCTCATAGGCATAGATTACCAGACTGAAGCTTCCCAACAGTTTTGGGCTTGTTTCTGATGAATCGAACATCACAATGATTAGTATTGATCTAGAAGAGAGGGGATAACGTTCGAACATCTTCGAACAGCATCAATAGTCCAATAGTCCGTCAAGGCCGATTTTCATTTTAAACAGGTCACCAACAGTCAAATCTCACATTTTAGGACAATTTTATACTTGGCAACTATAATCCCTTATGTTTTCTCTATGCAGTCAGGATGACAGTCAATCAAATTGATTATTTCCTGTAATCTCCGGATTCTTTTATGATACCCAAAGTGCAGTTTTCATGTTCTTTTTCTATAGTCGAAATGAACTTTCTTACACCGCAATTTGGTTGATATCACAAGAAGTAACTGAAATATCTCATACCTGCATATCTTGGTCTCTTGTCAAAACTGTTAAAATGTTGATTTGAAGTTCAGACTGCTTTTTCTTGTGACAATGAAGTATATTTTATCAGCGAAGAGAAATACAAGGTTATACCACGCAAAAGTAAAATGTTTTCATTTGTTTTTTTTTGACGGGGCACAACCGCTAACTCAATCTGTTAAGTAAAAATAAAAAGTGCACGCTTTCATTTTCTCAAGAACAACTCGGTTAGCGGTCTGTAGATATGAAAGTTCATATCAACGGAAGACCAGTTGATTTCAATGGAGTGGGATTCAAAGAAATTCTAAATTTGAAAACAATTCAAGAATGACGTAGTTCTGGAGTAGCCCAAGTTACGAAATCATTGAACATCGAAACACAGCCGTATAAAGGTAAAGGATAGTTCAACTACACTGTGGGCAGATTGTGATAGAATTATATTCACTATTTAAACTTCTAAGGGATTATGGTATTGTAACTATATGAGTTTTAGAATATTTCTTTACTGTCTTCGCTGACACCGCGTTGTCTTCCTATCTGTTGTTCAGCGGGCAAAGAAGCAGAGGTTCTGCGAATCTTTTTTTGGCGTAATTGACTATTAGCCCAATAGTTCAATAGCAGTACAAAAAGAATGAAATAATTAATTATAACTAAGGACGAATAAGACTTTATATAGAAAGGACCGTAGACTAGAAAACCAACTCATCTTAGCTGTCAAGTTGTAACAACTGATCACACATTGATGTTGTTAGTTATGAGTTTGTGTTGAGTTAATGAAATGTATTCTTCTTCTCTATTATTGTTGTTGGAAGTATTTGTAACTCCGAAACAGATTGTTTAGAAACTTTGGGAAAGTGTGCTATAATTGCTGAATCAAATATCTTCTTTCTTCTAGCGTACAAATGAGAGAAAAGAACAGTGGGATCTTATTTAATCTATAAATCTTTAATCGTAAGCGTTCGTGGTGTAATGGTCAGCATGGATGCCTTCCAAGCATTCGACGGGGGTTCGATTCCCCCCGAACGCATATTTTTTGCAGAAAGTTCAATTTTAATGAATGTTCACATTTGGAAAATCACGAAGAAGAGGATCGTGTACAGTCATTTTCAGGGTTTGGAACGTTTGAGGAACGAAACGAAGTTGATGCATTACAGTTTTTTTCCATTGTGAATTGGTAACAATTCATCGTTTGAATTTTGTGAAAAATTATTTTCTGTGAACTTTCTGTGTGAAAAATGAATTTTCGAACCATTTATTGTTTTGTAACAAAATTTGTCACAATAAGAGAAATTAGGAAACGTTTTGATGAATAATTTGATTGAATACTTGACATGCAATGGCTCTTCAGATGAAAAAAAAAAAAAGAAGACGTTTTCGAGCTATTATAAATTGACCTCCGATTGACTAATTTTCCTGTGGTCAAGGACTTTGAAGGATAATTCCTTAATTTTCTTTGTCGATCCATAAGGAAAGCTTTTGAGCACTTTCCACACAACTATTCAGGTGAACGGCTTTCATGTTCCGAGAAAAACTCACAAAAATTCTTTTGAGTCCACGTTGTCAAGACGAAGCTGAATGCTTGAATCAGTTGTTTAACGTTCAAAGCCAAGTTTCACCTGAATGACATGATTTTTTCCTCAAATATCGTTTTATCAAATATGTTGTGGTGTACATACATTATCGTTTACAGATATATTAATATGATATTGTGTTATGTAAAAGCCTGTTGTGACAGCCGGTTTCTGCCTTTGCAACACTGATAGTACAAAGAAAGAGAGGAATAGATAGAGAGATAGAGAGTGAGAAGAAAATATGTTTCCTAGAGGCATTTTGTCTTTGCTTTCGAAGGTAGTATCTTCTTTTTTCAAACAGTCACTACATCATTGAAAATTTCATCGTTTTTTTTCCGATTGCGAAAAAGCTATTCCAATTCTGATTTGTTTTTTTTTTGTTTTCACAGAAGTGCACAGATTCTTCCCACTACTATTACAGGCCGTATTAGCTATATATTCCATTTTACAACTGAACTTTCCAATTTATACAATTCAATAGTAAGGTACTTCTGTACTCAGAATACAATACACATAGAGCTTGTTTTTGGTTGTTGTTGTTGTTTCTCATTTCTGTAAACAATTGTTTTGGAGCAATTAATTTTATTTCTTTGAGCTTAAGTTGTCAAACGATATAACCTATGTGATGGTCAGAAGATTAAATATTGACCTACGAAAATGTAGGAAAGAAAACAAAAGAGGAGGAGAGGGAGAGGAAGTAGGCAGTTTACTGGAATAGACAAAAATCTCATGTTCTACAATCTTTTCCTTTCCAAAGGTGTTGTTGGTTCTTTTGTGCTGCTGAATATGAAGACCTGTTTTTACATTGTGGATGATTCAAGCTTGGCTCAAACCGAAACTTCCCGCCTCTCTTTGGTACTCCCTGTTTTTTTTGTTCATTTGAAAGTAAACTTCGAACGATTCATTTGACCAGGGATGAATCTGTCAAAGGAGGTTTGCACTTTACAAATTCTTCGAAGAATAGAAGAAACCTAAAACATTTTTGCTTTTATTCCTTATTCACTCTTGATGTACTTTGTATCGAAAATGTTTCATATAGCCACCTATATTGAAATAACATGTTTTATCATCAATGAACATCTGAAGCCTTGAGTAACTCATAAGTCTAACTTTTCCAATAATACCTGTTTTTGATGATTTTTGTGATGAGGGAAGTCCATTAGATGTGAGAAGCACATTAGATACTAGTATCAATGATTGATGACTCTTACAGTATGTACAATGTACGACTTTCCGTACCTTTCACATTTTTCATAAAAAGTGCAAGCCTATATGTATTACGGAACTTTTGAGAAACATTCTTTGGATGAGTTGCAATATTTTTCTTTCCTAATGAATGAAACAGTTCGATTTGATGTGTTCGTAACCCAATCGCCTTGAACAAACAAATGCTTTTTTACTTGCAGATGAAATCGCCAAAGTTTTGGTTTCTTTTACTCATAATGTCATTGACTTTGATGTCGATCATAACATATTATCCGAAGCCGACCGAGTATCAGCCAACGAGAGTATGCAATTCCATATGATTCATGTAGAAAACGTACAAAAATCTCTTTATAGTCCATACGTATAAGCGGCTCTGATTTCAAATCACACGACAAGCCAATTTCCAGTCGAATAGATAGGAATTTTACAGAAGTTGATGATAAAATAATGTTTAAAGCGTTCGTTTCATTAAATGAGTTTAGCTATAATGCATAGTCTTCAGCATTCGACCACGAACAGCTTATGAACCTCGTAAGGATATGGGTGCATGCGCACACACATTCGGAAAAGTTCTATTCTTTGTTGCCTATATCAAAGAGAGTATGGAAACGTGAGTTTAATCAAATATGAGATTCAACCAATCACATCTATTTTCAGCCATTATAGAGTAGCTCAGGAGTCCTTACGTTGTTACCTTAGAGGAACTGATTATGAGGTAGCCATGGTGGACATTATGAATGATCCTCGAGTGGTTGAAAGTTGCTCGCAACATTCAAATGTAAGAAAAGTTTGCATTCCAACGTGTGAAGTCTTTCTCAGGTTTTTTTCCGGAAACATTGCGCTGCCGCCGTTTATTTGAACGACACGGATTGGCTTGTAGTTCTCGATGCTGACACAGGTTAGTTCAACTGTTTCTCAAATGATTCTTTGCTCTACAATTGAAACTATATCACTTTTGACTATTCTTCGTTTCAAAACTGTGAATTGAACTTCGTGTGCCGAAAGATTCAATTTGAACTGAATTAGCTGAGAACTTACAACTTTAGGTATCGCCAATCCAAATCACTGCATTGAGGAATGGATTGATGACCGTGTGGACATATTATTTTATGAGCGAATCTTCAATTTTGAAATAGCTAGTGGAAATTACATTGTAAACAGTCATAAACACTTGTTACTAGTATTACACACTCTTTACAGATTAAGAATTCTGAGTTTTCGAGAAATTTTTTGAAAAAATGGAGTGATTTCGAACACAATCTACCTAGCAATTGGAATGGTGCTGATAATGGAGCATTACAGGTTCACTTCTGAACACAATGTCAAACATCATAAATTACAGATTCTTATTCTGCAAATGGCCATTCCTGATGCTTTTCAAGAATATGACAACTGCAACCAAATATGGCATGAAGGGCAAAACTATGAGACATACATGAATTATGTGACATGCGTGAAATTAGCTTTAGGCAAGCTTTATCTTCTTCTCATTCTCTTCCAATTATTCATATAGTGTTTGCAAAAGGAACAATGTTCTCTTTTTTAGGAGCTAATCGGTTATGGCCTGAAAAACTACGAATCTACCGCCGTGCTCACGGTTGGGTACGAGATGGCTTCATGACTACAGACAAGTTCTGTGAAGTTGACTTCATGTTCCACGGCTGGAAAAATCAGTTGGTTGGACAAGAAGGCTGGGAAAGTCCATTCAACGTAATCCTTTGGAAAAAAAAAATTAAAAAATCAAAAAATAATGAAATTTAAGAAAAACCTAAATCCGGAAATGTGCGGAGAAGGGGATGTCGGATGGGATTGGCGAAAAGGAAAAAGGACAACATGTGATGTGATCAAGTAAGAAATCCTTTTTTCTCTCTTTCTCTTTATTGTTATTTTACACTCTCTATCATACTAGCTCTCTATAATCATTAATTTTGCAGAAAAGAAATTGCGGATTTCGAGAAATCAGCAGGACAGGGATATCCTAAAGCTGCAAGAGAAATTCCTCATCTTCGACTTCCAGATGTGGGCATCTGTTTTCCGAACTGTGACAAGTTCACCTAAGTTCATACGGTCATTTAGCACTTTTTAAGTTTTAATCATTAATGGATGTAATCAAATTACATTTTAATAATCAACGGGTTTATACTATAAAATGAAATATATTCCTATTCGCAACAAAACAAAAAAATAATATATTTTATGAAAATATCTTTTTTTTTTGCTTTTCTTTGTGGAACCCATTAATCAGTGATTTCCTTTTCTCTGCTCTGATCTTCATGCATTTGCTTGTCTGCGAATATACTTTTTGAAGAGAATAAATAATATTACAATATGTACTTGATTGTGTTATTTGAAATGCCATAAACGACCATATGATTTGCATATTCTAATTTAGTTATTACATTTAGAAAAATTAGATTTTAAATAAAAACAATGGCTGATTGTGAGCACGAAAAGCTGTCACCAAGATGTAAATGAAGTTTCAAAAAGTTTCAAAAGAACTCTCTTTATCATTGGTTACCCAACAATTACAAGCAAAATTTACAACAATAAAAGATTTTTCTTTGTTTTCTGATTGGAACGTCAGATGTAGGTGGTTAACTGAAACAAATGACGAGGATACATCTAGATGTTGATGACACAATCCTTGTTTGCTAACGCATACCTTCTGCTCATGAACATAACTTGCAAAAAACAAATATCTTAGAATTTATTAAAATTTATCATAAAACATATATTTAACTGGGACTCGGAGTAAGGCTGTGACGAGGTGTACAAGATGTGTTATAACTTAATCTTCTGGGTGTCTTTGTAGTTTGAAAGGAATTTACTCGTCTTTTCATGTTCTCTTCGTCAAATCCTCGTCGCATGTAGATGATGATCGTCGTTACCTGAAACGATGAATATCATCTTTTAAACAATTTTCTTGCTATTCTTCTCATTTTCTGGAGAATTTCTGATCTTTATTTATATTTTCTCTGCAAGACTATCAACAATCTAAAGATTTGTTTGTCTGTTCGTCTCTCAATCTCTCATTAACAGCAAAGGAGAGAGAAGTATCATTCTTACCAGAGTTCTCCAAGCTCCCAAAGTTGGTCTTTGGCGATTAGCTTCCCATTCAACGGCAGCTTGTGTCATACATTCAGCAAATGTTTCCCAATAAAGTGGATCAAATCCACGTCCTTGCATAATTACGTGACGTCGACCTAAAGCCTAAAAAAGGAGAAAAAACGTTTCATCTTCGTTCTTTTGCACATGCAAAATTACCTCGAAATGGTTCTCTAATTTTTCAGGATAATCAATATTTTTTATGACGTAATCAAAAGTTCGTGTGAATACTGCAAGTTCCAAATTGAATAGATGAAAGCTGATAGCTATACTAACCTGTAGCATGTTGTCTGAATCTAGGATCATACTTTAAGCGACCTTGAGGTATTTTTTCCAAACCAAAGATAGCTTTGATGTCCGGCTGAGCTGTGAGAACCATCAAAAATATTTTTGATCCAACATGTTCTGAGCCAGTCTTTAATGGAATTTTGTCATAATTCTTCTCAGAAAGATAAAATTAGATATCGCTCTTGCTCTTTCTTCCTCTCTAACTCTTTATCACTCTGGCTCAAACGTTCTAAGTAGCCAGAAAGAAAGAGGAAGAGAAAACTACATTTTTTTTGTGATTTTTAGATTATTTTCTTCCTTAGTCGATTACCTTCCTTGTTTTCTTCCATGAGTGCTCGAGAAGGATTCGCTCTCTTCGACTAAGGAAATGTTTCGAGCCATTATTGGTTTTAGTTGGAATGACGGCAACATCCTTTGTTTCAGCCGAACTGAAAAACAATAATAAAAAATTTAGAAAAAATTAATTTTTGAATTAAAAAATGAAAAAAGAAAAAAAAGAAAAGAATTACTTTGGTTGTATGATCATAGGACATTCAAATTTTGGTGAAGTATCTTTGGATCCTTTTGATTCGGCTTCTTTGCCATTAGAGGTATTACCTTATAAAGAGATAGATAACAATGATATAAGGAGAAGAATGAAATTGAATACTTCTTCGTTTAATTGGAGGTTTTTCAACTTTATATCGTTTTTCTGCTAACGTTGGTCCTGTTTTGCTGGTTGTTTGTCCCATATTGAGTCTGAAGAAATACATTTTATGTGAGAATAGATGAAGAGCAAGCAGGAAGTAAGTATATGAAAAGAATTATAATATTTAACGGTATATTTCATATATCTATGTGTATGATAGAAGGAAGTAATGCGAGGTTGAACCAGTTGATTACCCATAACGCAGGTTTATATAACAGATGAAGATAGAGGGGGAGGAGGCTCGAGGAGGAGGTAAAAAAAGACAAAAAGCCTGTTCCAGATGGAATGATGGATGATAGCAAATAATATGAAAAAAAAAGTTTGCCTGAAGACTTCATTATAATAAAATTCATAAATTAACAATGTATTTTGCACTATCCACTGATCTCTATTATAATTTCATATGAAAAGGGAACAAGCAAGTGTGTGTTCCACGAAGGTTTGTAGGTCTAAATCTTCTTGAACCCATTGGACGACGCAACGAAGAGGAAAATATGAAGAAAATCAAGAATAAACATGATTCAAATGCTCATGGTAGAGAATAAGCTGATGAGAAGAAGTGAAAGACAATAAGTATGAGATGAGTTGAAACAATTGTTTTTGTTTCTGAAATAATGAGAGAAGATGAAATGGATGCAAGGAATGGATGATCATCTGTACTTAGACATCTCAGCTCATAGATGAAGCAAAGAGTCGATCTGAAATAGAAATTGTTTGATAAAGGAAGTATTCTATTGTGATTGTATAGCCTATTGAAGGAAGGGGATAAAGCAATAAAGAGCAAGATGGAGAAGATAAAAAAAAGGTAAAAAAGGAAGAGCCAATGAGATGTAGAAGGAAGCAGAGGGCAGACAGACCAAGAGGTCTCATTCTTCCAAAAAAGGACATGAGGAAATATGTTATTCTACAAATCTCGGAGAAGAAATAGTTGTAATTATTCTCTTCATTGTCAGGAAATTAGCCATAAACGATCCAATTAAGAAAAATCTATTTTTAAAAAGAAAAAAAAAAGAAATTTAAAAAATGCTCATTCTGTGGTTGAAGGAAGAGAAGGGTGTACATAAATGTCAAACCGTATGAATGGCTAATTCTTCTCCAAAAATTGTTGGCTCTAAAAATGTCAACGAATGAACAGAATTTGGGATGAAGCCGGCAAATTATAAAATTGGAGACTAGCTTCGACGAGATCAACACTCAGTTACTATATCAAAACGGTACAAACCTATCAGTGTCTCAAACATGAAGATACTAGTCGAAGGAGCAGGGAGAGAAGTAGGAGGAGGAGTAGAGGGGAGGAGACAGACTGATTAAGATCAAAAGTATCTTAGAAAGCTTTATACTGTTCTTGTGAAAATTTGTTAAAATATCTCTGAAGCCAAGATTTCCAGAAGCTCTCATCACTTATCCGCAGTCGTAGCTGCAAAATAAGTTTAATTGGAAGTTTTCTCAGATTTTGAAAATCCTATTTATTTCAAATTTTTATAGTAATTGAGATACACGTGTTTATTATAACTTATTAAAATGATCTCTCGCTCACGTATATCACGTGGATGACGTATTGAGAATCATGCTTCATACAAGTTATTCTTAAGATTACTTTACAGCTGAGCGGTTGCATTTCTCATTATCCTTCATCGCTCTCTTTCTCTCTCATTGCCATGCAGTAGTCTCTGCTTGAGCAGAGTGTAAGTGCGAAAGTCATGACTCAAAAATGGCTTCCTTAACAATTCCGGAAGAAGTCTCATCCTTATATTCATTTGTATCGCGATTGAAGAGCAGAACAGCATGAGAATTATATTTTATAGATGAATAAGAAAATGAAGAAGCATGAGAAGATAAAGATGAAGAATAAGGAGCAGAAGTAGATGAAGAAGAAGAAGCTGGAGGAATAGAAGTAGGAGAAGTAGCAGTAGATGAAGAAGGGAATGCAGGAGTAGAAGGAGAAGAAGAAAAAAACAAAAATATTAATAAGAAAAGAAGATATTGAAACATTCCAATTGATATGAACAATAGCTGTGATGAACGAGAAGGAAAAAAAGGAATTTTATTTACAAAATAATTGAAATTGAAATTGCGTTTGTTCTGTTTCATTCGTTCAGAAATGAATGAAAGATATCTCGTCATCCCATCCTTTCTATACTTTATTCAAATTATTTCTAATATAATTTATTTACTAAAGAGATCTTTCTCTCTTTTTGTTTCTTTTTTATTCTCTCTTTCTCTCGTTCTCTCTTATTATACTGCTATCTCTACTTTCTTTACTTGTTATGAACTTTATTCCCAAGAGTTTGTTCTTATCTCTTTCTTCATACCCTCATATTTTCAATACTTACTCTTACTATAGAGAGAATTTCTTTTCTCTCACTCTTTTTCTCTGTCTCTTCGCATATCCATGCATCTAGATGATCTCACAAGAGAGAAGAGTTGAAAGTACAAGTTTTAAGGTAAAAAAGCATTTGAAAAGCTCATTGATGGATTGTCGTAAGTCATTCTATAACATTTCCTACGGAAGGATATCGTTTAGAGAAGTGTAAATCTGAAAATGTAATTTCATTCTTTAAACAGTTTCCAATGAAACTCTCCAAGAAGAGATGAAGAAGAGGAGGTGATTAAGACATTACTGCTTAATGCAAGACGAAGAGAGTATGAAAGGAGGAACATAAATGACGACGCCATCCGAATCACAAAACAATCATCGTGCAGCAAAAACTCAAAACATCATCGAATTAGGCTTGAAATACAATTAAACGAAATGTATGGAAGTGAAGAAAAGATTTTGTTCCTCTCTCTCTTTTAAAATGAATAAAATCACTTTTTTTTGCTCTTCACTGCCACATTGGGTATGAAGAAGCTAGGCATCTCATGTGCACATGTTCATCGCCTCAGGAAATATTTGGATTTAAAAATTATATTTTTCATGAATGAACTGCTATTTTCAAACTAGATGTTACTAAACGTTTTTGTTATTTTTCAAATCATTTTCAGATCAAATTCATCTGAAAATGAACAAAAAAAAAACGAAGAGAGAGAGAGAGAGGAAAATGATTGAAAGAAATAATTGGAACTCAGTAAACATGATTTCCCTTGATGCTCTCAATGTGTTCATTGCGTAACAGTACATAAGTGAACAGTTCGAATCAAGCGGAAGTCAACTATGCCATCTTCATTTCTAGAAAGAATAAAAAGTGTCGATTAGAAGAAAAGAGGAATGAAGAGAGAGAGAGAGTGAGTGGAAGGGAGTAAGAGAGATGGCTTTGACCGATGAGGAACAGAGTAAAGGGTGGTAAGCTTAGTCCGGAACCCATTGAGACATTTTAAAATTTAATTTGAAATCATTCTTTACGTCATATTCTTTTAATTAGTAAAATATTCGTTTTTAGAAAAAAAAATCTTCTGTACTGAGAGTAGAAGTCGATTCAGTTTTAGAAAATTGAAAGTAAAATTGAAAGAATTAGAGGCGAAGGAAGAAATTAAAAATTCTTAAAACGAGAAGCTCAGTTTTAAGTTAAAGAGTTGTGTCATGTAAAATGTGGAAAATACTAATCAAGGGATGAATGATGTGTAGGTTTGAGATGAATGAATTCCTCTTTTAACGTTCAATTGAAAGAGAGAGAATGGAGAGGATAAAGAGAGAAAAACAACACAAATGTCAATGGATTTGCATTTCTAAAGTTCATGAAATCATAATTATCCAATAGAATGAGTTGTCTTCTCCATTTACAGCGAAGGTTCAGTGAGTATAGTAAAGAAAAGAAAGAGAGAGAGGGAGAGAGAGAGACATGGAGGGAATAAGAGAAAGAACGCAGGAGGTGAAGGGAGATCAACTGAAGGAAGGAGGGAAATATACCGAGAATAAGTAACACAATGAGAAAGAACGGACGAAGGGAAATATATGTTAAAGGATTGAATAAGATGTGGAGAGAATTAGAGAGAGAGAATGCAACCGCTTTGATCTGGAAAATTGTGCAAAATGAAACGTTCACGTTATGCTACGTCACAACGAAATTGAAATCAAAGTCTGCATGTATATATTCAAATTTCAAAAGTATCCACTCAATGACTAATATGCTAATTTCTGGAGAGCAAAAAATAAAACGAAATTATAATCGTAGATGATGGAAGGCTATAAGATTGAAGAGGAAATGTATGATAAAGGACAGATACTTATGAGTTAATAAGATGAAAATAAAAGCTTTTCGTGTCATGACCATGGTTGCGATCTGTCAGCATCATTCACTTGAAAACTTCTGGACAACATTGAGCTAGGAGAGTTGTAGCTCAAAGAGCAGCTCGATGTCCAAATAAGACAAATCTAGCAGAATAAAAATATTGTGAAGAAATGAGAGAAAATAACGAGAAAGCATCAAAAAAAGAAGAAGAGAAATACAAAGAAAAACTTTTGAAAGTATGAGAGATAGAGAGAAAGAGATATGAAGAGAGAGAAGAAGAACAGAAAGTGGGTTTGGGAAAACACATGGAAACCATGAAATGATGATTCGTGATTTATAAAGTTCTTTGATTAGAAATCAAAAAGTATAGCTTCTTCTTAGCTGATGAGATAACGCAAAGTCAGAAGAAGGTGCTTGTACAAGCTACTTAATGAATTCTCTTTCATCATAACTTCTGTCAAGGAATCTCGGAGAGAGAAAAGAAATTTTTTTGTTTGTTTCCTGACATTCATATCGATCATAAATGAGAAATTTGGAAAAACTCTTGAGATACTTGTACTTACAACAGATTTAACAAGAATAAATCAGATTAAAGGAAAAAAAGACAAATGCTTATGTTTCCCTTATCTGGAATACGGTTGAAAAATAGAATTGTAAATAAAAAGTTGGGCTTTTAAAATAATGAATATAATCTAAGAATAATATAATAAAAGGTATTCATTTTCATAACAACACACGGAGAGAGAGATAGGGAGGGAATATGAGAAAAAATATTTCTTGTAAAGAGAAATTAAGTGTAAAAGGAGAGAAGTGAGATTGAGAGAGAGAGAGAGAGAGAAAATGAGTGAAAGAGAGAAGGAAAAAGCAAAAAATGGCTTTCAAAGAGGTAAATTTCAAATGACAAAACTTGTTTTCATAGAGCATACGCTGTAGGGAGAGCGTCGAGACTTCCTGTTGGTTTACCTTAGAAGATTTTGTTTCTTCTCAGATCATTTTTTTTCATCTAAAAAAATTATTAAAAGAAACGAAAATATAAAATTTCTGAAATGAAAAAGATTCGAGAAGTAAATAAAGAAAGATTAGACAGAGTGAAAGAGAGAGAGAGAGTAAGATATTGAGATTGAAATGGAAGAGGAGGCTTAGGGCAAAGAGAGAAGGTGGGGGTGGTAGGAATTAGTGAGTGGGAGAATAGAGTTGGAGCTCAGACCGACAAATGAAACTTCAGAGTGTAAATCTATTTCCGTTTGTTATTCACACAACTATTTAAAGAGTTTACAGTGTTTTTGTGTCTTTGTGCTTGGGAAGAAGAATGGAGAGAGAAGAACTGGCAGAAGCAGAGGGTTAATGCAGGAAGTGGAGGTTGTTTTTCTTATTTATCTCGAAACAAATTATTCTATTTTGGAAGAGTTTCATGGAGAAATTAAAGAAGAATATATTCGATGAAAACGCTCAAGTTCAGACGATGGCAATAGAATCGTTTGAAATTTCAACTTTCAACAGTTTATTTGAGAAAATAAAAGGCTTTCTGTCCTTTTCGTTGATTTTTAAAGTTTACAATTTGCTTGTTGGAAGAATGAAAACCATAACGAGATAGAATAAAAGAGAGAGAGAAAACGATGAATGAAAGAAATTATTGTAAGAATTGCATATATGGCATGTTGAACGAAGTTGTCCACGAACGAAGAAGAAGAGTCTGAGTCTCTTCTCTCCAGAAGCTGATGGAAAATGCATAAAATAAGGAAAAAATTGGATTTTTCAACAAATTTATTTCCGTGCTTCTCATTATTTTAAGATTGAGATTATCATCAATTAATTTCGGGGATGAAAGAAAAAAATTTTATTTGAGTTTAGATGGAGAGGTGAAGACGAAAAAGAAGGAAAATTTCTTTTTTTTCCTCATTTCCTTCCTCATCGTCGTAGAGAATGAAACAATGAGAGACAGGCTGCAATGAAAGACGTGACTGAGCATCTTAATCAGGACAAACTATGCTAATTATATATTTACAAACAGAATAGATAATCTATGTATATATAGATATGGATATATAGATATATGGAATAATTAGGATAAGGGTAATTATAATAATGAAATAAACAAAATAAATATAATATTGAAGATTGAGTGTGAGGATGTATCTTCAAATATTTTTTTTCTTCTTTGCAATTGCCAAATTTCAGATGAGTTCGCTATTGGATAGAAGAAGTCAGATTCATCACTGATTTGCTATTATCCGAACGTTGGAAAGACGCCTGTCGGCAGATTCTGAAAATAAAAAAAATAAAGAAAATAAGGAAGAAAACAATTTTTTTTCTGATCAAATTTAGATGCTGACTGTTCAGCTGCTTCGTTCCGAAATCATAATAACATACCAGTGGTCTTTGATGAATATCAACGAGACCAGATGATGGAAGAAGAGTTCCTCGTTCAATGGTTGTTCCTTCAATCTGAAAGCAGCAACAACAATGTATTGTATTATCATGACGGAGATAAACACGTCATAGAAATTATCAAAGCTTTGCAGTTGTTCCTTTCCTCATTCTCGTTGTTGGAGCTTGTTCCAAAGATATATACATATATTGAAAAATGACAATGAGTTGAACTGTGACACGTGCTAGTTTGTTTGGGCAGATGAGATAATGAAAATTTGCATACGTGTGAAGTTTACGTCAATGCCAATAAGAAGTTCGCTGATCTCATTTTCATTTCTGCAGACGCATAGAGCGGTTGTTCATTCATCTTCTTCATTTCCACCCTCGCTCCTTATCCTTCCCCGTCAACATTCGTTTAATATTTCATTAATATTGTTGAGTTTTTTTTTGTTTGAAAACTTATTTTCTTATTTTTGAATTCGAGGAATAAAGTTTAGGGCAGACGAAAAGAAAAGTGCACGTACGGTGTTTGGCTTTTTCTCCGGGATATCAGCTGATGAAGCAGATGAAGCATGAAGACTTGGGGCTGCCAATGCATGCTGAAACAAACACTTTAGTTCTATTATGAAGTTACTATAATTGTTTGTTGAAATTAATATAATGATTTGAGGCGTGTGAAAATTAGAGAATTGATGTCTTGTTTAGAACTTACCGCATGAGGTAGAGAGAACAAATTGAAAATGCTTAATAAGGGATGTTCCGTTGATTCTCGTGGGTAGTGGAAAGCTTGTTGATGCTGTTGTTGTTGTTGTTGTTGTTGTTGTGGCGGGGGAGCTGCAATCATGAGAAGAAATCTATAGTTTGATCCTTTGTTTTTTTCATTGTACCAAAATTATTATTAAATTGGTTGAAATGGCTTTGTTGAGTTGGCTGAGCCACAATACGCTCTGCTGGACGAGGGTTTTGGAATGCCTGACGTGGGGGAACATTCTGAATATTTCAAATGAAGTTATGGTTGATATGGTGTAATTGTATTAACCAGGAAGTTTGTTCTTGAACTGATTGTTGGCAATTGACCTTCAGGTAACATTCGATATGGGTTAACAACATGGCTATGGGGATACTTCTCTCGGTAAGCTCTTTGTTGATCCTGAAGTTGTTTTATTTTTCAAATTATATGCCTCTTATATGATTACCAGAAAATCATCATACTCTTCAACTTCTGATAATAAGTTATTAAGTAGTGGTTCACGATCTTGAGTTGGGGAAGCATGTGGACTGTAATAGAGTATAGTTCAGAAAAAAAATGCACTATGACTTGACTAACTGGAAAACGAATGGAGGTGGTGGATGATTGCCAGACGGCGAAGAAGAAGTGGGTGCTGATGGATGGATCCTAGGTGGGACAATGCGTGGGTGTTGTTCTGAATGACGTTAGTGCTCTAATCAGGATCTAAAAATAGTAAATACCTTTTGGGAAGACGCGATTATTAGTCTGTCGTGTATGAGCACTCTGGAATGATAAACACATTTTCTTCATAATAATTTGATTTTCAAGAAGTTCCGAGAATTACGGGATGTATAATTTCAACAACATTCTCAGAGAGTTGAATTTACCTGATCAACTTGGAAGGTTTTTTTGACATTAGATCCTTCATGATGATTATTAGAAGGCACTCTAAGATGTGGATCGTCATAGAAATCATCTGACTTCACAATAATTGGATTAGCTTTCATCTTACTCTCGGGTGTGTTACCTCATAATCTTCGCCAAAACTTGTTGGAGGAGAAGCAGCACGCTTTTGGCTTTTCTCCGAGAAATCACGAATTTTCGTTCCGCGGATCTAAATAGAGATAAGTTATGTTGGAACATTGTAAGAAAAACCTGTGAACGACGAGGGTGAATATCATCCTCATCAGAGTCTGGAGATGGATGGAAAACACCATCATCATCATAAGTTCCACGGATTCTAGAGAATATAATACAAATGAGATATAGTAGTAATATTACCTCTCTTCCGGTCTAGGAGGCATTTCGGGGACTGGATTTATTCCATAAATATCAGCTTGTGGGAGAGGAGTTGGAGTTGCTTGAGTTGGTCTAGCTGTTGCCTGAGTTGTTGGTTGAGGAGATGTGGAGGTCAACTGATGAAGCACTTCAATATCGTTAACATGTTGAAATTATTAGTTTGTCATCATACCTTCTTCGTGCGTTAAGGGTAGAGGAGGTAATCCCTGTAATTTTGGCTTTTCATCTAAATCACCAAAACCGCGAATAGTTCCCTATAAAGCTGAGAATAGTTGGATGAAATGAAGGAGGGTAACAACCTTCTGTATGGCTTGGTTCAGCCAACCAAAACCATTCAAATTTCCAGAATTGATCAGACGAGCATATTGGTCAAGTTGAGAAGGACCGTAAAGATTTTGACCATAAACAGTGGGTAACACCAACCAGATAAGGAATAACATACCCTGTGGCATAAAAATTGTTAAACAAGTAAAGAAACGAAGAAAAAGAAGAAGATGTTGACGATGATGTATGGGATCAAGACAAATGTAGAGAAGAAATAACAGAACGGATTAATATAGATGACTTTATCTTTCTCTCTTTTCTCTTCCGCTCTTCGTTTTCTATAACTGACCAGCTTAAGACAATTTCATCAGACAATTTAATCTTAGAAATCAGCTGTAAATCAGATTCAAAGAAGAAGATGAAGATGTTTGATATGACAGTAATTGAATCAGAAAAAAAAATTCAGAAAAAAACAAATTTCAGGCTGGAACTAAGCTTCGACTACCAAGAGTAAGTGAGAGAGAAAGAATGAGCGTATATGTTAGCGTTTTTGAATGAACGGAGATCCAAAAAGTTTTTGGAGGGAAGAACATTCCGAAAAACTGTTTAGATGAGCATAGAAAATTTTCTATGATATACATACGAACAAAGAACTTGTTAAATGCCATCTGAACAACATGAAGCTAAACTTGAATATGAACAACCTGCGATACAAGCCATGGGTTGGTCATCAGCCGCCACAATTTCAGCTTTTTTTCCTCTCGATTTTCTATTATCTTTCTCTATCTCTCCATGTATGTAATGGGTGTGAGTAATCTCCCATCTTCAGTAGTGGAAAAAGGATGAAAAAGAGAAGAAGCTTAGATACAGCTGAAAAGCCACAAAACAAGTCGGTAGAACGATGTTCACGTTGTCATCTGAATCTTCACGTTTGCATTGTCGTCATTAAAATACAAGTCAATTGTTTTGTTGTAGTTATTTAAGTTGTTTCTTACAAGCTTGTTCCATTTAGTAACTGCCTGACTGAATGATTGTTGGATTTAAAATTAAGCGATCGAAAGAAGAAGAAGAAGAACATCATTACTTAGACCTAGTCGAACATGTTCTCTCGAATTAGTGTGCATGCACCCGTATCGAAATCAAATAAAAAATTGAAATTTTTCTCTGTGTCAGATCTCAACTAAAACAAAACTTGAAGTGATTCAAGTAATATAACACAAAGCTATGGAGAAACTATAAGAAACAACAAAAGCTGGAGAGAAATATTAAAAGAGAGAGAAAGAGAGGGAGACTCATACACAGTCAAAGACTGCTTGGGCAACAGTAACTCTCTGAAGTAAATGAAGATGAAATAAAAAAAAAGATCGGAAGGGATTGTCATGACATCCGTCTTAAAAGCAAATTTTGGCAAATGGAAAAAGGAAAATAATTATTGGAAAATGTGTTGATAGTCTATGGCTATATGGCCAAGTGGAAAACTGGAAAATCAGGTAGATAGTATGACAGAAATCCCTGCTAGTCTTGTCTTATTCAATTGCCAAGTAGTCGACGACAAATTCGCTTCAAGAGACAATGCGAGAAACGGAGAGACGTGAGATAGACGGAATCACCTTAATTGGGATTTCAAGCTATGAGATATCGACTTGATCAGTTTGCATACACGCAAACAGCATTATACTTCGTACTTATCCATTAATAAATATTTATTAACATGAAAATAATCAATGAAACTTATAATTTTCAAATTGAGTTCTCTAGTAGCATCCTTGTGCTACAGCTGTATCTAGCAATTCATATGCTTCCAAATTTGTAAGAATCTTACATTAAGAGTTTAAAAGGATGAAAACAGAACACCCACAGCCATAGATGATATCATCAACATCTTTCGTGACGTAATCGACATAATGCGTATTCACTTTGGGATTTAAGACAATGTTCATATCCGGATGTCATCAAATCCAGATAAAATTGAAAAGCCCAAAAAAAATTTCCCTTTCTCTGTAATTTTTATGAAAGCTGACAGGTTTCTTCCAGGGACAGACAAAACTTCTTGGCAATCATCCATTGTGATTTTCAAATAAAATATATGCCAAAAACGTCGCATTATTCACCTGAATGTAATGAGATGCACTCTTAGGCAACGTGGCATAGCCACATGGAAGATGAACATTCCAGTAAACCCCTTTCTCTTTTCCGATTACCTATTGATTGACCATTGACCGGTAACACAGAAATGATTCAACAAAAAAATATTTTTATTTCTCATTTTTTTAGTTGCAAAATCAAATGTGTGTATTGTGAACAACATGAAGGTTAAGTACCGTATAAAGTGTTTATGAGATGTTACTGCAAAGTTTGATGAGGAGCTCAAACATGCATATAATCCGCAATGACTGGTAATGATTGGAACAAGTTCTCTTAAGCCATTTATACGAATAAGGTATGAACTATAAATGATGACAAAACCTACGCCACAACACGACCTTTTATGATAAAGAAAGAAAAAAAACTAACAGATAAGAAACTATTCATTGTCAACAAGAAACTGATCAGACGAGATTGTTTTCTTTCCTATATTATCAGACCATGCGCACTTCCATTCAGTTTAATATTAATGGACAGGATTTTCATTTGAATAATCCGGATCCGGAATTATCATTGGCTTTTTATCTTCGACAGACAGGTTGATTTTTATTTTACATGTTTCATTTATAAATTTTTTTTTATTTTATTAGTTGGTCTCATTGGATGTAAAATTGGCTGCGAAGAAGGAACATGCGGATCGTGCACTGTCGTTATCGCAGAGTACTCTCATCCACGACCAATGTAGTTCTTATTCTCTAAACTTTAGCTTCATTACCTTTCATAATCATTTAAGATATAAAGCTATCAATGCATGTCTGTTTCCTATGTATCAAGCAGATGGAAAATTCATTATTACCGTAGAAGGAATTGGAAACAAGTCAAAGATTCATGAAATACAGAAGCGCTTAGCACATGGTCACGGAACACAATGTATGCGCATGCTTCCATTTCATCTAGACAACTCAAAAGCTTATAGGTGGCTTCTGTTCTCCAGGTTTTGTGATGTCTATGTATGCTCTCTTAATGGAAACTCAATGGAATCCTTCGATCGAACAAATACATCAAGCTATTAAAGGTTTCTTTCTTCCACATAACTGTCGCGTGGAGAGAAAAAAGTAAATTTATAGGAAATCTGTGTAGATGCACGGGATACCGTCCCATATTCGAAGCTTTCTATACTTTTGCTAAAGACGGATGTTGCAAAGGACAGGTTTGTTTCTTTTTTTCTTGTGAACTAAAAAAGAAAAATACAAATACCTTTTTTCGGGAGGACAAGGTGGTTGTCCTTGTAAAGAGAACGAGGATCCGCAATTACCGAGAGAGGATGTAGCATTTCCATTGTTGGACAAAACTCAAAATTTAATTTTCCCAGCCTCATTAGTTGTAAGTTTTTGTTTGTATATTGTTTCAGTTGAAAGTTTGAATTTGTATAAGAATTATTAAGGAATATATCCCGAAATCTGGTTTGTTGATTGAGAGTGAACGAGTTTCGGTTGCGGTTCCATCATCCATTGAGGAATTCGATGAAATATTACAACAGTATCGAGAACAAAATGAGAAGAGTATAGTGAAGTTTGTGTCATCAGGAATCATCACTCGTTTCGGTAATAAATGAATAACAGAGCTGTGATTATAAAGATTTTTTTTCAGCTGCTTTCTATAAGCCAACAGTGAGAGAACAATGGATCTGTACAGCACGCATACCCGAATACAGAAAAGTTGAGGTGAGATTGAAGAATTTGAGAGATTTCATAATAAAGTACGGTACACAGGTTGATCATGAGTATCTCACTATAGGATCAGGCTTGAGTCTGCGTGAGCTCTATGAGAATGTGACAGCTTACTGTGATCCTGAAATATCACAAGCTTTCCGAAGAATGTTCCGAAACTATTCATCCCACCAAGTTTTCAATGCTGCGGTTCGTTTTTCATATAAGCAAAAATGAAATTGATATTTCATGAAAAACAAATGAGAACCTTTGTTAAATTCATTTTTCAGTCATGGGCTGGTGCGTTATGTGGTAAAGCTGTTGGAGATATCGAAGTTCTTTGTCGTGCATTGGATGTTGATATTCACATGAAACTAACTGGACAGACCGTAACATTGTCATCCACATCAGACTATGAAGAATTGAAAAAGATGATAAGCGAGGGATATTTGATTGAAAAAATGAGCCTTCCACGTCATTTGGTAAGTGAGACTTTTGAGCTTTTGCCTTTGATGTGTTCTGTAACAGAAAAAAACAATAAAAAGATTCTATTTCCAGAACGGGAGAATGTTTGCTGGAAAATTTGGTGAACGTCCGGGTCCGGATACAACAGTCATTAACTATGCTCTAGTAGTTAGTGGTTCACAAATCATATCGGATAGTCGTTTGATAATCAGTGATCGTACAACCGTAATCAAATTAACGAAACTGCAGTCAGCTATGAAGGACAAGTAAGTGAAAATGTTTTATTAAATTATCTAATTAATAAGTATAAGATTACAACAACGAATGAGAGAGATAGGGAGAGACAGAGAAAAAGAGAGAGTAAAATATTTTTTTACACAACTTTGAGAAGTTTCGAATCGCTTGACTCGACTGTTTTGGACATGACTTCCTGAGCTTTGAACTGTTTTTCTTCATTCAACTCTATTTTAAACTACCAACTGATTCTGAGCTGGAAGTTCATTAACTTGTGGTGGCAAAAGATCTTCAGATGGATTAGATTTTGAAATTTCTTCAGTATTTGGAATGAAATGCTCTTGAGAATCGAATGTTTGTGGAGCGTTTTCTATAGTTATTAATGGAATCGCGATATGTTCAGCTTCATTTTGATTTTCTATATTTGATTGATGTTCAGTAAGAACTTCTGCTGTTTGTTGTTGCGAGTGCTCCATTGCATTCTCATTTCCTGAGCCATCAAGGGAATGTTGTTCGGGAACTACTTGAATAGTTTGTTGAACTTGTTCTGTGAAAACATCTGCCGATTGCATAACCTGTAATTCGTTGTTTTCATGCACTTGTTGTACTTGAAGTAATGGTTCTTGAATAACAGGCTGATCTGGAATTATATGAGCGATAGGCTCAGCTTGTTTTGTTTCACTAGAACTTTGCTCATTGACTAAAGGATTGTTTTGTGAAACTGCCTGTGGTATAGCTTCCTCGTGTGCTTGTTCAGTAGGTTGAGGCTGTTCAAAGATTTCGAACTCTTGTGCTGGAATATTCAATGTCTCTTGTTCTTCCACTGGATGGTTTTGTTGTAATGGGTTTCCTTCTTGAACATCAAGTTTAACTTGCGTCGCCATCACTTGATGTACAACAGATTGAGTATTGATTTGCTCATCGTGTCGAATATCTGGTTGAGTTTCCTCGTGAACTAGTGGTTGAATTACTGGCTGAACTTCGGGTTGAACTTCGGGTTGAACTTCGGGTTGAACTTCGGGTTGAACTTCGAGTTGAACATCGGGTTGAACATCTTGTTGGACTCCTTGTTGGACACCTTGTTGCGTATCAACCAACGGTTGTGGAACCGTTTCAATTCTACTCTCTGGATGTAACAGTGGTTCTTCAGATAGTGTTTCAATCACAGCTAAAGGTTGAACATCCCCGATATTTTGAGGCAACGTTTCAATTGAAGCTTGAGACTGAACCTCTGGAATGTCTTGAGATTTAGAAACTATCAAAACTTCGGGGGCTACTTCTATAGAAATAGAAGCTTCTACTAACAGATTATTGGAATCTTCTTGACCGGAAGATTCTATCTGTTGTTCAATTACTTGAGCCACATCTATATCTTCGACAGGTTGACCAGAAAATTCTTGTGGAATTGGATCAATTAGTTCTATTGTGTTCATTTCTGCAAGTTCAGGAGCTGATGGTTCGATGAAACTATTTTCGGCTAATATCATTTCTTCTGGTACTGAAAGTCCACTACCTTGTTGATTCACCTCGATCAGAGTGTTCAGATCTTCTGAATTGTAATTACTATATTGAAGACAGATAATCAGTTTTATGAACCAACCATCGGTGTAGTTGTTTAGTATGCCTTCTGAAGCTCTTATACCCATATCTTCTTCAGTGATAACATGTGGATTAGTGAATTTATTATAAGCCTCTCCCTGAAATTGGAATATTTAAATTATCAGAACAGTTTTCTCAGTTCTTACCGCGTATAAGCCTATTCCTGAGGCTAGAAGTATAAAACTGAGAATTTGGGCAATAATAAAAGCTGAAAATGATAAACTCTTGCTGATAGAAACATGAATCACATGTATTAACTACCTCTGGAGCCTCGGTTATGGCCAGCAGGTAACTGAGGGGCATGTCTATGATTTGCAATTACCATGTTTGATTTTGTATATCTAAACCAGAATCATTAAACATAAAGTATTGAAAACGTCGTGTAATCATATGAAGCTGTTAAGCTTTTAAACGATCTCGACAATCGGCAAAAAATGAATGAAAGATCAGAATGATTTGGATATGATTGCAACGTTTAAACATCAATGCCACGAACGAGAAATCTGAACAAACATTCATCTTCGGGCAATTATTATAAAAAAACGTGTCAATAACAATAATCTTCTTTAAATATAATTAAACATTATAGATCATTCAAAGAAGTTACGGAAAACGAAGTGAATTTGATCGAAAAATCGAGAGAAGAAGTCGAAAGCCGTTTGGGAACCGCTAAATGGCTTCTGGTACGGGGAATTCTGATTAAAGTTTTGAAAAACCTTCAAGCATCATCCGATATTCAAGAAATACTTCATGAAAAAATTACTTCCACACAGCTATATACAGTAGGTTATCTGTATATGAACATCAATTATTCCATTTGGTAGACGGAGAATGAAGACAAGGCTAGAGTTGATAGCGTCGGATGCCCTCTACCACATATCTCAGCTGAATTGGCAGCTACAGGAGAAGCTGTGTTCAATGGAGATATCCGTTTACAAGGTCTTCATATGATTATTGAATTAATTTAATTTTTTTTTGTAGACATGGTTCATATATCTTTTGTTTTGTCCAGTATCCCTAAGGGTAAGATTCTCTCAATAGACAGTACGAAAGCACTGGCATTCCCTGGTGTTCTCGCCTTTTATGATTATCATGTGAGTTTAACAAAAGAAACAATTCATATTGGTTATTCAGAGTATTCCTGTAAATGGCAACAATTTTTGTGGAAAACTACCCGTAAATGGTGTTAATGATGACACTCCAATACTGGCTAATGGAGAAGTAACACTTATCGTAGGCTTCTATTTTACTATCTGTTTTAGGTGGAGTACGTTGGACAGCCTATCGGAATTGTGGTAGCCACCAACGTGGAAACAGCAAGAAGAGCAGTTAAATGTGTTGAAGTACTGTACGACAAAGCTACTCCAATCATTCATATGCAGGTTTCTCTCTTATAATGTTCTTTCTTTCCTCATTTATAGTACAGGATGCGATTGAGAAGAAGCAATGGCTTGGTAGAATTCATGAGTATGGACATTCCAGAGAAGAAGTTGAAGAAGCTATGAAAGCATGTGAAGTTCAGATTGAAGGTAAAGAGAGCTGTTGGGGAGAGAAGATTGATAAAGCGAGTTGAATGCTAGCGATCATGATACGTTGATGAGTAGAAATGCTCTCACACACTTCACATAGTAGATATATTTCAGTATTCCTGCTAAATTTTCAGGTGAAATTTCTATTGATGGTCAGCAGCACATTTACATGGAACCTCAAACAGCCGTTGCTTACGTTGGAGATCATAATGAAGTGTATTCTGAGATATATAGAAACTTCAGTTGTGTTTAATTGCTTTCAGAGTTGTTCAAGCTTCAACACAATCTTTATCGAATGTCCAGCAGTTAACCGCAGCTTTTTTGGGAATCCCTTCTAACAAAGTTATTGTGAAGGTAAATTTCAATTCAACTTCTCGACTCTATTTTTCTTCCAGGTGAAACGTCTTGGAGGAGGTTTTGGAGGAAAAGCTACTCAAAGTGTGCAACCAGCTTGCTTGGCCAGTTTAGTAGCGCTTAAACTTAAGCGGCCAGCTAGTTGCGTATACAGTCGACAAGAAGATTTCCTCATAACGGGAGGGCGTCATCCAGGCCATTGGAAATACAAGTAATATATGCAGACAATCCATGTTTAGCCATTATTCCAGGTTGGGTGGCGATGCTGATGGCAAACTGAGATGTTTAGACCTAAAAGTCTATTTAGATGGTGGAGCATACACAGATATGTCTGAATGGGTATTAACATTATTAATTTTGCAATAACATGTGGAAACTAATAGGTAATGTTTGTTGCGTGTGGCACAAGCCCCGATTCTAGCTATAAGATACCTTGTATGAGGAGCGAAGGTTATGTGGTCAAAACGAACAAGTCCTCTCATACTGCTATGAGGTACCCCTATCAATTTATTCTGAGCATTTGCTGTTTTTTATTTCCGCTCTCATTAAGTTTATAAAAAAATTATTTTTGAGAGGTTTCGGAAAGCCCCAAGCCACATATGCTATGGAATGCATTTTGAGACATTTCTCACACAAAATAAAAAAGGATTGCGATGAGGTATTTTTATTGAAAAAATTGAAAATATTTGTCATTTTTTTGAGATACAAGAAATGAATTTCAATGGAAAAGGTTTCCGTACCCATTTTGGAACCAACATACATTCGGATTCCTTGTTGGATGTTTACAATGAGCTGAAACAGTTTTCTAGATATTATGATGTCAAGAAAGAAGTTAAAGAGTTCAATAAGTTGAGCTGGAAACGTCTGCTTCTCTTTATCTTATACATTCAAGGCAGCATTTGAACAAAAAACGAGGAGTATCTCTGTCTACTGTTAGATTTGGACTAACACAAGGTGGACACATGGAGAGCGTATCAGATTCTGTTATATTCCCTGACTGTTCTCTTCAATATTCAGACGACTGCTTTGGTTCAAATATATTTGGATGGTAGTGTGGCCATTTCGATTGGTGGTATTGAAATGGGACAAGGCTTATCTACCAAGATGCAGCAGGTTGCCAGTCGAGCACTGAATGTAAGAACATAGCTATTACCTCATACGAACATTATTATTGTTCTAAATTCAAGATCCCAATCGATTACATCACAGTTCTGTGTGGAAGTACGGATAAGACAGCAAATGCACCCGAAACTGGTGGAAGCCAGGGAACTGATCTGCATGGTCGAGCTGTTCAAGTACGTTTTGTTTTTGTCGCATTCCTCCCTAGCTTCCTCATCGTTATAAGTCCTAAAAACACTTATATTGTCTTCTTTGAATATGTAAAGAAGCTCTGACGTAATTTCCACTGGAAATCCAGTCATTGAATTAGCATTTTATTTTTTTAAAGAAAAATAGATGATTCATGACTAAAGGCGAGTTAATGAATTCACTTGCAAACGTAATTTAATTGGATGAGAGGCCGTTTTTCGTTGAAAAAAAAAAGTTTACCTTTTAGGTTGAATACAAAAATAGATAGAGAGAGAGAGAGCAGAAGGCTGGAAAGAGAAAAGAAGGCAGAGGACGCGGAGTGAGAAGAACAAGGGGGAAACATGGGTGGGTGGATGGAAAGGACGTGAAGCCCTGTTTGGGAGTTCACTAACCCACGCAACATATTTTCTAGAAACTTTTGAAAGTGAAATGTATAAAGCTGCAAAAGAATATGACAGTTTAAAGAAGCATCCAAAAACGTCTTTCAGATTGCTTGTGCTCGATTAATGGAACAGATTGATCCGTTACGAAAAGAGAAGAGCAATCTGTCGTGGCCCGAGATTGCACTCGAAGCATATAAACAGCAACTTCCATTGCAGGCATCTGAAAACATAAAGTAATTTATTTTTATTTCTTTTTTAAATTTAATTAATTGTCAATAACATATAATGAAATTAATTTTAAAAATATAATTCATTCATTTTTCAGAATTAACCGTAAGAAGTACGGAATTGAGGAGAACTCGCCAACTTATTTTACTACCGGTGCTGCTTGCGTTGTACTCGAATTGGACTGCTTGACGGGGGATCATGTGGTATTTAATTAATATTTTGTATTAATTATTCATTGATGAACAATATTACAAGGAAGAGATCAAAAAGAGAAAAAAATTAAATTTTTTAATAAAAAATTCCATTTTAAGGTCACAAGCGTTGACATTGTCATGGATGTGGGAAAGAGTCTGAATCCAGCATTAGATATTGGCCAAATTGAAGGAGCATTTGTTCAGGTGATTGATCTTTATCCATTACCCTTTAATGACAAACACGTAATGCTTATGGTTTATCTGATTACTATTTGGTAATGTTCAACAAGCATACAGGTAGAGCATATGAGAGAAAGAGAACGGAGAGAAAGAAAGAGAGAGAGAGAGAGATATACAATGAATTGATATGTCTAATGAAGATTCTTACAAATGAATTTGGAACGAAATAGATTTATGAGCAATGGTTGTAAAGGGCTTCTTTTCAATTTTAAATGAAGCCAAATGATGAATTTTATGAAATTATTACTATAAATAACTTTTGTTAGCCATTTTTGTTTCTTCAAAATAGGCGAACAGATCAGCATTATTAATGAGAAATTTGATTGCGCAGTCCTTTTCCCGGGATTGCTCCCTATCATCTGACGGACACTTTGTGACCTCAAATAAACTTATTACATTTTCGTTTTGAAAACAAATTTTTAACATTTTTCTATTCTTATCTCACAGGGCTACGGTCAATTTGTAAGTGAATCCATACCGTATGATTTGGATAGTGGAAGACCGTTGTTGGATTCAATTGCTAAATATAAAGCTCCCACGCCATATATGGTTCCTCGACAGTTCCGGGTTAAGCTGATGAAAGATGGTCCTGGATTTCCTGAGCAAGTATATTCATCAAAAGTATCACTGAACAAATAAATTCTGAATGCTTAATTCATTTTTTCCAGGGGATCGGAGAACCTCCTATCATGCTATCGGTAGCCTGTTACACAGCTTTACTGGATGCCGTTCATGCATTTTTGAGTGACAAAAAAGGAAATACCGAATTTGTTCAGCACGATGCGCCGTTAACTCGTAATAAACTTCTGGAAATTCTACATCAAGAGTATTCGAAATGAGACCATTTTGGAGTGTTATGAGTAGATGATCAGAGTTGTTTTTTTTTTTTGCATTTTGTTAATAAAAATTATTTCTATAGTATGGTTCTGCATTGATTTGGTGATATGAGCATTTTTGTGTTTTCTCTCCTATTTTCTCCTTATATGAGACTTCCGCTCGTTTGGCAATCTTTCCTGACTATAGCCAGTTAAGCAATGAAAAAAATTAAAAAGCAATAATATTCAATCTTCTACACGTTGGCGTTATTTTCATAAAATTCTGAGAATTATTTCTCCTCTCCATGCTATTTATCTTTGAGATGGCCTTTTCTCTTTTATTTCCCTATGCTTCACGTCATTTTGATGAAGCTCTCTTCCTCCTACAATACTCTCTTTTAATATTATTATTAATCAGTCTGCTCTAAAAGGCGAATGTACACATATAGATGTGTCAGAAAACTCTCAATTAGGTTTCAACGAACTATACGATAAATTTGGAACGTCTTGCCAAGCTTTATTCATTCAACCAGCATGAGCTGCATCATCTCATTTCCGGTTCCGTTCGCCCACCCAGCCATCGTCCCTCCCTCATTTGTTCCAACCTCACACGTTTTCTGAGTAAATCCTTCTCATATAAACCTGAAGGCTTCACTACTAATCAGTTTATAAATTATTTTACTTATGTGGCTTCTGAAGCCAGCAGTTCTCTTTTTTCCAAAATTTTAAACGCCCATTGAAATATTTGTAAAATTCCCGTTGTCGTCACCTGAACGTCGACACTAGGGATTCTTCGCGTAGTAATTGAGAAGGAAGAAAGACAATTTTCTTTTCTCCCTCCCACAACTCTCTTTATCTTACATATAACTTTTCTTGTTGTTCTTTGGAAAAGCGAATGGTTTTGTCTCCTCCCTTCCTCCTCCCAGAAGCTGCCAATATCATCGTCAAATGGACCATCATCTTCATCATCAACATTCTCCTCCTCTCGCTTGCGTCATCAAGCATATTCCTTTCTAATATAAAACCAAAAAACTTACACTCCTTCTCTTCTGATACAAAAATGTTCCTCATTGTTATAATAGATTTACTTAAAATATCATTTTTCTTCATTTCGCATTCCTCCAACATCTTACTCAACCTACCCCACGTCTTTCTTCATTCATCTCATATTTACTTTAAGTTCATGAGGTACACCCAGATTTCTTTTTATTCTCTCCTAATTAGCTTTTTCCTCTTTACTTACAAAGTATTTCTCTTTCTCTCTCTTCTAATTGTATGCCTTATTATAATTTGAAACATCCTTCCACTTAAACAACAACACAAATTATTATTCAAACATTGCTTGTGACCAGTCCAAATGACGAATTAATTCCAAATCCTTCCTCACTCAAAATTGTTCATTCTTCACTTCCTCTGCTTGTATTGAAGCATCACCCTGACCAGCTCATTCACAGAACAAGCAAGTACCTATGATTTTCGGTATTTGATGGAATCTCTTCAATTGACATCCTGTCATACCACACTATGATTTTGATTTTGATTCTTTTCGGAGAATTTTAATCAAATTTTTCTATTTCAAACGTCTTGTTTCTGTTGAAGGATGACTGAGATGCAATAAGAATGTGAGAAATAATCCAATTTTTTTGGGATCAGTTGCATATTTTTCTTTTAGCTCATACACAAACAGTAAGCAATGCATCTTCTACTTCCTTCTTGCTATCATTTCTTCTGAAAAGCTATGTTTAGATGCTGATGCATCTATCTCATAAACATCAATAACATGAAGTTTCAGCTCATTCCAAGTAATATCTTAAGCCAAATTAGTGATCAAAACTTAAAATAGATTGAGTATATGGAAATGTATAGTCAACATCCTTCAAAATCTTGAGCTCCCACCCCCACACCTAAGTGAAGTGAGAAAGAGAAACGTGATTGCTTATGTGTACAACATGAAAAACTGAAAGATTTTTTTTCGTACATATGTCGGGAAATGTTTAACAAGACAAATATAGCTAAACACGTAAATCTCGTGTGTCATTAGCATCTATCTGCAAGTTTCCTTAATATCGAAGACGTCAAGATTTACTATTAAAATGCTTCATCTGTCATTATCAGCCTGAGTTTAAAGTATAATAATGGATATGCTTCATCACATTACTTCCTTCTTTGAACTTTTGAATTTTCAGTTTCAACTTCAAGATTTACACGTCATTCTATTTTCTTTTAATAATACGAGTTATTATAGAACCTCTGATCTTTCACTAAGTTCAAAGCTTTTGTTTTTCTTTTGTTTAATCAAAATTTCTGTTGCCATTGTAGGCATTTCCCTCTACTTTTTACGTTTTCCTCATCTCACCCTTCCTCTCCCCTCTCTCCATCTCTCTTTCTCTCTTAATCTTTCTCTCTCTTTCTCATTTGGTTTTTTTCATATCTCAACAAGCTCAACAAAAACTTCCGCGTGAAGTTCACGTAAGCTTTACTACGTTAGGTTCAACGCATTTTAGCATTTCTTCGAAAGTTGAAAGGCTGAAACTATTTTCTCTTCATTCTTGTTATTATCCCTCTTCTGAAAATTGATAATCTAAACTAAACCCTCTTATAGGTAAAATATGTCACGTCTTCACGTGTTTTCATTCATTTTATTGGTTCTGTTGGCACTAGCGCAAGCCAGTAGTCTCTACCGATTCAAAAATGTGAGTGAATCCTAGCATTCTTATTAGATAAATTGTCATCTTAAACGTTGTATTTATACTGAACATCATATATTCAGAACCAGGACAACGCCATTCCCAGAAGTTCCTTACTCATATCTGGACGAGGCTTTATGCCTGGTTTTGTTGATCAGCCATCTTCCATCTTTCTCAAAAAACGTGGCCAAGTAGGCTTTTTCAATGTATGCTGATTCAGATTAAAAGTGATCCGGAAACAAATTATTACAAAATGATATATTTAGGCCCAAGAAGATAAGCGCAGCGGAAGATCAGTTGTACCCAGAAGCGGAGTGCCCCGAAGTGGTTTGCTGATATCCGGTCGCGGTTGGCTCCCAGGCTTTTATGTAAGCAATAATCAAGTTGAAAAAATGAAAGCTATAATTATAGGAACAAGACTGGACAAATCAGATATATTTATAAGAGTAAAAAATCAACTATCCTCATCAAGGATGGAACGTGAACCCAGGGCAAACATTGATCTCCGAAGGGGGCCATTCTTAAGATCTTAAAAATCTGATTGGGCATCTACGATTGTTCCAATGAAGTTTTCTGTTTATATCATTTTTTTTTCATTTCAATGTAAACAACAACAATTATTTATCAACTCTATCCATTCGTTTATGATAACCCTCTGGATTTCCAATAAAGTGATTATTTGTTACGATAAATTATGAAATATATATGAAAATAGTATGTAAATTTTATTAGATATATGTAAACGACTGAATTTTCATTTACGACTTACTAGATATGACTAGAGGTTACGATGAACCTGGATGTCGCAAAACACACACAACCGTTCAGTGCTGAATAACAATCTAAAATGCGCTAAGCACAGTTATGAAATTATTATCGATTTTTTGTAGTTCACAAGCTTCTGCTTCGCGCCAATCAGTTTGACTCATATACTGTTCGATGCCCAGTGGAAGCGAGCCGATTTTCCGAAGGCATTTTACCAAAATTAATGCAGTTTCGTTTTCTTGATGTTTTTCCATTCTAACCTCGCTTTTAAATCACTAGGAAGATCCCTCGGAATTCTTTCTGACTTTACCGTATAAGGATGATCCTCCATCAAAAATACGCTGTACAGAGCGATCGAGGTAATTTGTGTTATCATTATTGAATATCAACAACTTTCTATGCTCAGACGCTTATTAAATGGATATTTAAAATCACTCCCGGTTAAAATTTGCGAGAAGCCCAACTGGGAAGGAAGATCGTTGCCGTTTTGCAATAATGAATTAGCTCGTTTAGAGCGTAAAATGAATCGAGTATGCTTGAAAATTATTTAGTCTCTCTCTCACCAGTTCCAGATTTTGAGTTCTCTGGGTCGGGAGGAAAAGCTGAGACGAGCCAAAAGAGTTAATCCCTTCGAAAATGTCAAGAAAACGTTTTCGACAAGGTGAAATGAAAGATTGGGAACAGCCTGTTCAATTCATTTTAGAAACGCTACCAAGCTGGCAAATTTAGATAGAATGTTTGATTACAAATTGATAGATCCAACAAAAAGATTAGAATCTGTATATTTCACGGTTGTAAAATGAGTTACACATACTTCCTTAGGAACATCCAAGCCATGTATGTAATCCTCTTTTCTACGTAGCTGATATAGGCTGCGGTCTAGGTACTGGTAGTTATACCGAGTATATTGTACGCCGCCGCCAGTTTTTCAATTGCAAAAGCTTTGGTATCAGTACAGATTGTTAGACAATGACCGTAATATAGAATTATCGTTGTTCTGTTATAGATTCCTACTTGTCTGCCCCTGGAACATATCGAAGCTCTTGGCCTTTCTTTCTCGATATGTTTTATAGAGAGGGAGATATGGAAATTACCGAAGAATCTGTAAGGCTAGAATTTGAAAAATTTGTGAGAAAAGGTTCGAGGAAAAAAAATGAAATCGACATTTTTCTTAACCAACCACCATAGGTACAAATGGAAAAATGGTAAACCTCTGCTTGGCTGACGCAGTGGGTTGGCATCCTAATGAGCCATATCACGTATGTTATATGTTATGAGTTCTCTGTTTCGTTAGATTTAAATTTTCAGGAATTTTTTTTCATGAAAAAGTTTGTAGCAGAACTTGTGACTTCTTTAAGAGTTTTGAGAGAGGGTGGCACACTTGTCGCTACATGTTTCGAGATGAATACCGTCATGAGGTTCGTAATACCTTTTTTTTAAATCATCAAGCTCTGCAGTGCTGGACTATTCTACCTTCTGTATTATTGCTTCCGTACAGTCAGCATAAACAAACCCAATACATCAAGACCGTCCAGTTCTGAAAGGTTTTGTATTTCTTCTATTTAGTTTATCTGTGTTGTAGGTTCCTAGTTTGCGCAGGATATTTTTCAAATTTAGGGCAGCAAGTTATTTTATACATGGAAAAGTTTGTGCTTCGCATCAATACTGTAGTATTCACTTTTTTCAGGATTCTAAGAGTTTGGTATCAGAATAGTTCCAAGGAAATTGTCGAATGCGTTCCCGCCGCAGTCTTTGAATCCGACGTGAGGTTTAAAAATTATTTGTTATCTGTCAATGAAAAGTAAGTTTTAGTTCTGCTGATAGTGAAAGTATTTTTTAGCCTTCTAAAGAAACAAATAGAGTTCATGGAACACATGGTTTCTGACAGAAAGTTTGCTGAACCCGCAGTGAGTTTTCTTACGAAAGCACCGATTTTTCAGTTTTTCAGGACTTCACAACAAAGCTTAGTCGGTATTTGAACTTCCCCGTCAATGCCGTATATAGTAAGTATCTGTTTTACCAGAAACCGGGACAGTTTTACAGCCTTCTACAAAAAGTCTGTCCTTATCCATTCTATATGAAATAAAACAATTTCAGAAATGCATTCCTGCTAGATGTCAGAAACGGTGTCCGCGGAGCGTTCTTATGGTTACTTCTACTATGTATCCTTCCATTCTTTGTAGCACTCTGGTATTACTTAGAACTCTAACTTTCAATCCCGCTTTAGAAAGGTACTTTCATTAATAAAGGTCAAGAATGGGTCCCCATGGAAAATTTGTGCATACCCCCGTTTACAATTTTGTCAGTTGAACACAGCGATATGTTAACTAAGGAAGTAATTATAAACAGTTCTTTGTTTTTTTCTACAGTTCTGTTCCAGAATGGCTCTTTTGGATGTATACGTATATTGGATTGTGTTATTTTACATGGTTTGGAAGTCAGCAATCATTACATGAGTGATAGATTGAGAACTTGCGAAAAGTTTCTGAAAGCTATAGCCCCGGTTTGCTTCTAGCATCCTACTAGAGAACTAAAATTTTCAGACTACTGGAAGCTTTCATTACAATTTAAACAAGCGAACATTTATCACACCAACTACAATGTGCTCAGCGAAAATTTATCCTGACATAGAAACGGTGAGTTAACTGTAGTGTTATACTCGAAGAAATGAACTTTTTTCACAGCTCCGTAGGCAGCTTCCTAGAAAAACGTTCGCGCAAGATTACATTCGTGAAAATGACCGAAGCATCGCATGTGATTATGTCTTAGAACTGGAAGAAAATGATGACTTCTGGGTAACATACAGAAGATTCAGAGATTCTAAGATTGGCAATACTTGGCACATATAACAGCGGAGATAGAAGGTGTTCTCCGCATTTCGGTTTTCCAGCCATCTCATTCAAATAATGTAAAGCATTGGTCTCTTAAATGAATATAGAAATTGCATTTCAAATCAATTTGATGCAATATCCTCTTCCACCCAATTCGAGTTATCTTTTAAAAGAGAACAACGATTTGTCTTTCCTCAATTAAATTATATTTTCAATTCATAGACTGGGTAAGTAGTCGTTTCGAAATATGAACTAAAATCTATATGGTATTAAGCTCACTTCACTGTTGCAATCTCCTAAATCCGTTTTTTTCCGTTTCAACTGTCATGTGTTTTATTCTTAACTGTCATCGTCTTATTCGTATTATATTTAATGAACTTCATTCGTTTTAAATGTTGTTTGTCGTCTCGTCGTATTCTCATAACCACCTACCTACCTTCCTCTAACGATTAATAACAATAAAGTATTTTTGACCATTTCATTTGACTTGTTATCATCAATGATTTGCGGATTTTTTGGTCTCTGTTTTTCTCCATTCATCAACTCATTATATTTTCGTGTTGAGGCCTGCCATTCCATAGAAGGAAAATGAGAAATTGTCATGACATTTTACAGAAAAAAAAAGAAAAAGAAAAAAAGAAAATTTCCGGTTCAATAGATAAATTGATATTTGAAAATTAAAAAATATTTTTGTCATTAAAGCAGCATATATTGCATTTAAACCTTTCGTATAGCACATTGTGTATGATCTAATTCAGACAAAATGAACAAAAATGTTTATAAAAGAATAAAGAAAATAATAATATATTTCTATTTATACATCTCGTCTCTTATTTTCTTATTTATTTATAAAAGAAAAAAAAACAATTAAATTAGTTTTTTTTATTAATACTCTCACGCGGATTTATTCATATGGAATAACAAATTCCTTCTTTTTCTTTTTTTATGTGCCTAGTTAACGCAGTCAATGAAGCAGAAGATTAAGTAATAATATTTATGTTTATATAGTTAAGCATTTGTAATATTCTACTTGAGCGCTTGATGTTTATGCTAATTTTTGACTTTTCTTACATTTTAACTATATGTATGCTAATGGGCGCAGACAGCTCTATCTCAGTTTCATTTAAGTAAGCGTCGATACGCAGAACGGTTGTGTCTGTCTTTTCATCTTCCATCTTCCTCACTACACATACCATATCTATATCTATCTATGTACATACATATCTATATATATAATATATAATTACGTATACAGACAAATGTTTATACACATATCTATATATGTATGTATAGACAGATCTACATATCTTCATACATTAAGCAAATTGTAATCTTTGCGTTGTTAACTATTTTTTTTCTGTTGCATCTTAACATTTATATAATCCTTTAAATGTATGTTTTTCTATCTACTTGTTTCTTTTCATCGTCCTCCTCTCCTCACACACACACACACCCATTTTCATATCAACCTTATTCAGTACATTCAAATGCTTTCTTTACTTCATTCCTTCCTTCTTTGCTTGCCTTCCTCCCTCTCCCTTTGCTTCCCTCCTTTCGTCCCGTCCCTTTCTTCAATTCTACCCTTTTCTTCTATTTTATAGATCCGTTTCTCTTTACTTGCAATTTCTTTCCAGGATGGATAATTTGATATTTTATCTTGTTTTTCTGAATAATTAATTTATAATTTTTCTATTATTGAAATTCGATCGTTCGCTGCCTTGCTTTGATTGCTTCCTGCTGGATAATGGAAGACTTTCGAGAAATAAAAAAACCTCCTAACCAATTCATAAATCAATTATTATAAATAAAAACTGATAAGAAACATTTATTTTATAATTTCATGCTAGAACACGTGAGCATTTGCAACACAGTTACCCTCTCTCCCTCTTTCTCTCTCTCTCTCGACCGACCTCTTTTTCTTTCTCTCTCTCTTCCATTTTCCTTTATTTTCCATCATATTTTATTGGAAGTTCTTTATTTCTGCTACTTGCCTTCTATTTATATTTCGCTTTCTTTGAAAATTTTCCATAATGCATTGCTTAACTTGCTTGAAAAGCTTTAATCTGACACTTGAAACATACACAATAACTACTTCACCAGCTCATCAGTTCACCCATAGCCTTCATGCTCATATGCTTCCCGTTTTTCTTTCTTTTTTCTCCACCAATTTGCACACATTTGCCATTTCGTTTGATTTGAAGAGAGAAAAAAAAGCATTTTTCTGTAGTTTTCTAATATTGCCTTCAATCATTGGCCGTAATTCGGATGAATAGCTTCCTTCAAACAATTATAATTCTTATTCACTTTCTCTGACTTCAGAACTATTTTCACGTCATTCACACGTAAATTAAAAAAAACAATCAATTAAGCATTGGGAGCTATGGAAAGGATACGTAAGCTGAGAGAATATAAATGATTGCTTTACTAATTTCAATATAATATTCATATAAATAGTAAAGAATATGATTAGAGAGTGCCAGAGATTACAACTTTCTGATCTTTCAGAATTAAAAATGAGCCCTTTTAGAAGAAAATAGCAGAACGATTGGTTTGTCTTTCTCTCTCTCTCCCTCTCTCCTCCTAGTTCCCTCCCTCTTTTCCTATAATCTGCTCTACTCAGTTTCTTCATCTTTTTCTGCTTTCTTTAAACACTCAATTTCCTTTTTTGTGTGTATATTGTTTGAGATTTAAAGATGTTACCCACACATATCTGACACACTAACGACTTCTTCATCGACTTTGTGATTTTTGAGTGAAAAATGGCTTTTTCCTTCTTTTTTCTGACTCATGCCCCCGCTTTGAGCATTCCTAATGCTCTTCTTATCACATGTTTGCATGTATTTAAAACTCATTCATGTAATTGAATTATCCATTCATTCCAAGCTCAATATCTATAATCCTAAATCTTCCTTTATGCAATTTTTGCTTCTATTTCACTTCGTTATCCTACTCTTACTCTTTTCATTTGACAAGGAACATTCAACTGGCTGTAACATCCCTTATTCTGCTACTTCAAAATGAATTTCTGCCAGTTCAAACCTTTAATTTCATCAAACTATTTTCAACTTTCAGACTTTTTTTATTTCGTTTTTGTTGTACTAAACTTCCTCCACTATTCATTTTAATAACCCTCTCGCTTTCAAAGGAGAGAAAGAGAGAAAGAGCAAGCAAAATAAAGAAGGAGAAGGTAGTATTGAAAAAGCTTTCAAAACTTTCAAATTCAACATATGGGCGATCTCATTGGAAGTCTTCAAACTTCTATCAAACTTTTCTCTTCTTCTCATAGATACGCTATGATTCTCTTATTCATAGTACGCAACAGCTTTCTCTCTAGTACTTCATCTAATTTTATAAATTCGTTTATTTCAGAATTATATGGTTATTATCAAATAAGAAGCTTACATGATCATATGCTATAACACAACTATCCAAATGTGAAAAAAAGAAGAAAATCTATAGAGTTCTCTCAAATATAATGGAAACACTTCCTATTGTCGATGAGATAGCTCTTGTGCCTAGAGGTGAGAATGTTGTTGTTTCACTCTCAAAATGGAACGTTTCAGATGTTGGCGGTGAAGAGGATTCTTCAGCTGTTGATAGTATAACAATCGTCAGCCGGGCTGAAAAAAAGAAAAACAAATTGGTCAAAAAGTTTAATCGGAATCCTCTGTCTTTCTATCAGGTATCCAATCAACATTATCATCCTCACATGCAGCTTTGAAGGTTATTATAATTGGAATTATTGTTCTCATCATCATCATTGGCTGTGTAGCTGTCGAAACATACATGTCAGTTTTCCATCTTTCTAAGTTTCAACTTCTCTCATCTTGCTCACTACTTTCTTTTCTCCGTGCCCTTTGTTTCTCTCACATTGCCTCTAACTCTGTTGCACCCTATCTTCTTCTTCCTTCACTTCCTGCAAAGTTTTAAGCACTTATTATGATTTTTTTCAAATTATAGAAGTACAAATAAATTGCGACCAAACGTCCATCCCCACTCATCAGATGATGAGAAGTATCATCGTAGAATAGTGGACAAAGTAAACTCTCAGAATATTGCTTGGAAGGTTCGTTGAATTTTCAACACATGACGTGTCTCTTTTCCGCTTCAAGTTCAAATAGATGGTTTCTTTAATTAAACAAAATAGCTTTGAATTAAAGGCAAAATATAATCGATTTGCATCTCGAAGTGTCGATGACGGGTCAAGCTCAGGAGATGCAGAAAGGAGTCCAATTTTGGAACGGCTGAAGATGTCGCCACAGCAACTACTTCAAGATACAAAACAACATTTAAAGGAATTATTACAGTTTGTATTCGACTAGCTGATATATTAATAGAAATACATTCATCTAGTTATAACATGAGTATTCCAACCGTGTATGACACGCGTTTTAAATATCCTCAATGTTGGTCGGTACATCAGATATACAACCAAGCTGGCTGTGGATCATGCTGGGTTAGTACACACCTAACACAAGACAAATATTTTTTAAAATTATTTTTCTTTTAGTCGGTTGCAGCAAGTTCTGTTATGTCTGATCGTATTTGTATTTCCTCGAATGGAACCACACAAATTCAAATAAGTGCCCTGGATTTAACATCTTGTTGTCATACTTGCGGAGGGTAAAATCAACTTCCTCGTACTTCTTTTCTCATTGCTGTCTTCAGATGTCAAGGAACTCATTGGGCTCTATCTGCCTTTACTTATTGGAAAGAGCACGGAGTCGTTTCAGGTACATTCTTTGAGATGTCCTTAATACACTTATCGATTTGAGGGGGATCATACGGTACTCATGAGGGATGTCGACCGTACACGATTGAGCCTGACTGTGGAAGTCCATGCTCGTCAAGTCAATACTCCAAAGAACGAACGCCTTCTTGTACAAGAGAATGCCGTCCTCATTATGACAGAAAGTACGACGAAGATATCACAAAATGTAGGAAGCTGAAGAGTATTGAATATTACATACATGTTTGTTTAAGCTAGACGTGCTTACTGGATTCGTGCTTTCCATGGAAGTGCTGAGTTCACCTTAGTAAAAGTTACTTTAGACGATCTGGTCGGAGGTACGATACAATGTATTGTTTTGCTCAATCAAAATATCTACTTCAGATAAATATGTATCTTTAATACAAAAAGAAATTTTATTACATGGCCCTGTGTTAGCCTGTTTTACACTTTATGAAGATTTTCAACATTATTCGAGTGGTACGTTTAGGCTGTTGTACTTTTTGTACTTTCAATTGAATTCTTTAGGAATATATTCCGTTGATGAGATGCGCTCGGAGCAGTTATACGGTCACTGTGCAAAACTTCTGGGATGGGGAGTGGAAGATAATAAGAAATATTGGCTTTATAGTAATACTTGGGGTCGTGATTGGGGTGAAAACGGTATGACATGATCATCTCATTCTATTCAATTGAACTTTCTATCGTTTTCAGGCTTTTTCCGAGTTTCTTTCGATGAAATTCCTGAAGAAGTTGTAGCCGGTGTTTTATAAAATAGTCACAACGAAGAACATATTCATTCTTATACATACATATGTTTTCTATATATCTATATCTAATCATAAAGAGGATCACCTAATGCATGAGAAAATTCTTTAACCATAAATCCTGTTTTGATGCAACATCGAATTGTTCGTAGCTGTGCTGGAAAGTTCTTTGCAAGGTCCACCATAATCTGGTGACTGCACTCAGTACTAGCACAAGGAATAAGCTGCTTACGAAGAGCTATTTTTTCTGGCCTGTCAGGCAGAAATTCCCTAAAACAACGATCAATTAATAATTGACGTTTTAGGAAAAGGAAAGGCTTGTGTGGTCTCTGAAAAAAAATATAATAGAATTATGATTTGGAACTTGTTGACATTTCGATTTACCTTTAAAATTTCACCGCAAGCTCCGAGTATAAGACATGCTATCAGAATTTTGACTAACATTTTGAATCTCAAGTCAATGCCCTCTTCTTTTGGTATTTAAACGTTGCACGGGGTGACAAGTAATCATCTTTTTTTTTTTTCAATTAAACTTCAAAGTTTTTCGTTTACCTAACTTAATTGAACTGTTTTTTTTGTATATAAGTTTAACAATCAAATTGAGAATCACGTTCATCACTAATGAAATGTAATTTACAACCTGAATTTTATTATAAAAAGTACTCAATAGAATTTATGCAACCGATCTCATCCATAAATATTATAAAAATGTTTTCATATGTTTATTCTATGAACATCTGACATGGTATGCTAATTACTTATTAGATGTTCGGGTACACGCAAGGAGTTTATACTTGAATTGAAATTTCCATTTCAAACCTTATATCAATAATTTTTTATTCAAGTAAAAAGTAACAATAACAGAGAACATTTCAAAAAAAATTTCACACGACATTTTTCCTGAACCAGCGATTTGGTTATTCATGCATAGCCCATTTGTACATAACCTGCAAATATGAATATCTCAGCTTTCTCGATTAAAGGAAGAAAACTCACTTCCAAAAAATGTTTGTCTTGCAATAAGTCCGAAGTCAGACCTAGTTCCACGGCGACACGACTTGTCAAACGATTGACACGATTGAATTCCGAGGATATAAGAATAGAGCATTTCGTAACAATGTTTTGTTTGATATCCAGCGGGATTCTATGAATACGGATAAGTTCAGGTATGGGAGATTAGAACGAACTTATAATTCGAAGCTGCTTGAGCAATCAAACAGATTATATAAGCAGCGCATCGTGTAGATGTTTCGTCGTTCAAACTTAGTTCATTAAAACTGAAAAATTCCAAGTCTACAAATGTATTAATGGGAGCTTTACATTGAGAACATTTCCTCCAAATCCTCTCTCAACGATGATTCTTTCACTTCTGCTGCTAGCTTTGCTACTTTACAGATTTTTTGGATGAAAATGGACTTTGTCAAGTCTAATGGAACTTTCCTTTCGTTTTCGCCAAATTGTATACTACGATCTCTAAAATGAGGATAACATGAGTTGAAAACATTTAAACTTGTCCCCCAACTCTCTTAGCAAAGACATAAGGTATTGTCCATCGTAGAAACTGTTGATCCCATGCGAGTTGACCCGAGACTGTAAACAAACTGTCAGTTATTCTTCGAAAAAATGTTACAACCCGGATGAGATTGGAAATTTTCAGATGTTTCGTAACAGGAACTAAACTGATGATAACATCAGTACAAAACCTTCGTTCGCGAATACACGGAGAAGTTTGAATCCAATTAGAAACGACATCTTTTATCGTTTCTATCACTCTGTAATTTTTGATTCTTTAAAAAAAAAGATGTGTAACAAACTTAGAATCTTCTAGAATGTAAAAATCTTGATGACCAAGATAAAACTGTGAAAAGAATGTGAGCAGAAGAATTCTCTGAGGCGAAGTCCATTGTTCAGTAGAACTTCGTACCAGTTCTTTCACCTTAACAAATTTTAGATTGGTTAACGGTTAATATTGCTAGACCTACATGTTGCCAGATACTATTCCATTTATAAACTAAGTAAAACAGGGGTTGTTGGCGACTCTTGGTGATAGCTCGAACGGTAAACCCTGAAAACGAAGTTTCTATTTCGGTAAGAAATATCCGTGATTTACCGAAAAGAATTGTAGCAGAGCTACGAACTAGAAAGTCTTCATGCGTTTGGATCTTGATACAAAAGCGGAATAATGTACTATAAGCTTCTAGCGGTAAATCTTAAAGAAAAACGTATCAGATAAACAGTCATTCAACCCAACCACAATCAGCTTTAGAGAAGAAAAGCTTCAACGTTTTCAAAACTCTGCTGAGCACGCTAGGGGTTGTTGTACCCGGGTTTTCAATGAAGTTTGATACTTTTGCCCAGAATAAACAGAAATTTGTTGAATTCGATGCACAAGTTGTCCATAGTATTCGGGAAACACACAGTGTCCTGACACTCGAAGAAGGAGAAAGCAAAGCTTGAGAAGCCTGGAATTACAAGTGTGTTTTGAATGAGAAATATAAATTTACTTTTTCAAAACACTCATCGACAACAGCTAAATTTTTTGGAAGAACTTTCTCCAGAAGTGTGCATCCCTGGTCAACAACAGCTTTCATCCTACATCTCGTGATTATGGTCCATATAGTTGACACTACAGTATCGAAGGGAACACTTTCAGATGAAACAAGCTTGTTCATCAAGCTCTGTAAAAATATCTCTTCACCGGGCAATTCGAAAAAACTAACTGTTAGTTCTTTTGTGAAAACTCGATGATTTATATGAGCTTTCTGAAGATGCTCGTACAGAACTGGAAACGTTGGACATTCATCGGAATCCCGAGAGCCCGACACTTGGAGAAGAAAAGAAACTCTTTCTGGGATGTGTGTAACTTCAGGTAGCTCTGGTATAGTCATATCCTCGCTCATGAAACAGTTTCCTCCCTGTATAATCAAAAGATGAAGCAAGAAAGTTTGATCATACTTCGTCTCGTTCGGTTTCGATATGTTTTCTCTCTTTTTCTTGTTGGTTCCATATTTCCAAGCATGAAACGCTCAGTTCCGTTGTTTTAACAATATCTCTTATTTCGTTGAGTAAGTCATCACTTGTTGAATCAAAATTAGCCATAATGAAAACCTCTAAAGTCGTAAAAAAAAAGTTTTCGAATGCAAGTTTGAACTACCGTATTGATCAGCGGGAGCATTCAGAAGACGAATAATTTGGAGAGCTCCAAGCCTTATTTCGACATTAGGCCATTTCAAAGCAGACTCGATAAGCTGTAAAACAAAACGGTTCAGCTTTTTTCTTTCAAAATTCGATTACTGGATCTGACAGAGTAATAGGTACATTTTTGAAACGTCGAAGAAGTATATTGGCCAACGCAATAAAAGCGGATAATACTCTATCTCGATACTCTAAAACGTCATCCGACTCTTCCCAAGTCCATTCGGCGTTGATACAACTAATGTCCTAAACGTATTTTCAATCTTATAATCATATCCACTTCGAAGCAACCTCAAACTCCCAAACATGCAAAGGCCAGAAAGGATCAAACTCTTTCTTCTCTGATCTATTCCACTCTACTCGTATGATGTTAGTGAGTAGGACAAGATTGGCCAATATTTTTTTGTTCGGAGAAAGTCTTGAGAGCCATACCCTCGTTAAATTGTGTCGGACAATGCTGAAGTTGAGGCTAATAAAAAAAAGGAAGCAAGTTCAACAGCTAACTTCTTTGAGGATAGTAGCAGAGACACGGCTAACTTAATCATTTCTTGGGAAGTTCTCTCATCGCTAAATAGATGCGTAACTATTCCTGAACTTAATGTTGCCAAATCCTGAGAGCATGCCAAATGAGGAATGATTTCGAAAATTTTTGTAATCTCATGCTGCTCCTTTGAAAATAGTGTGGATAATTGTCATAATGTAATGTCCTATTTACCAAAGTTTCAGCTGAGCATAACAAACCCAAAGCAAACAGAGCGCTTGGCGAATCTTTTGGAAATTCATCTAAAATGTACCATCTGAGCTGAAATACGAATAATAAATTACATTTGAAAATTAATAATAATCCTGAAATTTTCACATAATAGTTCACATCTTTTTCTTGCGCTAGAAATTGAATTACTAATTTCCATTAATAATTTCACACAGACACACACGCTGCTTATGCAACCGATTCATGAATTAAAATGCTGATAAATGAACGTGGAATCTGCGTCATTCTCGCGTGATATTTCATGAATTAGCATATCACGAGTTTATACATATAGTAAAGATCAATCTTACTTCTTGTCGTTCTTCGAACGTATCAAACAGCTTGAGAACTGATTTAATCAAATGAGTTGTGTCTTCGCTTCTACATTCATAAAGGATAAACGCTGATATCAAGAGATTTCTGAATGATATTGTGAACATATACGCCAACAGAGTATTACCTTTTCAGGCTTTTGAATATTTCATCATTCAATTTATCTACAATTTGTTTTCTCGACTTTGCAACACGCTGAATTAGCTCAGATACGAACAAAAATTCTGAATCAGTCGGCCTATAATTTCTTGAATAACACGCGAAGCAGTCATTAACAAACCCCAAATTATGCTTTGGGTAGACTTTAACCCAATGATTTAGAAAAACTATCAAGTTCTCCGCTGTACAACTTCCGATGAAAGCAGCAAGGCCGATCCAATTTCCAGGTTGAGTAGGAGAAAGTAGATTCTTAATTTGATATGCGACTTTCTTAGTTGACGTTGTAAACTTGGAAATAAATTGTTATAGAGGCATATTAACAATAATAGCCACCTTTGGTGATTCTAGCACATTATTGACTTCTAGCAGTATATCCTCCTCGTTTACATCATCATGTTGTTGGTGAAGCTGCTGATAAAGAATCTTATATGAAAACAGGACTGATTGACTATATTAAAACGTTGTATCTTACCCGCAGTTTTTGTAGAACTGCCCGATCATCTAGTTGCAGAAGTAACATAAACTTAAAATAAATCATTTAAAACGAGATTCGACCTAATCTCCAGTTGGTTTAGGGATATAAGTAAGCCACAAACAGTTATTTTTCTGAAGTCATAATGCGTGTACTATTATCTCTTCTATTTATCCAAGCAGTATTTTGTCAAACACTTATACCCTACATGATTAACCCTTTCAATTTGAACAACTTCCAAAATCCACTGATGGCTTACACAACAACTACAGAAAGCCCCCCTACTTTCTACAACAACTATCTGTATGTACCATTTTACTTCAAATCTAATCCTCAATCTTTCAGACAAAAAGGATATAAAATGGATGAACGGGGTACACTATGGAGAGAGTACAACCCGAACTTTCATTACTATATCTTCAATAAAAGCACATATCCATAAATATTCGGCTCTCAACCAATCAGCATTGTTATTATCATTAGAATGACTCGAAGATTTGAATAAAATTCCTTTATTAGGTTGCCGTTTTGAACACCGGAAAAAAATAAAACATATTCACAGGGATTTATCCAACGATAAATCCATCAAAAATTACGACAACTTCAAAAACTGAACACTACCAAAACTATTCGCAACAACAACGACATCTGAATTCTAAAAAGAAAGTTTCAATCTTTTCAGGTCATTTTCACACTCACCTTTCTCCAACAAACAGATGATATGAACCCTTCGGGATCTCCCACGGTTTCCTCTTTGCCCACATAACTTGCTAGTATTGGGTCCGATATGTATTTGTGATAAAAATAGACGCTTCCATTCTCGCTTCCTGAAAAGGCAATATAGATTCCGTTTTGGTTCGATGAATTACCACACATGACATGATCACTTCCATTATCACTCAACCCGACAAAATTTTTCTCATTAATATGCCCGCGCAATATCCGGATACATCTACCAGTCTTAGCACACCATACTCGCAAAGTACTATCCGTAGAGCTGAAACGTTGTATTGTGTGTTTAACGATTTCAATAATCTGCACTTACGCTGATACAACTTGATCATCATTCACATATCTTACATACGAAACAGCTTTTTTGTGGCCTTTCAATATGCTCACAGGAGTTGACGGCTGTCTGATGTCATACATATGTACTGTGTGATCTGCGATATATGTTTTGACCAATTTGAATAATTAAAACCTCACCTGCTGATCCGAAGGCAATATTGAATTTGTTAGTTGGACTAAAACATACGCAACATACATTAACTTTGGCATCGATACAAGTAACTGATCTATCACAATTTAAACTCCATATTTTCACCTGAAGAATAGCAGTTAGGATTAGAGTTCACAAATAAAAGAATCTGGCTCAGCATCTAATAGAAGTTATCGTCAGCATTTCTCAGAGGATTGACAGAATTAGAGGTATAGCATCACAGCCCAGGAGAATCGAACCATCAACCCTCTCTCCCAACATATTACTTTCGCAGTACACAAAACGCGCTCGTTCAATAAGTTACAAAACACGATTCATGTTTCCAAGTCAATAAACTTTCTAAATATTTATCACTTGCCTTTGCATCATCACTACCACTCGCTATCAAGTGTGGATCCACATTATTGAAATGAACAGTCCAGCATCGTTTTTCATGTTCATGAAAGGATTTCAACACTTGTTGCTGTAAAGATATTCGTTTGCTATCTTTTAGATTCGCCTTACTGTATTGATGTCCCATACACTAACAGTTCCATCATAATCACTACTGCACATTAGCTCTCGCTGAAACTGGCTCCAAGATACATTGCTTAAAAAATAGTTGACTTTTTCAATAATTAAGAACAATTACCTTATTTTACTTCGACAGCGAAGTTGGGCTAAGGGGTAATGGTGTGCATCCGGAAAATCAACAATGTTCTCATAATTAAATATTTTTATCCTTTTTGTAACACCTGCTACAACAAAAAGTTCCCCTTCCTTATCAAACTCGAGACTGAAAACAATCCTCAAAGAGAAATCTGAGAACGGAAATTAACCTAGACACTATTGACTGTTGAGGACACACTTCCGTATCATAATTTAAAATAGCTATTCTTTCCACTTGGCCATATTTAGCAACTCCTCTAATAACCTACAAAAACAGTTGAAAACAGATGAAGAAAACGCAAAATCACATTTCCCATTCTATCTAAACGTTCTTCATCGTCTTTACAAGCACCTTCACATTCATTGCATAATGTTGAAGACAATTCATGTTCTGAATTGATGGAAACCATTGAGATATAAGATATTTAACTTACCTGACCCGTGGTTACGATTCAACAACTCAGTATAATATGCTTGCAATCCGTCGAAATGCTTTAGCATTCTGTCGCTCAACGTATCCAGAGGCTGCAAAATTAGAATATTGGAGTTAATCGCAAACAGCATTTTTCATTTCTTAAATGTAGAACACACTTAGCGGTTGTTTATAAAGTTTAAACGATTAGATACTATCAAAGCTTTCAAAACTAATTAACTCGGAACAAATCTTACTTCAGGCTCCGTGAAGACTTTCCTTCCAGAAGCAGCTAATATCCTCTTCAATTAATGAAATTAAAAATAAAAAGAATAAACAAGCTTACAGAATTGATAACATCTCTATCCCGCTTTATAATATCACATTGCCTAACAATATTGGAGAGTTGAATTTCCTTTCTTCTTAGAAACTCTCGAGTAAAAACATCTGAAACAAAACAAAGAAAAGAAATAGATGATCCGGATTCATTCAACGAACCTACAAGTGAATCAGACGTAATCGTTTGTCCGACATTCAACTCTGCCCGTTTTTTCGATAAAACCTTGATCATCTCATCGATTTCCGAAGAAACAAGGTTCGACCGTAGTATATCCGAAAACATTCTTGAAACTTCATTTTCTTCCTGCTCGAATAAAATGTTCTAAAAAATCATTGTATAAAGAACCTCTTTCGCTTTGTCGGCTGGGAAAGGGTTGACGGGAGATAGATCCTGAAAAACCATAATAAAGTTCATCATGATTCAAATTTACCATAAGGTCTATTGGTCCCTGTGAGCATTTAGGACAAACCCGTTGAACTTTCAAACTTTCTTCAATGCAACGTTGACAAAATTTATGCAAACAGGGAGTTATCACAGGACTGAGCACTGTCTGAAGACAAATTTCACTGCAAGTTAAACAGTAAACAACGGTATTTGTAAGAAACAGCTAACCAATTATCTCCTCGACGGTTCTTCCGAATTAAATCCGAAGAGCTCGGCTTTTCTGATTGTTTCGTGTTCAGATCAAAGATATCTGCAAAGAAACCATTAAAGATGAGCTCGCTAACTTTGCTCACCAGCAATAGAATCGTCGGCCCTTCTTTTTCTTTTCGGTATGAGCGGTAATTCCATACTGAAACGAACATAGAGGTCACAATGCTTGAATGAAATCAATAAGTTGAAACAAGGGTCATAAACTTCTCAGAGGTGATAAAGCTAAAAAGCGCAGATTTAAGACTTCTGAGGTAATGTTAAGGGAAGCTAAAAGCTTGTAAGTTTTTAAAAACTAACGAATGTCAAGAGCGGAACCACAACCAATCAACGCTATAAAAGGTAATATAAGGTTTTTTTGTGAATATTGTGAATTGAAATATTTATCACAATGTGCGCTCCAATGCAAAAAAAAAAGAAGCAGACACCGCGATATGTAGGCGGGGCTGTTAGACTCGCAGACATACTGTTCGGATTCTTCTGAAGTCCCGTGCTTCTTCTCCTGAAAGCCTACTTTTCAATCTGAAGTTCAAATTAAAATTCTCCAGGAGCTAGAAGAGTGCAATTTTTCTTTTGTATTAAAAATTTGTGTGAAGATGTTCTAATCATATGATTACTATTGCATAACACACGTGATGACAGGTGGCATCTTTAATAAACTCGAAATTTACAGGAAAAACCTTTCACTATGGGTGAACCTGGTCCTTCTGGCTCCGGAAATATGTTCCAGTTCCCATCATCGGTACTGGAAGATCCTGAACACTTTGCCTTATTTCAACAGCAATTGCAAGAGGTGATTAGCATTTAATCTTACATTTTGTTTTGTTTTTTAACCTTCTTTCTTATTTTTTCATTCCCCCCATGATGCACTTTATAATTAGTTACCTTATATTTCTTATCTTCATTGCTGTTTTTGACCAAAAAGGTTGACTCTCGTCTTGCCATATAAACCACGTGAAGTAATTAAATCGATGGCAAACTTGAGCGTTTCTAGCCAAGTTGTAAGTTTTTAAAAATACGATTCAATCAGCTGATCTTTTCTGACATACGAGAATGGATGTTCAAAGTTGATTAACTAAAGCTTCTGATTAGCTTTTTTGTATCACATGGCTATATTTGGCTTTATTCTTTTCTCTCATAAACATCAACAACTCTTCTCATATCAGTTTTTGCTATTTTTTTTTCATTTTTCCATGTATATACATATATCAAAATATGGTCGAGAATAGCAAGAGTAGAAACTGTTTCCTGGCTTCGTTCTTTTTTTCTGTGCGTGCCTCTCTCCATCCTCTTCCTTACTCTCGTTTTCTTCTTATGTCTCTCCCCATACACACACACATACACTTCCTTTTAAAAGTTTCTCTATTTATTTTCAGTCAAGTTCTCGCTTCTTGAGTGGAATACCTATTTTTAGCATTTATTTGCTGAGCCTCGCGTATCGATTGCTGTGCGCCAGCACATTCAAGCCAAAGCGAAGTATTTATAGAAACTCGTTTGCTTGCATCAGATAGACCAACAATAATAGAATATGCTTCTAATGCTGCATATAGCTTGAGCGGATATAATTAATGAGCGAAATATAACAAAAACAATATATATATGAATGTATTTATATATCAAAGCTAAATATATATATATATATATATGAGGAACAAAGTCAAAATCCCTCATTTCCATACCACTCTTTCCGCTTAGTACATCTGTGTCTCAGATCTCTGTCTTTCACGAGACTGAAAGTAATATACACTAAGACACTTTTCAGCTTTCCTAATTATTTCTCTCTCCCATTCCATAATTGATCTGTGATTTCTCATGTTTTCTGAATTTTCATTTTCAGGCTTTCAAACAGAAGCAAATGGAACTTGTCAGTTCTTATGAGCAAGCTCAACAAGCTTTGAACTTACAACAGTTACAGCAGTATTATCAGAACATCACTGGTAATCAAGGGCCCCCTCTTGTTACGATGGATAGCCGTGATAGCGATAGTGAGTTTAATAATATTTGAGATTTCATTTGCTTTTTTCAACGATGCCATATATAGATAATCCCTCATCTCGCTCGTCATCCGTTAGTAGTCTATTGAGCTCCAGTCTTCCCCAGGTCCCAACTACATCACAAGAAACTCCTACAACACAATCCGCAACACCTACACCTACTCATCCAATGAAGCTAAAAGCGTATAACATTTTTAATTGTTCTCTTTTTTCATTTTTGTGAATATAGGGAAATGAGATCTTTCTCCGGCTCCGGAGCTCAGACTATTTCGCAACATACGAAAGATCGCCTGAAGAATATGATTGCTCAGAGAAATAAAGAGGGTAGTCAAGGAAGTTTATGTGGAACTCCACCTCATCAACCTATGAGTCCTCAGGTTAATAAATCATTTTATGTTTTTTAATCTATGACTTTCAGATGCAAGTGAACGTCAGTTCTCCGCATTTTGAACCTTATCGAATACCAACATCTATTCACCAAGCTCCTCAAACTCCTCAGCCACAACCTGAATTTCATCAACTACGGAAAGTGAGTCAAAATTCATATTCGTTGCCGAAAACTCTCCATAATTGATTTTGCTGACTTGATTTTCTCAAAAAGCATTGGATACAACCGATCTCGATCTGGGATTTGAGTGAAATGAAAATCACCGCCACGTCAACGCGTGACGAGACTTTGTTTACGACAAGATTCAGTTAAAAAATATTTTTGAAATCTCATCGAAAAACATTTCATCATTTGATCAGTTTAATTTATCTATTTTTAGGTTAATAGTGAACCTAACTTGAAAATGAGAATAAGAGCGAAGCTGTTAAGTAAAGGAAGCAGCCCCGTTCAAAATACTCCTTCATTTAATTATTCCCATCCGCCGTTGAAAAGGTAATTATATCGACATTATCGCATTTTATAGTATTATCCAGAAGTGATAGTGAGAATTCTACATCCGGCAATCTTCCCGTTGATGCCATTTTAAGCGCTAACACAGCATTAGCGCAGAATCTAATGGTGCCGTCTCCAAGTTTGCCTAATTTGTCAGCCCCCATACCTAATCAGTTGCAAATTGGTAATTCGTCTTGTGACTTCCATATCCATATATGACATTTTGTTAGATATACCTTCTTTGTTGGCAGCAGCACAGCTTACACCTTTCTTAAGCTTACCAAGTTTGTTCCAAGCACAGCTAGGATTAGGGAGCGGGATTGAAGAGGTTTCTTTCAATCAATAGATGCAGCTTATAAAGCTTTTATAGTCCGGAATAGACAAAAACAAGCTAGATCCTCGTTTCTCATTGGGTCTCACACAGAATTTGCCAGTTGGCGGCTATCCTTCTTTACTGAAACAGCAGTTGAGAGAACTAGTACTCAGACGTAAGAGTCTAGTAAGGTACATATTCTACTATCTACTACGAAATGAGTCGACGGAATCATTGTAGAGAAGAGCAAGAAGATGAAGACTCTTATGCTAGCAGCCTATTGAATTCAAAAAGTACAGCTTCCAACCCTGAACCTAATGCTCTACCTATCACTGGATTGACTTACGATTTGGCAATGGCTAAGCATGAGTGCACTTGTGGAGTATCCAGTACGCACATAGAGAATGGGGGAAGAGTTCAGCAAATTTGGAATCGACTGAATGATGCTGGCTTGGTTGATAAGTGAGTTTTTTTCCATGTATGTTTGTATGATACGAAAACTCTCAGATGTGAAAAAGTATTAGCCAAGAAAGCATCACTGGATCAATTGAGGCTCGTGCATACCTCAACTTATGTGACTTTTTTTGCTGTTTCTCCTACAGCCTGTTTGAAAATGGAAGCTTCTCAGCTACCTGTGAAAAGCTTCGTTCAAGTGAGTTCAATGTCATCCCAGTAGCTTCTCAAATGCGGGTTCCAGTTAGCGTGTGGAGGAATAGGAATTGATACGGATACGTATTTTAATGATAACAATACTCAGTTAGCCGCTCGAATTGCAACAGGGTCTCTTATTGAACTGGCCTGTCAAGTTGTTGACGGTCGCTTGAAGAACGGTTTCGCTTGTATTCGACCACCTGGTCATCATGCAGAGCCTGATCACGTCAGTTGGCTTATCGAAGAGTTTTGTACGTTTTGTACTTGCAGGCGATGGGTTTCTGTTTCTTCAACAATGTTGCCATTTGCGCGAAGCAACTACAATTAAAATACCCTCAAAAATGTAAAAGAATTGCCATAATCGATTGGGATGTTCATCATGGGAATGGAACCCAACAATGCTTCGAAGAAGATCCCAATGTTTTGTATATATCGCTTCACAGACATGACAACGGTAATTTCTACCCCGGAACAGGAGCTGTAACAGAAATGGGAAAGGGTGCTGGAAAGGTAGAACTTTAGTCCCAACCATAATTTACATAGTTCGCGTTTAGGGTTACACTGTTAATGTAGCATTTTCGGGAGATGTAATGGGTGATCCTGAGTACTTGGCTGCCTGGAGAGCAATAGTTGAACCGATACTTGATTCCTATCGCCCGACGTTCATCCTTGTTTCTGCAGGATTCGATGCAGCTTCCAATCATCCCAAGGTGTTGGGAGGGTGAGCTATTCTAACTATTTTCAAGTAATTCCTTTTATTTTCTTAGATACGAAGTATCTGCCTCTATGTTCGGTTTTATGACTCGTCAACTTCTAAACTATGCTGATGGAAAAGTAGTGTTGGCTTTAGAAGGAGGATATGCAATCGAATCAGTTTGTGACGCTGCCGAGCATTGTGTTAAGGTCTGCTTGCTTTATACCGGATGAGCATTTACGTTCAATGTTTAGGTGTTGATGGGAGAAGAAGACGATGCTGGAAAATTGCCTTTCAAGTCCTTGGATACCGCACCGTCTGTAATGGCCCAGGAAACCATTCAAAAGGTGTGTTCCTTTTATGTAATGGGCATTGTACTTTTTTTTTCAGGTGATATCGATTCATAAAGATGCTTGGCCATCTCTCACTCTTCAACATGGTGTGTCAACCAGCGAAATGGAATGGCAGCTTATAAGACATCAACTTCAGAACTTGTCGATGGACACGAGTTAATAAAAGAGAAAAAGAAAAATCTCTAAGAAAATCATTCCTAATATTGCTGTTGAACAGAGTTATTCAAAACCGTTTGCGGTGACAAAAACTCGACACAAACGTCTCAGGTGTTGAGTATTGAATCTCATTCAAAATGCTATTCAGCATGACAAAATAGATTTATAATCTGGACTAGGTTGTACGTTTGTAAATCTTGAAAAAAACGAATAGATAGATATGCCGTAATCTGGTCTAGTCTCTGCTCTGTAAATATATTGTAAAGTCCGTAAGAGAGGCATGTGATTCTGATAATTGTGATCTTTTCCTCCTAAATACTCTCAGATTTCTATTAACAGTGTACATATAATACGCATATAATAAAGCTTTGTTATTTATATCAGTCAGACGAAACAGCTTTGTTCATTCGTTGTGCTACGGTTATATACCTGAAATCGCCAAAATCATAAATCGAATTGACATCGACTTGCAGGTATGTCCAACCAAGAGGGGTCGAATCCGGAAGGGGCTGCTTCTGCAGGGTCAGCTCCTAAGTCCAAAGTAAGATATATGAACACAATTTTTTCCAAGTAAAGATTGTGTTTCAGCTTGACTCCTTGAGCAGAGAAGACCTCATTAGATTTGTAAAAAAACAAGTAGAAAATAATAAGGAAGTGAAAAAAAATGCTGATCAGGTCCAAAATGAATTGGTTTGAGTGTAGTTTGGCCGTTTATCAGAAAGCGCACACATTTTCAGAAAATAAAGGCAGAGGAATTAACTTCAGTTCAATCACAGCTTGAAGTTTGCACGAATGAAAAAGCTTCTTTGTCCAGGAGAATAGAAGAACTCACTGGCAAACTTGAGTTTCTTAATATGGTGAAGACATTTGTTTGACCAACAATACGTTCTTTTTCCGCTCTTCAGAGTGTAGCAGAGAGTAATAACGAATGTACTGCTAATGAGCTTATTTTAAAAAATAAAATAACCGAGTTCGAGGCAGAATTCCAGAAAACAAAGGATGAGAAAGGCAATTTAGAGCAGCAGGTTTTCCTTTTCAACCTCTCTATTATTTTTTCTTCCCGCTTGTTCCCAGAATAATAAGATGCTTACTGAACTTGAAGCCGCTAATACACTCATTCTGGAGTTACGATCACAGGTAGATGATTCCCAAGCAGAAGCTGTTGCTCTCCGAGAACGAAGGACAGTTGCGGATGTGTTTTCTTTAGAGATTAAAGACTATGAGAAAAAGGTTCATGGCGAAGACGATAGTAGAAGCATTATCTTTTTTAGGTTAATAATCTTCAAAAAGAGTTGAAAGAAGCCGTCGCAAGTTCAGCTTCTATTCGGGAAGAACTTGCCAATCTCAAGAGCCAACATACGTCAACCAAGTTTGTGCGTGGTTTATTCACTGTATATAATGAAAACGCTGCAGATCTTCGCAAGAAATTTTAATTAAAGAGAAGGATGACACGTTGAAAGAACTTGACCGCTTGAACAAAGCTTTACTAGGTTCTATTATTTCTCACACTGTTTTCCGTTTATGCTACAACTTGCAGAGGAAGGGGTTCGATCAAATGAGATTCAAGAAGAACTTGCCCAAGTCAAATCAAAGCTTAATTCCATAGAAGATGATAGAGGAAGTGAGAGAATAGAACTCAGTAGAGAAGTTGCAGAGGCTCAAAGAAAAATTAATGAGTATGTTGAGTTTCGAAGTGATTTTACATTGAGCTCTCTAAAGATTAGAGGACACTGTGACCATCTTGAGGGACGAGACTAAAAGGTTGAGAACCGACCGAGATGCAGCGGAAACTAGGGCCGAAGATTTGGCTAAAGATTATGAAAGCTTCAAGGTACCTTTTTTTTATTTTCTTGTGAAGCTCATGTTCATCCGATTTATAGAGTCGAGCCAGGTTTGTTTTAGAACAAAAATCAAAGCAAGACGCGCAAGAATCGCATACGGAGGAAATAGAAAAGTTGGAGAAAACATTAGCAGAGTTGCAGGAAACGATCGCTACACTCAAGTAAGTTTGCTCTTCCAGAATAATTTGCAAAAAACGTGAAACGCATCTTTTTTGTCTCAAGCTAATTGAAAACGCTCAAAAGCTTGAGTGCTTTTTTGGATGCAACCGGTCCCCTCATGAGCGAAAAGTTAAATGAATAACTAAAGCGTGTGCGCGCATTCCATTTTTTCTGCTCTAATCAGAACCTCTATTATTTTCATTACATTTTTGTTATTTCAGAGAGAACAGATCTGGTCTTCAAAATGATTTATCTCGTGCACGTGAGCAAGTTGTACATCTGGAAACTGAAAACAGAAAATATCGTCGCGAATCAGATGAAGCTCAACTTTTGTTAGCCACCACGTTTGTTCTAACGAAACGCTAGAAGTGTACTTGAAATGGATATTTAAGGATGGATGAACTACGAGCTTCTAAAACGGATTTCGAGAAGAATGTCATTGAGAAAACTCAATTGTCCGCACATTTACATAGTCTTACCTGTCAAATTGACACACTCAAAACACATAATGATAAGGTATTGTTCTGAAGTGTCTGAGAATGAGCTGTATTGGTTAATTGTAGGTGGAACATTTGTTATCCGCGGAACGAGAAAAAAACAATTTGAAGATTGATCAGCTTGAGAAACAGGTATATCCTCTTCGAGTTTATGACTTCGGACATTCAATCCTTTTTGTTAGCATCATGCTGATCACTCGATAATTGAAAAAAGATCTTCATACTTTTGTTTCATAGTTCTTTGATTCTTTTCTTCTTAACAGATTGGGGAAGAAAGAAAGTTGCGTGAAGAAGCTGTGAAGCAGTTGGATGACAGCCGAAAGGAGCGTCCTTCCCGACCAGCACCAGTAGCAGCTGTCTATCCTCAGTTTAGGTCTGTTGCTAATTCAACTTTAAATCTTCGAATCTCTGGTTTCTCTCTGATGTATCCTCATTCTCTCTTTTCTCCTTAATACCTAACCATCTTTTGGGAACCAACAGTTGTCTAAAAGACTCCTAATTTTTTCATGTGATTGGAGCGTGACAACTTTCGGGTAAAGTGATATTCGCGAACCTGGATGATTGAACGTGTGCGCTCTCTCGGAAGAACTTATTTACATATTGACGCCTGAAGAGTTTTTTTTTAAATCTTAACTTTTCTTCCTCGAGTGAGAGAGCGGAAATTCGGAGCACGATCCTCAACTGTTCCTAGATATTTCGAAAGTAAATAAAGAGAATTTTTTTCTTTGAAAAAAGAAACATTGCCATTGCTCCCTTAATAGCTCTTTCTTGCCTCATCCCTGATTTTTCAGTGATCGCGAGTATACTCCGGATTACCGTTGTCATTCCACAGTTTCGGGAAAGCTATCGAATGCAACATTTGGTGAAGAGACGCAGGTTCATGTGAGTTTACGCCCTGTTTTCTAACTTGTATTTGAGGATATTTTAAAATGAACTACGTCATATTGTCTACAAAAGCATTTTCTATCTACTGGCAGCTTATTTTTAGTTGCGCGTAGCAGTGCTTTTGAAAAAGAAGCGATGTGTGTAAACATAAGTTGATGTTTACTTGACCTGATCTCGCTTGAATATGCTACTAATTCCACGAAATTGTCAATTATGATGAGCATTTTTTTCAAACTTGCAGGAGCCCTCACTCGAAGATGTACTTTTCGGAGAATGTTCAATTCAAGAAAGTGATGGTCAGACCTGTGATGAAACGGAACATTGTCCAATGACTTACGAGCAATTGATGGAAGAATTAGAGAACCTTAGAAAGCATGCTCAGCATACGAGAGAGTTGCTAAGCGAAAGTGAAACTGCTAATGGCCGCCTCATTGAACAGGTGACTATTTCATTGACGGCAATGAATACTTTTGAGGATCAGGTGTCAACTTTTCAGTACTATATAACTTTCAGAGCCGTTTCTTGAAAGAAGAGATCAGACGTCTTGAGAGAAATGACGAAAGAAAAGAACATCTCGAGAATATGGAATATTTAAAGAATGTCATTATCAAGGTGAATCTTCAAGTAGTCTGAAAGTAATTCGGAGAGATAGATAGAGCATTTATCTTTTCCCAAAAGATAAATGAAAGCTTATGAGGAAGGAGAGACTTAAACACTTCCGGAAACTACTGGAAACATATAATTTTGAATGTCAGATATATGTAGCTCTTCCAAATGTTATTGGGAAACCGTTTATACCTTTGTATTACCAGGATTAATCATGATATTGCAGTTCCTGACACCAGAAAGAGTCGCATCAGAAAAATGTCAATTAATTCCTATTCTGAACACCATGTTACGTCTATCGCATGATGAAGTCGAAGTGTTGAAACGAGCAGCTGATAATGGTTTGTCTTACGCAATATCTCAGGATATCAAAAGTTTTTTTGCAGATAGTCAGACAGCACCTGGGACATCTTGGGGTTCTTATATGAAATGGGGAGGATTCTCGTAGAAAAAAGTATTCTAACTGCTATTTCACCCTTTGAAGTCTTTGAAACTAACTTCTCCTAATTATATATAATAAGGTTTTCATGTGTATGTTTTTTTGTTCAAAATGATAATAACTGTGATTCAAGTGCATTAACTATGTGATATATTTGCGGGATTCAAATGTAATAAAATAATTTTATCTACTTCTTTTTAGATTTTCTGAATCATTTATGATCAGTTTTCTCTACGTCATATCACCTTTGGATCGTTTCATAGATAAACCTTCAACAATGACGTGATTCTGGGTCAACTACCGAACTCTTTGAAACACCATTCACCCACTTGATTCGCTTATCCATCTCTTTCCACTCTAATTCTCGCCTATTCTCTCTTTATTTTGCTCTTTTCAAGCTTTGATAACACGGCAGCCAAAACTGTTGTTTGAAAGCAGCAGTCACTTTTCCCCGGAGAAGAGCAATAGAAGCCTATAATTTTAGAAATACATGATAAATACTGATTGTCACTTGAATGTTACGTCAGCATTTTGCCAGCATCCCTACATACTTGCTATCCTCTACATGAAGAAGATTAGATTGGCGGCTTACTTAGATATATATATACATACATACATACATACACACATACATACATACATACATATATATATATATATATATGTTTAGAAAACAGTCTTTTGCAATTGTCGTCATTCGTCATATGTGGGCTGGTAGAGCAGGCTTGTCAAGTTCCTGCTCCTCAGCATTGCGTAGCTCACATCGGTTCCTTTTTCAGTTCCAACTGCTACTCTCCGTTCATGGGGTTGTTGTTCCTGTTCCAGACGATTACTATCAACATCAGTTGTAGTGTAGTTGTAGCAGTAGTAGTAGCTTTGGTTCTTAAACCGCCATAGATATCGAACATTTTTTCGTGCAGAATGTCTCCGGAAATGAATTGATGTGGATAACTTTCCCAGAAGAAGCTAAAACACTTAGATTCAACAGGAAATTGTCTGTCTGGAAGTATGTGTTCGCTTGTTTTATAAGCTCATGTTCGTTTTTTTCCAATCGAGCTTCATAAGTCGAATAAGCTGAAGCCAAATAATTTTTTAAACTGAACAAGAAAAGCGAGGGCGAAGTTGAAATGTGCAAGAACACAAGCACAAGTCTCCCCTTTGAAGAGCCAATCTTATTAGAAAACCCCAAGTAACAGCCGCTTTGTGATCATCTGTCTTGTATGCTTCATCTGTGATACGAAATGATTCCACGTTTACGTCAGCGCGTGTAAATACGCAAATGCACCAGGACGTAAATTTATTTTCCAAAACGTGCGCGCCCCGGTCGGTTGCATTCCAGTGGCATATCAAAAGTGGCCAGAGCCAATGTCGCGATTAAAGATTATTTTTTATTATTTTTGCTTCGTTTATGGTCGCTGTGATAATATGGAGTTTAATGATTCTTTTACAGTCTACATTATTGTGCTTTTTGAAATGTTTAAGATAGTTGCAATGCCTCTTCGGCATAAGAAAATCTCTTAAAGTACGCTTCTCCATCCAAACCCCGCGGCTACAACGTCAACGGAGCAAAAGTTATGCAAATAGGCTGAGTTTTCTCGGACATGCTGTGAGAAAGGGGTTTAGAGTGGGCGCGCGGCAGTAGCAGCAGATAGGCCGAGCCAGACCGAACCCAAGCCAGTCAGAACAGATGAAGCCAGCAGTGGTTGGTCGTAGAGAGAGGAGGCAGAGCCTGCCCGTCTCTGAGTCCCAAATCGATAGCAGCGACGCTTTTGCGTAGACAGCTCCTATAGCCCTGCTCGCTCCCTTCTCTACTCTCCTTGCTTCAGCGGCAAAACTACGATCAACAGCAGCAGCAGCTTTGTCTGGAACTCTCTGCACTTTCATGAGTCTATAACTCAATCTCTCGTCTCGTCTCTCTTTCGTGTCTTTTCTTTGAAGCCCTCCGAGTTTGTTCGTTCTCTCGTGCTCTCTCTCTATCACTTTTTCGCTTCGTCTATGTCGTCACAGCACACTCCCTCTAGGCTTCTGACTGGGCTGCTGCAGTGGATTGCTTGGTTGAGCGGGCTGAGCCCAGCTAGCGCTAGCTCGGCCGTCTGCTGTCTCCCTCGTCGTCGCCCGTCGGCTTTCCCTCCTCTTCTTGCTCAAAGTTATCTTCCATTCCATGCATGAACTATTGAGAACTACCCGCTTTTGCTGCTTTTCCAGCTATGATACTCCTTTTTTAAAAACTTTTTGTACTACAGCACAAGGTTCTCAATTTTTCATTTTTTTTCAATTTTTTGTGTCGTTTACATGTAGTTGTTTTCTCGTTATCCATCCTGTTTTTTCAAGACGTTCCATCATCTCGTTGCTTACTTTCGTCTAGTCTGTTTATATTCCATTTATAGTTACCAACGCGTTTACCTCCCAATCGGCTTTTTGTCTAATAAAATCCTTCTTTAAAAAATAGCTTCTGTCTCTACTAGCACGAGATTATTTATGCCTCACCATATCATCGAGTATTCTAAATCTGGCTGATAAGAATTTTCATTGCATTTTCCATTTATGTCCTACATTAGACTTATGATCTGAAAATGAGTTTTATGAGTTATCAGCACACTATTTTTGGAAGAATTTTCGCTCGATACGAGTGCGTTCGCAGCTGCAGTTTTTCGGATTTCTTGACGAAGTAAAAGCTGAATTGAAGATGCACACCATTAATTTAAGAATTTTTTAATACCGCCTCGCCACTTGCTCACTTAAAAGTTTTGAGTCCAGCATTTCGATGTTTGTAGCCATAGATTGTTCGGATGCCCACCCAGATTTCTCAGTCTCGAAAAATGTAGAAGAAAAAATATATATTTTTAACTTGTTATCTCTTCTCATTATACTTTCTATCATCATGCGAATCTATATTTTATTCGATTCTCGTTTCTTTCTTTCTTACTTTCTCTCTACGTAATGTCTCTTGTGTGTATGTGTGTGTGTGCCTCTCACTCACTCCTCACTATCTCCAGGCTCTTTCGGATTCCTATCAGTAAACTCATTCACAAACTTTCTCTTGGCTTTCTTTCTTCTCATATATTTTACTTTTCGGGGACACCAATGTGCTAGACTCTGTGTTTCCTGAAGAACGTTACTTCCTTACTTTTTTCTTCTGCTATGTGCCAACCCAGGTTTAAACATTCCTCCCGATCACAGAAGAAGATAGAGATAGGGAGCGAAAGATCGAGAGAAAGAGAAGAGACCTACTAGGAAAAGTTGCAACATACAGTGTTTTTCAACGGAGACAAACTACCTTTAAGAGGGATTAGGTTGAAAATCCTCTTCTAAGCGTTTCCCCGGCGGTCTGTTCTACTCGACTATATTTAATGTTGGGTTTAGTGAAGACGTCGTTTCTTCAACTACATAACGCCTCTGACGATCTGTGGGCGTACCGTTGCTTCTGAGCATATCTGCACTCATTCCGTTTCCGCTCATTTCACAGTTTTCTCATCAAACTTTAAATCGTAATCCTTCAAATTGAATCATGTTCATAGTTTCTCAAAGAACAATTACGCTCTCTTTCTACAAAACTTCAAATGCAGTTCAGGGCACCGCGAATGTGACAATGACGAAAACACAGATCATGCCATGACAGCCTGTTGACGCTTGTTTTTCTGACCTTGATCGCATATGGAATCATTTCCTGTCGTTATACTTCTTATATTTACTGTTGAAGCTGATTTCTGAGCTTGCTGACTCTATTGATACCGCTATGATGCTGATGCAAGTTTAGCTTGCTTAAACCAACATTCCTATATAAATGTCCTGATGAACTGAAGTCAAGAAGATCTGAAAAGAGACTTAAAACTAACTTTTCCAGTCATGCACGTAGAGCTTAGTTACTCTACCAGCTGTTGTCTCATATGTCAAAAAAAATGAGGCGAAATTATTCAGGCGGTAAAATCGGTTCCGAGGTCGCCCATTTGGAGCGCTCACTATCGAGTTCATCGATCTTGGCTGCGGCTTGTTGTCGTCTGTCCATTCCTTTCTGTTCTTCGGCAAGCCGAACCACCGTCAAGGCTTCCATTCATTTCAATTACATGGAGTAATGGTTACACCATTCTCAAAACATTTACATGGATTCCAACGCCAGTTTCGGCTTGGTTACTTTCTCTCCATTCTTTGCGGTATCAAACAAAAATACCACTGATGACGACATTTTCTAACGATCTTCTGTATGTATACGTATGTGACTCAAGTGAAGTTAAAAAAGAGACATTAAGAGACAGCACAAAAATAAGGAGAGAAAACCCTTTACTATTTGATGATGCTCACAATGAACGGTGTTACATCTCAAGATTTCGAGTACTTTCGCACCGCGGCGCTGGTTCACTTACGTTAGCATCTCATCATTTAAAAGACAAATTATAGTTCAAGTTTTTAAATCCTCCCTCTCGCTTTCTCTATCTGCTGATACAGTACGTATGGGAACAGAAAAACGACAGACTATTAATTTCTACAACGTTTAGCACTCTTGTGGGTAATGAAAATGACTCAGAGTTGGCTTAAAAAAACCATGAGATTGCATGTTCCCGCCAAAATTGCAAATGAGAGCTCTCTTCGAACAGTTGGAGAAATCACGCGATCCGTGCTGTCTAGCTCGAAACCTTGTATACTTCGCCACAATTTTGATTATAAGTTTTTGTTGTTTTTTGAGATTCCACTCAGCCAGATGCCTGTTTGTCTTTTCTCTACGAGCCCCTCTATTAATGAATTGGAAACATCATAGCTTTGAATGATCGAATTTGAGTCACAGAAAGGTTTTCACAATTCGCGTTTTGAAGCTGAAATTTGAAAGATGAGTAGGGTCTTTTGCCTCTTCCCTTTTCTCTCAGCCAATTTACATTTTTGCACCTCTTGTGCACTTAGCAAATATTGAACCTGCGCATCTAAGCCATAGCAGTAGGAAGCTGTTTTGGCGTCGTTTATAGGCAGTCTTTTGGCTGGTTGCTATGCTGTCTATGCAAATGGTGCATGAACGATCTTTACTCTGAGATTTCAGCTTGTTCCTTATTTCAAAAGAAGACGAAAAAAAATATTTTTATGAGCCTATCGTCTTCTTCATGTGCTGTGTCATTTCGCGTATGGATTTTGTTCATCATTTGTTGTGTTTATGACAGCTGTTTTGTCCAGATGATCTGCCGTCCGCAGACTGAAAGAGCTTATATTGTCTAATGTTTACTTCTAATTTTTATCTTCACATCTAGTTTTTAATATTGACTTTTGTTTGCCTTTCCTCCTATTTTTGTATACACATGCATTTGAATATATCTTTCCTCTCATGCTTTAATCTCGCAGGTTGCTCGTTTTTTTGCCGATTCGTTCTCTTGTTCTTCACTATGCTCGGCCATTTCCTTTCTCTGATTATTGTGCACAAACTCTCCCAACAATTGGCAAGGGCTCTTTTTTGGAATTCAATGCTTGGGTTTTCGAAGCTTACATGAGTCAGGCTGCAGAAGAGTTGTTCACAGCCGTTGTTGCTTTTGTGTTTGTATGTGCCTAACAATCGATTCCACTCCAGTCCGTCTTCCCCATTCTTTTTTTTGTCGCTTCCCCTACCTCTTTCTTTTTGCTTGTTGTGTTATGATTATGGTTGTCGAGTTAGCATAGACGTTTCTTGACGACGACCTTGTCAATTTCGCCAAAACTAGAAAAGTGGAGGGGGGGGGGGAATTCGGACTAAGAGCGTTTTCACTCGCCTCGGCATAATGCAATTTCATATATTTGCTTGGGCTTTCCCACCATCCTCATGCTAATTGGCGTGGTTTTCACGTGCTTGCGTGAACGTTCAAATTTTCATTTTCTTTCCCTGGCTTTTGATGTGCGGTTGCTTTCATAAATAGGTCTGTCATTTGAATTCAAAATTTTACAGTTTTCCGTCTTTTCGTTTTTCTCTCATTTTTTCCTTATTCGATTTGCCATTCCTTTGTCATTGCCAATAGATGGTTGTCTCTGCGCTGCTAGTGTGATCAGTGACTGATACTTTGCCTTATGTGGTAAATATTTTGAAAACAGCTTGTGATTGTTTTCCTTCCGCCTATTCTAGCCTGTCATATCAAATAAAGAGAATTGCCAACGTTAGCTGCGCATTATGCCATCGCTCGTAACCAATGTTCCTTAACTTTTTCGAGCTAATTTACATTTTTCAACTTTCTCGCTACTTACGTGTGTTTTGACTGCGCATTGTTATACAGAAGGTAAAATTAACGTATGCCCGGATTCGAAGTTCACATTCATTCATTCATTCATATCGTTAATGTTTCCCATCTTCGTGTTCAACTGATAGCGGGCCTTCAATTGAAATTTTATAGTCTTATTGGAATGTATCCTTTGTACGTATTACGTTTGGGAATATTATACTTGAGAGTTTGCAATCTATAGCTGTAGGCAATATGTAAAGAATTGTTTTCATGATTATTCATTACATGGCTATCATCACAAAGCTGCGCTTTTTTCGTTTCTGCAGGTCTATTTGTAATGGAAAACTAAGCCATTTCCAGCAATTTCTGTGTTGGACTTGTAATTGGAAACTATTGATGAAGCAGTTGTTCATTTTTTGTTTCGTACTCACCCTTAAGATTTTGTAGTTTAAATAGCTATTTGAATCATCATGTATATGGAGTAGTATATATTCTTTTTTTTTCGAAGTCATCTCTAAAAATAGTGGCAATTTACTTCTTGTTTGGCTAAGAAATTTACACAGTTGCCTGTCTCCAACCTATGAGTCTTCTTTTGAGCTTGTTGTTTCTATTTGAAGCATTCATCTCTGATCGGTCAATTCATGTTCATTGATAAAAGCTCTAATTATTCTTCTACAATGTATGAGAAGCCGAAGCCCACTAACACAATGCTTTTCGCTCATTATTTTCGTTCCATCTCTCTTTCGCCTCTATCTATGATTGACGATAAAAATCGTTGAGAGCGCTCGAGCAAATCCTGCCCGGTCATCATGTATTAATCTCTCTATGACCACATAATGTCCAAACTGTTTGTATGGTTTTTCCCTCCTCGGAACCTCCCACCCTCTTTCTCCCCTCCTCCAATATCATGCTAACATCATCATCGTCTTCATCATCATCATTACCATTACCATCACCATCATTGCCGTCACGATGATCACCACCATCTGCATCATGACCGATGTCGAAGTCATTGCTAGTTCTCCAGCGCTGTTGTCGTGATCCTCTCCATGTAAGGCGTAGTTATTGCCTCGCCGCTTTTTTGTTCTTCGTCTTACTCGGTTGATCGCGCTATAGTTTCTTCGCAGCTTTTTCTTTTAACATTTTTTCAGCCGTGCTTGCCTTTCTTTATGTAACTCAATGTATAGACACTTGCCGTGATACTGTCTCTCGTCTTGAAAAGAACATTTTCTCTCTTCTTCTACTTACTATTTCGTGCTTCTTTTGTATCTGGCGCCCTTTGACCGTTTTCATTGTCTACTCCACATTCTATACCATTTTTCACAAGCGATCTTCCTATTTCTAGAGACGACGCGAGGAAACCCTTCCACATTTCGTTTTCTTTTTGTTTCCGGTAGTGTCGCGATCGATATGATACAATGCCTTCAATATTTTCACACCCCCCAGCTATTTGCTGTCATTTCCCTGTCAACCAGATTTGCTCTCTGGTTCTCTCTGTTTATTTCCCTCTTTCTTTTCTTCCCGTGTACGTCTTCCTTTTATCGTACTTTATCATTAATCGTTGCTATTTGTTCAATCGGTTTATCTGCTCCTTTTTAAAACATTGGCATCCCAATTGCAGTTTTTCCTCCATTTCACGGACAATTACTTGTCTAGCTGGCCATTCGCCTTCTTTCAATTCTCATCCTTTTTTTACTCGTTCTCTAATGCCTCCTGACAACTTGTCTGCCATGCATGTTTCAATTAATTAAAACGATTAGTACCTAGTACCGTTTTATTACAGTACATGGCGTGGAAGACATTTTAAATAAGCGAAAAATGTAGCAAAATTTGCAACAAATTTTCAACTGGTTAATTCCACAATGGATAACACATGAAACTAACCCAATAACTGCCAAATGATATCAATCTGTATAAGTATCTATGAGCGAAAGCAAAATTCTAGCTTATATGGGGTGACATAGACATAATGGTTGATTCTATGATGATCAAATTGATTTGTGTAATTGGGACGACTAGGTTGAGATGGCATGAAAACGCCTGATGGCCAGCTTATCGTTCAAAACTCTGTTCGTGTCAAGATCCTCACATCTAGCGATTGCTGATGGTGGTCCCTCCTTCTGCTGAGCCTGCGAGTAAGACCTATTTTTCATTTGACGACATGTGTTCTTTTTTATCGATTTTCTTTATTCCTCCCGTGTCAATAATCTCATCAAAGCTTACGCTATTTTAATTTTTTTATATCATCTGCTTATCTTTATCGTCTTATCATTTTCATTCATCCGAATATAAGTTTCATCACCATATTTCTGTATTATAGACAACCGACTGCAGTCGATTGCCTTTCAGTTTGGGAAATCAACTAAACGCAGCTAGAAGACGGTAAAGGGATACATTCTTGTAACCCCAGAAATCTTCCGAGATGGCAGGAAAAGGAAATGCTATAGAAGAAAACACCACGGTTAGTTAATCGTACGATTCGTAAGCAGGATAGTCTGCATTGTGTGCACACTGATGCCACATATGTTTAAGCTGATAAAAGGAAATCGGAGATCAGAAATTAGCTTTTAGATTATCTTCAAAATGACCTTTTCAGTTAATGAACGGTAACAATAAGAGAGATTCAGAGCCTGAAGAAACTTTGGCTCAATTCCTTTACAACAAAAACAAAGGAACTGTTCTCGGCAGAACTGCTAAGTCTTGGTGTACGTTGGGATTTTGCAGGATGTTCTTTATCTGATCTATGTTCCAGGCCAAATTACCGTTTTTTACATCATCTTCTACGCATGCTTGGCTGCTTTCTGGATTGCTTGTCTCGCTATTTTCCTGAATACTTTGGATCCCCAGGAACCTAGATACTACGGAAAAGGAACTATTATTGGAATTAACCCAGGTTTGTAAATTTCTTTTTCTCGAGCTCAACTTTGGGGTCTGTTACGAAGATCTGGCTAACATCGAAAGATACTTGAGTATATGAAATTATTTGGTCTTATCTTGGACAAAGACACGATGTCTATCGTTATTGACATCACCGTCTGAGAGTTTATTAAGAGCAAATAATAGTCTGTTAAAGGTACTGAGTAATGTCTGAGAGCTTGAAACTTGAAAACAGCACTATAGAACCGCAAGTTCGAAATGTCATTTAGTTCTTGATACTTAATGATGTGATATTATCATTCCGCCTTTTCAAAAAGTGATATTTATGTGGGAACGCAAATCGCTCAGTGTTTGTGTATTTATGTTGTACGGGTTCAATTAAGAGTTTGAGAGAATTTGACCGGTCATTGGACGATCATGATCATTGCCTTTGAAAATCAGTCAAGCGTCCAACAACCCATAGATGTATACCTCAATTAGAGCTTATTGTAGTCGAACCCAGCTCAGAAATTACTTATTATGATTCTCCTGTTCAGCGTAGTTTTGGGTTTTCGTTGGAAAAAAGTTTTTGCAATTTGTAAACTGATGACATATTGATGAGATATGTGATCGCAAGAAGTAAACTGCTTCGCTCGCTGTTAAATACGAACATTAAGGCATATACTTGAAAAGAAACAATTTTTACAGCGAAATTGAATACTATCTTTCTCTTTTATCATCTTTTTTCGTTCGAGAGCCTTTTGTGCACCTGCTTGACGTCATCACTGATTGATTTCATGGCTGTCACAATATTATGCAGAAAGTAACTCTGGAGAAATTTGTTTTTGTTCCTTCCGTTGTTCCAAAACTGATAAAATAACTGTGGGAATTTTATTTTAAAGATTGTAGCTCCTGAGAAATCTCATTATTCTAAAGTTCTTTTGTCATGCTCTTAAGGAGGTAAATTTTTACGCGGTTTTCACGGCATTGTTTGTTCGGAAGTTTCGAACTGCGCCTGCCCGTAGTACTGTGAATTCATTTCTATTTGTTTTGTGCTCGCATATCAAATAAAAAGCGTGTTTGAAATGTGAGACAAGACGGTTCTTCTTTAGCGAAGAACAAAATAAAGGGAAACATGAAACATTGATGGAATCCTCTGGCAATCTGTGGATCAGTGTGCAAGTAAGTAGGTGAAAGAAACAAGGCTGTTTCATCCCTTCCAATGAATGCTTAAAAAAAACTACGTATGTTTTGTGTTAGAATGAACTGGTGTCTCTGCTACTAGTGAAGGCTATTGAGGGAGGTTCATTGGGAGAGTATGTTGTTTATCTATCCTCTGAGCTACATGAAAATATAATCCGTTTTCCGACATCTATTGCTCAAATAAACAATTGTCTTGTGAAGTTGAGGCCAACTTAACAGCTAATGTAGTACGCATACTTAAGAGCTTGGTCTTTATTGAGCAAAATGAATGCCATTTTCGAACTAAATTTGTTTTATGGCCGTACCACTGCAGACCGCTGCAGATCGATAGTAGCGGGTTGAGCTGTTTCTAGAGAAAACTCACTCTCTTCAATATGACGCCTTCAGAGAGTGCTATCGAAACGAATAAAAGAGGAATGAGCCAAGAAAAAAAGTCCAGATTGTTCTTAAAGAGCCTTTGGTTCTTGCTTAACATAATGAAAGGAATTCCGAACATATGTTTAATATGAAAAAGAGTTTTGTTCATAATACTACTTATTTCAAATATGATTTCATTCAGGGAGTAACTCCTTGCATTTTCAATGTGATGAGCTGAAAAGCACTCTCATATCATGAGAGTGAAACAGAAATGATTCTAATTTTGCAGACTAAAGGGGTTGTCTAAGTTTTTTTCTAATTTCAGGAGTCGGATATCAACCTTGGCTCAAAGAGAATCCAGATTCCACACTCATCAAGTTCAACACCAGAGACGAAAATACTTACAAGCCTTATATTGACCAACTCTCTGGTTATTTGAAGCGCTACGAAAACATTACTGGAACCCGTCAATGCCAAGGAAACGCAAGCAACTCAGAGCTTGGAGAGATTGATGTTGAGGTTTGACATTCTCTTAAATGTGCTTCATTTTATTGAGAACCTTTCAGCCATGCCGTTTCACCCTTGATGAGTTCAACGCCGCTGGATGTGGAGCCAAAAACAACTATGGTTACAAGGAAGGATCTGTAAGCTGTTGGAGAATGTGCTTATTACATAACGTTTTCCAGCCATGTGTCGTTCTTTCTCTTAACCGTTTAATCGGATGGGAGCCATTGAACTATCCAGCTGGATCTGTTCCCGAGACTATCAAGGATCGTTACAAAAATGGCTCAATCGCTATTTATTGTGATGGAACTGTGAGTTGACCCTATTTCCTTGTGCTCTTAGTTTTGTTTGATAAGTCCTTGTGATACTACTTGAATTTTGCAACCTTCGTTCTTTTTATTTCTTCTTCATTATAGTCTCTGAACATCTATATTTAGACCGAAGCCGATAAGGAAAACATTGGAAAGCCAAAATACATTCCACCACAGGGCATTGATGGAAAGTATTATCCATACAAGTTTGTACCAAACTACCAACAACCTATTGTAAGTTCTAACTATTTTCAAAATTGAAGTGAAATGAGTATGAACGACTGGTTTCTCCTAGCTTTTTTCGAAACCAAATAATTGTGTGTATGTGTGTTGTAGTAGTGCAGGGATGTGCAATGAGAGGGCTAATCAATTTTCCGCATTTCGAATTGAATAAGCTGGCTGAGAGAGGCTTTCGGCTTCTCTATGAGGGAGGCCATCTGAAGTCTGAATAGTTTTGATGATTCAAGACTGGTAGAGAGAGATAGAGAACGAGGGAGCCTTTATGGAAGTTGATGAAGTTGCAAACTTTGAAATTGCTTGCGTCTTTTTAGCTAAACTCCGTGAAGGGATTTACTATGATTTTCATTTTCAGGCTATGGTTAAATTCGACAAGATCCCAAAGAATAAGCTCGTTTTCGTTGAATGCCGTGCATTTGCTCTGAATATCGAGCATGATATCAGCACTCGATTGGGTATGGTTCATTTCGAGGTATTTGTGGAAGACAAGCCAATTGCTGCAAGTTCCAGCCGATAATCTCGAGGCTTGATTTAGTTTTTGTTGAGCCGCCTCCCCCCTAGTTTGGTAGAATAAGAGATTCCCTAGCCTATTAATTTGCTTTCGTAAAGATTTTATGGTATGAGAATTGGGTGCTCAAAACAGTCTTTGTTCATCCTACTTGTCCAGCAATTTTTGTTCTCCTTTCTCTCTCCTTCATCTCCCACATGCTCACTTGTGTAGTAATTTTTCGTTTAAAATCACATACACACACCACGTATACACACACTCAACTTTTCACAAAAAAAATTATACCACGTACACCTTTGTCTTCTCCACTATATATGGACTGATTTTGTTGTAGTTCATTTGCGTGTAACTCGAGGTCCCTAAGGCCATCTAGGCGCCTTGAGGTTGGGATGTAGTCTGAAGTGCTATCAACATCCCGTATGTCTTAGGATTTCTTCGTCTAGGGTGTTTCTGTTTATCTCCATTTGCTCCTCCTGCTACCCCTCGTTCGTTCATTCATCCACACCACCCGTCCATCCATCTGATGTCTTGTTCGTATCCGAGCGCGACATGTTTGTCTTTACCATGTTTCCTTCTTAATTCCCACTCTGCATGTTTAAATTTGGACATTTCTAGATGATTGTCCTTCTTTTTTGTCGTAAATGTGATCACGTTGAACTTTTCTAATAATATAACCACATTTCGAGTTTCTCGTCTAACAATTCCGATTTGTTTTGTAAACTAGGTAGTGATCGCCTATTTTTTTAATCTGATACTTTGCTTCTTCGTCTTTTTTTCTTTTTTCCTCTTCTACTCGATCACTACTTCGTTTACTCATAGAGATTGTACGGTAGTTTGGTTCCCTTAGGGATTTGCTTTGTTATTAGAAGAATTCTCCATGTATTTTGTCGTTGGTATAAGATTTAATAAAAAGATTTAATGACTCAAAATAAAGATTTGAATAGATCTCTGTCAAACAGAACAAAAACTATCCTTTGCAAGAATCGAACAAAAAACAATAGAGTCATCCTTCAAAGGCTCCGAATTTTCAGAAAAAAATCAGTATTGGTCAGGCTGCCTTATTAGTAAATGAGTTTTCAGTCGGAGGGATATTGGTTTGTTGAGAAGAATTCCAACTTGTATTTAGTAACACGTGAGTACTACCAGTACTCGTCATTTTTTAACTCGCCAGTCAAACTTTCTGTGTAGGAGAGTTCCTGAAAAATAGCTTTGTTTAAAAGAATGTTCATGTTGTGTGGCTGCAATTGAAGATGTCTCTAACAAGGGAGATTCGCCGAAAAGGAGTGAAATCTTATTGAAAGTGGGGGGAGCTCTTGGATGTATTGGAGGAAGATTTGATGAGATAGACAGAATGGAAAATGGAGGACAAGAATTTTGCGATAATCAAGAGAAGTTTGATTTGCCAACTTTCATCTTTGCTATCTTATTAACATTTTAAAAATTTGTTTAGTTAAAAAGCCTCACACAAAGCTGCCTTTGTTTATTAACGGCGTCGACAGCAAACATAAATTTGAAAGAACATTTTACCTGAAAAGCTTGTTCTAATTCATCTTCAACACGTTGGTCTCCTTGGCGACGCATAGATCTACAGATAGCATCCTGCAATAGCTTGAATAAAGCAATGCTGTCTCAACCATACTTTGGCCATAATAACTCTTTCTTGGTTCCCATACAGATGAATTACACTTCGTTCATCTTGCTCATCACTTTTTCCAATCTGAAGAAGTTCTAATACGAAAAGGTTTGAGAAAAAGTACGAACTCGGATTTTCACATTATGCATCGAAGCAATTTTCTTGATGTTACGGCCTCCAACACCTAAAGCAATTCTTATGAGAATGTGAAGTACAAATTCAATTGCTTCAAAGCAGAAATTCCAATTCAGGCTGTTGCCTTCAAGTCTCAAACCACTTTAATGCCAATATCTATCAAAGACCAACCAATGATATGACCTATAACTACTTTTGGAACATCAAACGAATATTTGATACATTTCTCTTGTATCTGAGATAATACCGATTTCAGAGCTGTACAAGCTAGTTCAATCTGTTGCAAATAAAGTTTTAGTTCATTTGAGCAGTGTTTAATACCCTCTCACGGCTACACGATTGCAGTTTGATGAAAGACTGTGTGTGAACGTCCACATTGAAGTTGATCTTGAACTCTCCCAGTTCGACATCCCAACTGAATAGATCCTTCAACGATTCTTCCTTCTCCTTCATACCAGACAAGGGAACAATACGTAAAAACACCTGAACTGTTCAAAGACACCATACACAATACATTATCATAAACAAACCTTCGTTTGTCTTTCTATCTTTCGTATAGCTGCACTATTCTTTCCTATAATATCCGGTACAGCTTCCTTGGGTATCATGATATACTCTGTTATAACTTCTACTACAAGCTAGAAGTTATCGAAATCATCTGAGAGAGGAGAGGAAACCTTCGCTTTCATAGTTGTCTGAGTCAAGCAAACTGTCTATCTTATTTCTCAAATACACCCTAATTTGTTTCCTGGAGAAGAGAAAGTACGATGACATTAGGATTCTCATTACCTATTCCTGTAAAGAATCCAAAAAATGATTCCGGATCCGACGGCAAGAAGTCGTTTATCTTTCAACATCTTCACAAACCTATATAAATAATGAATGAGACATTTACTTCTTACTAATGCCATCAACTATCACACAAATTCGAAATCGTCATTTATAACCGATTCTTAATTGCGTTGAATCGCTCATAGCGGGCGGTGATTTGCGTATCGAATTTCTGGTAAGTCGTCTTCTCTGAGAAAGTTGAAAAGTATAAGCTTATTCGGTCTACATTTCTTATTCATGCTCAAAGTGACTTGAAGTGTTTCGAACTTTAGAGAATTCAAAGTTTGTTGTTTCTAAGAGAAAAAAGATTTTTCCTATGCACCTAAGAGTAGTAAAACGGAAGTCTATAGATTCTGAAGCTTTCTAAATGAGGCAATATCAAATCAGTCTGTTTATATAAATGTCTCTGAATTGTTTTTCACATAAAGAAGAGAGGAACTTCTATATTTGAGTGGAAGCAAAAGAGCACATGATGGCCTTGATGGCGTTGGGCTTTCTATAGAAATAGGGACTGAACCATTTCAACAAGAAGGGTTATGTTAAGGGACAGGACAATCATGTACAAGCATTCACTACCGTTGCCTGGAATTGAACCTTAGCCTTTCTTCTGGGACCTGTTGAATGAACGCATGCCACTGTGATGTTTTGCTTCGTGGATATCCTACTCATCGTAGATAATCTCAGTAAAAGTTATGAAATCATATCTCTTTATTCCCTTTTCATTTATACAATTTTACAATCTTTTTCGATATGTAAGAAATCGATAGTATGGATTATATTTCGTTACAAACATATGTACCGGTATCATTATACATCAAACGTATTGGAGGACAAGTAAAGTTAGAGCTCATTTAAGTGAATGGGATTGACCCTGAAGACTGTAAATCAGGCAAACCAGGCAGCTGTTGCCTCATTTGGCTATTCGAGACATTAAATTCGACAGAAAAAGTCTATTGGAAAAGAAAAAATATGATTCTGATGCATTCCCCTTTCAAAAGCAATACTAATCGACATTTTCATGATTGGACGATGAGTAATGTTCGAAAGAAATAGCAAAAAACAGAAACGATTTGAAAAGAAGAGAAAGACATTTAGAAGAGCTAAAGGTTCCTTTTTTACATTTCATTGCCTGACTACTATCAGTAAAGACTGACATTTTTGGGGATTTTTGAGGAGTTTCATTCGAAATCTTGATAGTTGAGACTATTTACGGCCGGATAGTACGACGGCTAAGATAATGGCTACTACTATTAAAAGTAACACAATTACAATTAGAATAGTTATAACGCAAATCTTCTTACGAACAGCACTTTTCTTATATTCCACGGCTTGTTTTACATTTCGACCCCCCTGATGTACATAATTTGTAGTATCTTCAACATTTCTTTCTATGTTGTCCACCATTTCGCCCTTAAAATCATATATTCTGCTGATCAATTAATCCATCGATAACAAACCTGTGTTTCTACTAGATGTTGTATGTCCACAGCAATCTCTTCTAATGTTGCTATACTTTTCTCTAATTCTAATATTTCATTATGCCTCTTCTTCGCATCTTCTAATGTTGCTCGTTCACTTATTGATAATGGGTTCACTTCTCGGAAGAAGAGCTGTAAATACAATTTTTTCGTAATTCTCTGAGTCATTGAACACACCTTATCAGCATTACCAGCTAAAACGCGATTAATATCTTCTTCCGATACATCACCTCCAACAGCTTGAAGTTGCCGACGTACTCGAACTGAAATTTCAAAATAAAACGGTCGTCTATTCATGATTTTCAATTTAAAATTTCATGTTAATGTATTACGTGGCAAGTATAATCATTTTCAAGAGCGTGGGCGTCGAATGCGGTTGTTCCTCTGATAGAGTCTTACATGCGAAATGGTTGCAAAATAAACTCGATGTTTATAGGAAGATGAGGAATCGATGTTTATTCAAATTTCAAATCTTAAATTACTGAAATATTACCTGATACCCGTGATCTATAATCTGCGTGGGTTTCGTGAAATGATGTCATTAGGTCGCGCAGTTTTCTTCGTAATAATTCAATTTGATTCTTCCTGATCCGCACCTCAGCATTTGAATGAGCAACTGAAACATATTGGTTCAATTTCGTTCACTTGTCATTTTCAGTGTTAATTTCCACTCACTACGTGCAAATTCTAAGAATTCATCGTCGATCTCCTTAACAGACTTTCTCAAATCATTTGTGCTCTGTCTAATGGTAGCGATCTGATTCTCAAGAACATCCTTAACCAAATTTCGTACGATTACATTAGAGAATTATGAAATAATACCTTATCTCTGGGATCAGCTACAGTTAGAGACAGTATTTGCATTTGTTTCCGTTTTAAACTGTCCAATTCTGAGGTGATTCGATCTAGTGTAATTCGAACATCCTGAAAAACGGATTTATCTTCCAATCTTTAATTCTTCTTTTCTATTTTAAGCCATTTAGTATTACAAAATATATTTTCCCCATAGAAATACGGTAAACTAAGCGGAAGAATGAAAACCGAATGTCAAGTTGTTTTCTCAGGCATTAAGCTTAAAGAATCGATGGTTTTTCGAATTTCGATAGCAAGATAATTTGAAAATAATACAAATTAAAAATGTCCATTTATAAAGGAATTATAATGAACATACTCTCATCCGCTGGTCCAATCTATCAGCAGCAGATTGTGGTCGCGGAGTTCCCAGTTCGACTTCATCGAAATGATCGATGGTTTTCTGCAAATCAATAAAATAATAAATTTAACTAGTTTATTATATAATTAGAGTATATTTATAATATGTGCTCTCATTTGCGTACAAAACAGTACAATTTTATGATTCCAAACATTGGCGCGCAATAATTTCTTTCATCATTTTTGTGTTGAGGTATGCGCCGAGCGGTTGTATCAATGTTTATTTCGTTTTTCATTTTTTTATTCTTTCAACATTTACCTGGAAATCTGCAAACCGATCACGCATGAGGATTGGTAGAATCTGTTAACTGAAAAGAGTTGGTTAAAAATTCGAACGCATCTAAGAGAGTAATAATAAAAGCTTTAGCAAAGTAAACAAACAAGTAGCTGTAGAGATCACTAAAAGAGTAAAGAGACGATTGAGTCAAACAAATTATTATTTGAGATTGTTAAATATGGATATGATGATGAATCTATGGCCAATAGAGAGGATTTGAAGCTGGCATCAATACAAGCCTACACGAATATCTCTTTTTGAAATTGTGGCTGTCAAACAAATGAATTAAAGCCAAATATGTAAAATAACAAAAAAGGTAATTGTTTCTCTCTACATATACATATACTATTTTTTTTATTAAAGAAGAATGAAATATGAGAACTATTGAAACCGGGTTCTGCTTCCTCAAACAAGCCCACAGCGCGAACGAATGAATGAAGTAAAAGTAAAAGAGCTATAAAATAACTTCTGTTTTACATTAGATGATAGTTTGTGAGAGATGAAGTTGATCCCTTGTTCTCTTTTTTTCATTCAAATCAGGACAACAGTAAGAGCTTAGTAATACCTTTGTAACTGTCATGTGGGAAAGTTCAGATAGACATGCGAGAAAACATGTAAAGGACGATTAAGAAACATAATATTCCGAATCTTCAAAAGCAATTAATGATAATGATTTGAATAACAATTTTCCAAAACATAAAATGCCTCGAGCTCAGACAGGTATCGATAGCTCTCGATGTAACTGTGACTCATGAAGAATAGTAGAATTGGCCTATTTGCGCAGTCAACCTCACTCTACCACTGATCAATAGTTTTCTTTTTCTCTCTCCCTCTCTCTCAGTTTGACCCTCTTATTCTATTGTGTATTCACAGGGAGGGTGGAGGGAGTAGTCAAAAATATTAAGTATATGATTCAACTCTAAAGAAATACTCTGAACCGTTCACATGCTTAACATTTTTTTGTCACCCTGATGGAATGGTTAGATGCTTTCTCAACGTTTGCTTTATAGGTAATAGTCAGCTGATTCAATTCGGAATTACTCACATTCATATCTTTTCTTCCAATATTAGCTGCAACTTTGAATAGTCTATGTGTGGGACATTGAGGTGAGCTATTTACTTTTGATTGCCTTACACGGAAACAGAAGAAATGACATTCAACACGAGCTCTTCAAGAGCTCATCTGTCTCGTCACAAGTTTCTCCCCTGGAATGAACTTGTTCTCAAATTGGCCTGTTATGCAGACAAAGAATTTGAACACAATTCATATGAAATAATAAATACAAAAGTCACCGCGAAATGTCAGAGTAGAGTGAGAGAGAGAGAGCCAGAGAGAGAAAGAGATAGGAGATGGTTCGAGGCAATACTGCTTTCAAAGGAATTATGCGTAAACCTGCAAATGACTTAAAATATGAGCAGAAACTTTAAGAGCGAAATTGTGTTACATTCTGGAAACAATGTCGTGAAAAAGAGTAGAATGAACAAGCGCCTGAAACTGTCACATGAAGGATGGAGAAGTCTTTTGTCTTTTTACTGTTTGGAAACTCTTGATTCATAAACTATCTCAAAATGAGAGTTGTGCAAAAGTTCGACTGGTTAAAAAAGCTGTTTGCACGAACGGCATCGCTAATATTTTAAGTGCAAATACAAGAACAAATCCAATTTGCGCTTTCTGTTTCCGACACAGATTATTACGTGGAGGTCTACTGTTCTTCTACTGTTCATTACTCATTGGCCAAAAGTTACATTTGACTGGACACTCTCCAAACATTTACTTATTTTTTGACTCTTTCCATCCTTTATTCATGGCATCAATTCATCAGGGTTGAAGACAAGATTGTTCCTCAAAAGATTGTTAAAATACAAATATTTCTGAAGCAATTGCTGAATAAATATAACTCTTAGAGTGTTCTTTCCGACAACCAATTCAAAAATTCCATTTAAGACCTCGCAGTCTAGATCAGCTGACAATGTGTTGCCAAGCAACGCAGCACAATTCGGAAAAAAATGATAGAAGACAAAGATATAACGAAAGTTCAACAATATTCTCATGATTACATTTGAAACACACTTTCGGTTCCAAAATAATCCAGTAGGGAGTGGGTGGTTTACAGTTCGCTTGTACACAAGCTCAGTTTCGAAAAAAAAAAGTGAAATTGTGAGCAAACGAGAGGTCGAGTAATGCTGGCATAGTGTAGTCATGGTGACCGAGGGTAGTATGGTCATAACTCAGAACGATTAAGCAGAAAAACGAGAAGAACTTCATATTTGTACTAACGAAGAATCGTATGATAAATGGTTTATTCGATAAGAAGAAACTGAACTATCATATGATTATATCCATCCGAGATGATTCATTAACTATTTTATCTTACATATATTTTATGATTAGTGTGGGCACAACAATAGGTGCCGAGCACAACCGTCTTTCGTCTCTACCACAAAAGAGAATAAAAATCATGAAAATCATTCATTCCACGCTGTATTCAAATTTCGAAATGATAGTCTGGAAATTAGCATAGTGCACCCTACTCTGCGAAGGTGACAAATTCACAAACAGCAATCCATGTGTTTTCTTGTATTTTCCACTTTTACTGATAAACGCGATCTTCGCATGAAATGTTTTTTAAAACGGGGAGGGGTTCCTTATTGATATGCTGCGCATGTAACTAGTACAAAGATTATTGACTGTCTCCCTACACAAAACAACAATTTTTTTCTAGAATTTCTCTTCTGTGAATATCATGAATCATAACAACTTCTAACTCGAAGTATCAAAGTTTATTCCTTTCATAAAAACGTACAATATTATTACTACAAAGGTAACGTGATTAATTTTATGGGTTGACTAACATAAAAGCCTGCCTGTAGAAGATCATCATAAGAGCTAAAATTTCACATAATCCTCGGTATCTTTGGGGATGGAGGGGTGGGAAGAAAGGAATTTAAATGAGAGCTGGATATATGAGAATTAATCGCGAATAGAGCAACTAATGAAATATGTTATACAAAATCCTAAGTCTTTGAAACACATAGGAGGACTCAGTGAAACGTTTATATCAGAAAGAACGTCTTGGCAAAAGTAAAAAAATCGAAAGATTTACGCATCCATTACCTAAAGGCTGAAGGTCTGGGGGAAGACAGGTGACCAGGTTTTGGTTACGGGACAAAGAAAGAACCTCAATCTCAGGTAGATTCATGGCTGACACATATTTTACGCGCATCACAAAATAGAAAATATGAAGCCCAAAAATCGCAAGTACAAACTGAGCCCCACGAAACTTTATTTCGTCACTAGAAAACCACAATAATCAAAATAGATATACTCGGCTGAATATTCGAATTACCGACTCAAGGGTACATAATGGAACGAATTGTATAATAGGTTAAGAAAGCGGCAGTAGATGTTAGATAGATTAAGAATATGCAAGGGAGTATCAACACCTATGAGGCCAACACAAGTAGTAAAAACCAATAAAGTCTCAATTGAAAGACAAGAATCCCATTCATATTAAAAATCCCAACCAACAAAAGACCACTACAACGGGTTTACCCTCCCCCGGTGGAGATGACAAAGCGAGTTGCATTTTGGGGTTTGTCGCAAAAAAATTTAAGCAGCAACTGCGATGATTATGTTCAATGAGAAGCGTATAAAGTGGTGGTCGAGAGATTATTAGTACTTTTATTCTATATATTCTACATAAAAATTAGGAGCCGCGAGCAAGAGGTTAGAGGTTTTAAAGAAAACAACTTTTAGCGGACAACGTGAAGGATATGGCAGGTACGGGGCACAGGCGGGCTTTTATACGGCCTAGGCCGCTGGGACAAGGAAAGCGGTCGACCTAACCGGCGCGTACTCGGCATCGGCCATCCGGTGATGCACGCTCAAGTCGTCCGATTTAATTGAACTACATTTAAGCGAAATACATCACATTATTAGCATCAGGATGCACCTTAATTCCAACGATGACAACGAACACAAATATAACGCTTACCTGTACAGCTCTAGCCATATTACTTAGAGTAGTATCTTCACTAGTACCCGAAGGTTGACTGCCTTCACCTGAATCGTGCTCGCGATCAACAAGATGATAACGAGCGCGGAATGCAACCAAATGTGCGTAATAAGCTGGAGCCGGAATAGATACAGATCGAGTACATCTAACGTAAGTATGACACATCTGAAACAATGAAATCATCACCACAGTACTGAATAATAAAAAAACCTGGTATGTGAGTTGTTGCAACTCATCGGCGGTCAAACCGTTATCATCCCAAAGAACATGGTAGTGTGATGGACGAGATGTTCCCTGAAGTTAATGTTGATTTTTCCGTTCAGTAAACAGTATCTTACCTGGATACCAGCATGCGAGCAAAGATAGAAATCGAACTCAGTTGGATGGGTGATGCCAACATCAACCGTAGTTCCGGGAGGAATATTGAAAGCTTTTCCGACTTGGTCCTTTTTGTCAACAGCGAAGAGTCTTGTATGATGTCTCTTCTGAACAGCGATGAAAGTAATACCCGGTTGGTATCCTCTCTCGAGCATCATACAAGCTTCACGCATTGCACGAAGTTCGTATTGAAGAACCTGTTAAAAAACATTAATTAATAACTCTAGCGGTTTAATACTTACGTTAAAGAACTGTCCTTCCGACACACCATCGCGGTACACAACAATTCTAGTAGGTTTGAAGCGAGTATTGCGATAGAATTGCACAAGTAGTTCACGGACCATATAAGTGAGATCGTATATGATTTCTTGACGATGTTGTTGTACACGAACAGTCGCAGCATATCTTGAATATACAGCATGAATTATTTACTTAGTATTGCTTGATACCTGCTAGGATGTGCATCCATGCTTCCAACAACAGCAGCAATTGAGGGTTTACGAGAATCTCCAGCAGGAGGATGAGTGATGTCACAACCGAAGAAAATAACTGAAATTATCGAATTAACAGAAGCCACTAGATCAAATAATTACCAGGTTCGTTGAAAATGCGAGGACGCACTGCAGGTAGAAGAATGCTGTTAACACCACCTAATTTGACATTCATCTTCAAACACAAATTCGATAGAGTTTGAGGAGTAGTCTTGATAACATTCTTCGCTTGCACACATTGAGTGGCAATTCCCAGAACAGTGTCTCCAACTCTCTTTACTTCGGCTGAAATTGAGAAGATAGTTTAACCAAATCCTACTGAGTCGCTTTACCATAGACAGGTGTTTTTCCTGGTAGAACAACGACGACAAGTTGGATTCCTTGGAAGGTTTGCTTCAGATATTTGAACATAGGCTCTACTTGATCGACACCAACAGCATATCTGAAAACTTAAAGTTAGTCAAGTTCAGTGTTTCCGGTAACTCACTTGCAGAAACAGGGTTGGCCTATGATTGGCATTCCTGCGTCATTAGAAATACGCTGAAGCTGGGCTGTGAAATTTCTCAAATCATTTTCCTTCACGTGCTGTTGTTGAGCAAAGCAGGCAATAGCCCAGACTTTGACATCTATTCCAGTGTGGAACTGCTTTCCTCTCATATCCCACACTCCTTGATTCGGGAGAGCAGTTGCTTTAGTACGTCCTCCGTAGAGAAGCTTAGGAGCGGAAAGTACTCTTCCCTTGACTTCTGTCATAGCTGGGTTTATAGCGATTCCGAATTCATGAGCGAATGGATCAGCAGAAAATTCTGCCTTGCGAACGAGACTTGAAATTTCACGTTCACGTTCAGGAGCAGAGCGTGCTGTAGCTTTAATCATGGTCGATGTTTGGGTATCAGTCAATTTTTTAATGCATCTTTGACCGGCAACGATATGACAGACCTCAGGAGGAAGATATGTATGCTTTTGTTCTTGTCCAACCTCAAGAAAGTCATACAATTTAGTTAAAACTTTTAGTTACATACCTGTAAGCAAGGAAGGTGTGGGTATTTGAGCTGAATACGGTATTTATCATAGAAGTATTTGGCAACAGTGCACTCAATAGTTTGACCAGTTTCCAATTGAAGTGGGAATGTCTGAGTTTGAGCCGGTCTTCTGGTTACGTTACAGACACGGTATTTGCGTCTCATCTGCCCACAGTGGGTAATTTCAATTTTAAGACCTCGTATTTCCTAAAATAAGTTATTATAATGAAGTTTTCCTATGAAAAGCTCTCACCTTTGTGAATTTGACTCTTTGAGCATCAGACAGGGCTCGACGTTCAGTTAGTGCTTGTACAGGCAATTCAAGCACTTCGGCGATAAACTCAATAACAGGCATAGACCGATAGAAAGCAGTTGCAGATACTAAACAAGGATGATGAGTTAGAAACACAAAATATAATAAATACCGTCGATGTTGAGCATCATTTTCCATTGACTTGGACGGACAGACTGATGGAATCCGAACCAAACTTCACGTCCTCCACCAAGCTTACTTTCAGTGTGATATTGTCCATGAGGAGCAGATTGATGAGGACTCATTGGTGGTGAGAAGAACGATCTTCCCACTGGTGTGTATTTGAGAGATGGAAGATGTCTCAAAATGACATCCATAGCCTGAACAGCTTCGAAAGGAACTTGACGTACCCGTCCCTCCATCGCATCTTCCAAAGTTGAAAGAGATACCTTAACATATTATATTTAAAACATAAATGACTTATTCTGCTCACCTGACTACACCATTTAACAGATACAGTGAACTGTCTCTCAGCAGACGAATCTCCTGGTAAGGTGACCTCGAACTCTGTTTTTTCTCTACCAATAGGTAGAGGCTCACGAGTATACATATTACGTTTGCCATCATATACTGGCCTAATATTGTTGAAGAATTTTGAGAAAGACCGAATCATACACGCAATTATTTCTCTGTTAAATGAATAATTGAAAAACAGTCACGAAAGGATATATACCGATTCACACGACGAGGACACTTATCAGGCTGGACATCGACGGTATAGTGTTGAATCGTGCCGCCAGGGATTCTCACAGCGAAATGATTAGCTCTGAGCATGATGGCTCTTCCCTCAACACCATGATTTGGTCGGCGTGGGCACTGGAACTGAATTCCTCCAGAAGCAATTCTGAATAGATTGGATAGGTGTTGAATTTAATTTATAAAACATACGATGGTAATCCTCCTCCTTGAGCCTGATTAATGATGGTTTGCTGGCCAGCAGAAGAATCGCTACCATTTGGAGGAGCAATTGGGGCTCCAGGAGCAAGACTTCCTCCGCCTTGACGAGCAGGGGTATCAGAATAAGATTGAGAACCTCCTGAGCCACCACTAGCATTATTGGCCTGGTTAGAAGAGAAAATATCCTAAAAGTGTATTGTGAAACTAATGGTAGATTTTATGCGAGTCGAACCTGCATATGTTGTTGATTCTGATTTTGAAATTGAGAACCAGGTGGACCATTCATGAACTGTCCACCCATTGGCCCTCCTAAAATGCCAGGAATGAATTGCTGACCATTCAACATATTCGACGAATCTTGGAAGCTAAAGGATTCTGCAAGCAATCAATTGAGCGTTGTCCTATCTTCTGAGTATACTGACCTAGCATACTCAAGACTTGTTGCTGATCTATTCCGGCCGTCATTGCGAGCGGATAAAAGTTGATAACAAGACAAGATTGAAGCAACTACCAGTAGGGCAGTAGAGAAGGCACTGAATAGGCAAGATTAACTTTCGCTAATATGTCAAAATAGGCTTAGGTTGACATAGAACCTTGGGTACTCTCGACTAATAAAGCGCCAAAATCAAAAATCGTGTTTTTGTGAACAGCTTTCTTCCATCGGCATTAGAGGTCACACTTGGGGTCAAATATGCTTATTTTGGGAAAACTGACCTGAATTATTACAAAGACTGTGAGATCAATTTGTGATTAAGACTGAGTTACGTTCAATCTATGAAGAAAGCGACTAGCACGAGAACATAGCGGGGCTACGCCACTTCTGGAAATACAAAAATGATTCTACTTATTTTAACGTTTTTCATGTAATGAGAAGAGAATCAAATGTGGTGAAACACAGTTAGATGAGCAGAAGAGTAGAGAATAAATCTCTGAGAAATTGATTAATTTGCATATTCTACAGATGTTGCCGCCACAGCAGAGAAACTTATGACTTTGCGTGACTAAATATATATTTATCGATTGCTTTTTTGATTTTATTCAATGAAAATAAGAATAGAAGAGTTTAAAGCTTAGTAAACATCTACCAAATAAGAGAAACTGATTTGTAAAAGTTGCAAAACCATATATACATTGGTAACAAGACATCAAACGAACGAGTAAAAGGAGCAATACGCGACGCACTACCCTATGCGCGCGTACCACGCCGTGGCCGGTAGCAAGCAAGAGACAGGCGCTCGATAGTAAGACACACAGAGGAAAGAGAGATTATGCAAATAGAATAGAGTAGTTAGACAAGAAGAAGGATGAGACTTATGTTTGGATTGAAATAGAGAAAGAGAAAGAGAGCAAGGCCAGTCACTAGAGAGAAAGGAAGGACAACATCGAGGAGGATCGAGGCCGGTACCCTTCTTGCTACGTTCGCGCACAACACAAAACGTGGTAGGGGGGATCTGATATACAAAGGCAGAATAGTGAATGTGGGCGATCGTTGATGAAGCGAAGGGTAGAAGGGCAAAATAAAGGGCAAAAAATGTGTTTTCCTGCAATTTAGATCGTCAATAATAATGTATAACATAGAGAAGTTAGAAGGTGAAATGTTTATAAGATTGCTGAGACAAAAAACACTGTGAATGAAGAAACTTACTGATCCGCTTTTAGCCAAGTTTCCCAAGCAAAAATCATTTTTACACAAATCTGTTGTTTCTAAAGGACTACATGCATATCCACAGAAAGCTCACAGATTTAGCTAGTTTTCTATGAAATTGTCAAACTTTCGAAACCGTTGCAACTTTTAATCTTGTAGTAACTACAGAATAAGGGCGTATTCGGAAAATATGGTTATCGTCCTTAACACCGTAATTGATTAGAGAAATTGCTTAGATTCATAAAGAGGCATCAATGATAAATGGTCCCGACACGATTTGTGGAATGTGTAATTCTTACACACTGAATTACATGACTGAATTTTATACACCGCATAAGCTTTGCAACTATGACTTTATTCAATTTTTATCTATTTAATAAGGAAGGGGTTTGTGTGTTTTATAAAGAATGGAAAAGAGAAAAGCAATCTGGAATGCCCAAATCAGAGGTTTGTAATTAGTATTTATACAATGCATGTAGTGTTATTAATAGGAGTTCAAGTTAATGTTTGGTATGCTTTTATCCCTCAAATCATTTAGTGAAAGATTAACACCGCGAGATGGGTGTGTTTGATTAGTTTGTACAAGTGTTCAACTTTATACTTGCAGTAATCATACTGTAAAATTCTATCGAACATCCACATATAAAATGAACTTCCTGGAAACAACAACTGGTCTGAAAATGGTTTTGAATTCGGACCCCGGTGCAAACGGAATGCCTGAACTGATGCGACAAATTTACGAGGTTGTTGATCAGTGCTCAAACAAGTCATTCATATGTGTAACTTGAAGATATTCGTGGATACCGTAATGAAGAATCCATTAGTAGATACAACGAAAGTTTTAACAAGCGAATTATTCTCTTCCCGACTAGACGATATAGTCCTCAAACACGGAGCTTATGTGTAGTGTATGATCCTGCTCTTTCTGAGAAGATTAATGTAGAATGTCAAATTGAATAAATTTAAATTATTTCTGGCGTACTCTTAATTTCAACCATTGTAAATATTAGTATGGAACCAAACTTCGAAAAGCTTTATTTTTGTTGAAAAAAAATGTTTTAATCTTCTGATTTTTCTTGTGTACGAAAACATTCAGAAGATTTTCATTTGCTAACATAGTTAGGAATCTTCCAAAGCCAGCAAAGCTGTCAAGAAGCTAACATTCTTATCATTAGAGCTTTGCAATTTTCTGTTTCCTTTTAAAGCTGAGATCTGTGAACTAGCCCGATGGATCAGACAGTACTCTTGGAGTGATGTTAGTCCGAATATTTTAAGAGCCAGCAAAGGACTTATACGAGGATCAGTTATCACTTAACGACCTATTGCATGAGATTTTGGTAAATAAACGTCTTCTATTTCATAGCCATCTTGACATATTCTACAATTTTTCCTCTAAAGGCACTTTTTTCTATTCTGAACGATGTTATCTCCAAAACTATTGTTATAACAGTATTTTCAATAAGGAATATACATGTGACGAGCTGGGTAGAGGTAACTTGAATGGTATAGTGGTTCATGCTTTGTGGAGACAGCGAAGTTTATCTCGTTATCATTTGATATCAATGAAACAAATTCAGTTCTGTATTTTTTACTTTGTACTGTCGAACAATATATAAACAATTCTATTTGATACAATTATTCTAGATTGAGCAAAGTTTAAATATATATATATATATATCTATATATATTAGCAAATTATATATACTGTCGAAGAAATATCTATTTTTGATTGATAGATATTTGTATATATTACTGCATTGATGCATAAAACAAATATGCGTCGTGGGTATGCGAATAGATCGACTTGTTATGCCTACATATGGAAATACTTTCGGACGTCATTTTGCAGGAATGATTGGATTCGAGAAGTTTGCGTGTGAGAAGTACAGGACGCAACAAAATAAAGACAACACCTAGGTGAACACTAGTATACATTATATATATATATATATATATAATTCAGATACAGTAGAGCATTATTAAGTTATTAAACTCCCGTCGAGATTACTTTGGGGCTGATGATGAGGTAAATTAAGATAAAACACAACTTGTGCAGAGCTACAATTGATATGGCTCATGATCGGGGTTTCGTTATTGGAGATTCACATCTGGGCTTGCGGTTTCTTTTTAAGATTCCATCTTTTTTCAACGATAATGGTCGTTTTCGATTATTCTTGCGGTAATACAGATTGCAGGCACTGAAATGACTAAGTTTAGAAAAGCTTTTCAAGACTGTGTGAACGTACTTGCATTCTATTTCACCAACATGGTTCCTTCTCCATAAGGTCGTTTCTTTTGTTTTACAGTTTGCACATATGGAGTTCGAATGACACGGGACTGCCTAAAATTTTTTTTTCAAACATTTGTCTATTTAATTTTACAACTCACTGGAATCCGCTTTTTGGGTTTGATTTGTGGATCTTGAGGGGGTGGAGAATAATTCGGAGAAGATTGGCCAATTTCTGAATAGTAAGCTCGGCCGGTCGAAATGGTTTCGGTAGGAGAAGTTGAAGGAACAACTGGTTGTGTGATGAAATCGGAATAATAGGGTAAGTCGGAGATAAATTGAACCTATAACGATAATTTACGATGTTGGATTGTTGTGGAAAGGTATTACCTGATTAGAATCATATGTTATTTGAGCTGTTGTTGTATAAGCCAAATGGTTAAATTGGAAATCTGTCATGCTAGGTCTGAAAGTAGTATCTTTGATTAATGCTATCTTAGAAATTTCATAATTGTTAGCTTCCACGTTCTACTGACGAAGTTGGAATGCTCCCCAAAGAATACAGTCATTTTCAAGAGTGTTTACTTGAAGACCGGTTGCATTTCACTTTATTGAAATTTTTCACTCTCTCGTATGGTTTTTTCGTTTTATTCATTTCTCCACTCACCCATAGAAGTCGATCATACTGTCATGCATTGGTTGGTATTCGTCTGGATCAGTTTTAACTGTTTGATAAACCACAGTTGGATCTGAATTCGCAAAAGGATCATTTGAGCGAGAGATGCTTAGGAACTTACGATATGTAATAGGCTCTTCCTTTGGCTCCGTTTTCATCATAATCGACTGGATATCTGGTAGGTGGGCTGGGTTCAAATTACCCGGATGATAATACTCTGGAAAGAACAAATCAGTACTCAGGTATGAAATAAGCAAAGATCAATTTACTAGGAATATATCGAGACACTAGGTGCTTCATGTAGAAGGCTTCAAACTATTTTTCTCTACACATGGAGATGGTTCAAAATGAGTTTCAGAATTCATTCTTTGTTGTTTCTGCACGTATGTGTGTAGTGTGTTACAAATGTTTCATCTTTTCACTTCTAAGCTAGGAAGTGGGACCTTGAAAGAATGATTTCAACTTGGACATAGTCAAACAAAGTACAGCCGCGACTGCATTCACAAGAATCAAAACTATTTTTCGAACGATGGTATTGGATTGTGGAGATGGGCAATGAAGTGAAGTAATTGAAAAGAGAAACGTTATGTTTAATTTGTCTCTGATAATCAATCACAAGAATGGCAATCGACACTGCGGCCAGTCGCCTGTAGCATCGATCCGAGCTGACAAACTTGTATTGAAGGAAAAGAAGAAAGTGCCTGATTTGGACAGCGTATAGAATCAAAAAATGTTCAGAAGCTGATGTTAATGATGAATATAAAGATGACGCCGAGCAAAGGACAATTAGGAAGATTGCAAGAGGCGTAAATTGTGTTACAGAAGAGGCAAGGTGACGGGTGCAGCTTCTCAGCCTTGATATGAAGACGTTGCAGGAGAAAAAAATTAGGAGATTTAAAACAAAAGAGAAAAAGAGAGAGGTAATGAAAAAAGGAAAGATATAGTCAGAGAGAGAAAGAAAGGAAGATAAAAGAAACAATTTGGCATATAGGACAGAGCCCGGAAAGGTATTAGCACTATTTCATTTGATTATAGGAAGTCAGAGAAGAACCATACATTCCAGAAAGTAGAAAAGATATGAGATGTGAGAAAATGATTCAGAAAAATACGGAAATTCTGTAATCTTTAAGGATTAGGAGCTCAGTATCAATAAGAGAGAAAAAGGGAGGGATGGGGGAGGAAAGAAGAAATTCAATTATATAATTGAAAATTATAATAATACATAGCTCATCTCATTCATAATCACATGAGATGATCTGAAAACATTTATAAAATTTTCCTTTTGCTGATCTGAAATCTTTAGAGATCGGCTGACATGAAAAACAAAAAGATTAACATATCTTCAAAGCACTCTTTTTTCTCTTTTTTATTCTTGAAGAGATTTTTGTTTGAGCAAAATGAGAACTGTTTTAGTACGCGATCTCATAAGGACGACGCAGACGTCTAAAGTTACATCTGATGCGAAGAAAATGAAAAATAAAGTCAGGTGAAATGAGTCGATTGATAGAACATCATGGACAGGTTAATGCGACTATTTGATAATTAAAAAAATGAAAATTCTTTTTTTTTGAGATTTATGAAAAAGTGATGGACAACGAAAGGACATAGCCGTCGGTGTATATGTGGGTGTTGTGAAGTGAGATGACGTTTGAAGAATTGTGAGTTGGACATGTCTTCACGGTACAACGTCAATTTGGAGAAGAAGATTGAGCAAGGAGCTTGTTCATCCAACTATTTCGTTAGTTTTATAGGTTTGCTAACATCGTAAATAGTTGAAGAAATACAGACGTTATGGCAAATGCAACAAGCGCTATGTAAATAGCCTTCAAACCATATAGGGGTATGTTAGCTTTTAACTTCAGCCGGCAATTCAAAAATATGAAATGGAAGAAGAGTTTTATGGCGTAACATCCATTTCCATATACGTTCAAGATCAACCTTTTGGAATGTCTGCGGAGTTTAGTATTTTCAGATAGCTGGGTATCCAAAAAAAAAGTTATTTAAGCAAAAAAAATCATTATGATCATCATCTCCTTCGTTACCGAAGTTGAGACCACGTAGAAAACTGTTGATCAACTTTTTTCTTCTTTTCTTTCTTTTCTTCTTCTTCTTCTTCTTCACATTTATATGGAGAGAGGAACGGAAATTTATGGAAAAGGATTGTCAATGGACTAAACGAACAAAAATAAAAATTTTCTTGAGAACGATGATGAGCGAGAAGGGGGAGAAATCGAGAAGGGGCAACAGACGACTAAAAAGGAGACACTAGCCAAAGGAGATGATTAGAAACACTAAACGAACTAAATACCATATAGAATCAGGAGAGAGGGAGAGAGAAAAAAACAAAAAGAGAAGGAGACTGAAGACAGGTCGAATGATCCATCATCTAAGACCACAATGATGACGATGGCGATGCTAGTCAAGATGATGAAGACCTTGGAAGGAATAGCTCCATGCCTGCCTCGACTCGGAGCAGAAAATGCAATGTAAACTTTGCATGTGTGACGGAGTGTGAAACAAAAAAAAAGGAGAAGAAAGATTGAAAGGTTCATGCAGATTTGAATCACATCTCTTGAAGAGGGAAGACGGAAGAGAATAGAAAAATATGAATGAAGCCTTGAACAAGACAATTAAGTTGATCTGAGTATTTTGAAACTTTTCAGTTTTGATTTGAACTCATCACGTTTTCAGTTTTTTTTGGTTGACATTAGAAGTTGTGGAAGAATAACAATGTGGATGAAGCTACAATTAAGGTAAATTTAACGATTAAATGATTGTACAAGAAATAGAATGATGAAGTGAAAGAAAGAGAGAGAGAGAGAGAGAGAAGGAGAGAGAAAGTGTGTGAGATAGAGAGATAGAGAGAGAAAGAGTTAGAGAATGCGCAAATGGAGAGTATAGTTGAGAGGGAAATATTTCAAAAAAGGAAAAGAAATGAGTATAAAGAGATAGAGAGAGATAATGATATGTCGTAAATCTTTTCGTTATTCATCAAAACATTTCTCGTAAAAGTAGTTAGCCGATCGTTTAAGAATATAAAAATTATCAGACAAACTACCATATATGTTCAAGATCTTGACAAAGCTTAACAGATTGAAGATGACTATAAACAAGAAAACTAGTAAAGAGATAATTCTCAAATATGGTTTTCTCGTTGAAAAAGAAGACGAGGGGAAGAAAGAGAGAAAGAGGAAGGGAATACAAGAGAGGGGAAGAGCTGAAGAGAGGCAGAGAAAAGAGAAGAAACATTTTTCATTTGTCTGATAAGAAAAGAAAAAAAGGGTATGAGAAAGGCTGATTTGAACAAAAACGGCTCTTACAACAAGCTCTGATTAGTTGCGGCTACGGGGTCAGTCGTATGGACGATTGGCAAGATAAACTCAGAAAGAAAAACATGCGTCATAATATGATAAGGTTCGATGTATCACAGTGGGGGAAAAAGACGTACATAATACAAATTATAATAGGGGAAAGGAGATGATAGTAGCCATAGAAGGAATGATAGATAGATAGAGGAAGCAAGTGATGATCGTGACCATCACCCGCAATGAATGCGGGTAACATGTGCTGCAGATACAAATTAGTGAGAAAGAGAGAGAGAGAGAGCGAGAGAATAGAGAGAGAGAGAGAAACAGAGAGGCCTCTGATAGTCTTGATCACGTAGACCTCTCATCATGTTACAATTTGCAATCTATTCGTCTCCTCTCCCTTCTTCTCCTCTATCGTCGTTCATAACGTCAAGTCGTTGTCATTTCCAACGTCTTATTCTTATTCCTCTATATAGATGGAATATAGACAGAAAGAAAAAGGAAGAAAATATAGGAAATAGAAAGATAAAGCGAATGAGAGAGTGAGAGAGAAAAGGTAAAAGAAATTTTCATGCAAGCGAAGCATGGACCACATACCATCGTCCTCTCTGCGTACATCAGACGAGAAAAACTGAGACCGAGACAGATTAAAAAGAAGCTACAACTAGAGAGAGAAGAAACAAAAGAAAGAAGAAGGGAAATGGAACGAGACAGATGACCATGAAGGTGATGAATACTTGTAGAAGTCTGTTGTCTCCAGATGAAGAAGACGACGAAGAAATAAGGAGAAGAAGAAGACGACGACGACGCCAACAATGTCTTCGCCTCTTTTGGGGTGTAATAGGCGAACCAATACTTGGAAGCCAATTTTGATCAAAAATTTTTAATCGGTTGATCGTAACATGTGATTCAAGAAACTTGTATCATATCCTTCAGTAGACGGCTCCGTAAATCTTTCAGAGCAATTGCATAAGAAGAACATAACGAAGGCATGACTGTCTAGCGTCTCTCACATTGATATCGAAATGAACGTAATTGAAGACGATAAAGGTATAAATATTATATCCAGAAATCGATCTACCGGAACATGTGCATGTACGGAAATCTGAAGTCGTCCGATCGTCAACGACAAAACTTTTCTCCCCAAACGAAGAGCGAGGGGAGAAGAGACGGGGTGAAGGTGAAAAAAAATCGAAAATTAGCGAAAAATGAATGATGAGCTCATGTGGAAGAAGGGAGAAAATGAATAAAAACGGAGACGCAATCTGTTAATCGGCTTGACCGAGAGAAAACCGTCATTCAGAGTTGTAACATTTGATATAATTGTCTTTTTTTAGCTTAACAAAGAGAAGGTGGTAACGAGACAACGTGAATGATGAAAACCCATATACAACCAAGTCTTCATTGAATTGACAAGTTGGTTAAAGGTCTGAGAGAATGAAAAAACGGAAGAGATCATCAAAACTATTACAATGATTGGCGACAGAAGAAGATGAAGAAGAAGATGATGATGATGGTGACGGAGAAGATGGAGAAGAAGAAGAAGAAGAAGACGGGGTAAGAAGAAGTCGACCTTTTGTGAAAACGTCCAACTCAAAGAAAGTGAACTGATAATTCTATAAAAGGACAAATGCTTCTCAAGTTCAATTTTTCTTTTTTTTTCTTCATCCCTATCTCTGTCTTCATACCGCTCGATATTCCATATTCTAAGTGCTCTCGCTCATCTCCTCTCACCGTCATCAAGCAGAATCTATAGTATGCTAAGATTTTGAAAAACTCATTTGCGTCACGAAAATTTCAAACTTTTCTTTTCTTTCAAAGCTCCAAAGACGTAAGAGATAACTATTTCGAATAAGCTATGCAGGGAATGTTACCTAGCCAAAGAGAGAGAGAGAATATTTGAGAGAAATTGAGAAGAGCTCAAGAAAATCGTTTAGTAAATCTGGTTTTTGAGAGAAGAGAATGAAAACAAAGCTTGATGCTCACTTCTTATATTTTATAACCGAGGATGTTTTTCTAAGATATGAAGGATGGGAAAAAATTTATGACAAACCTGGCTGATTCTCATTTATTTGTTGTTGCGCCGTTGGAGTTGAAGCTGTAGCCGAAATAGAAGAAGGAGGAGGAGACCATTGGCTCATTGGAATTGACTGGTATTGGTGAGATGGCATCTGATTCCATTCGAGATCGGCTGACATCATTCTTGAAAAAAAATATGTACCTGACTGAGATGATGATAAAGCGGAAGAATCAGAATAGAGGTCAGAAGCAGGTAATGATTGTAATCAATATATGTGCTTACATGACAGAGAACGAGCATGAGGTTGGAGATGAAGAGAGGGAGAGAGATATATACAGTTGATAATAGGTAATGGGTGTAGAAAGGTCTGAGTATAAGCATTTGAATTTCAGTATAAAAAATAAAAGAAGACAAATGCTATGTGCTGTAAGTATGAAAAGGAAAACATAACCGTACAAACGCTCTTCTAATCCTAATAAAACAGTAGAAAATTCAATCGATGCCAATAAACTATTAGGCAAAACATCAAAATTGTGCAGAAAGAAAAGCTTTTTTACTTTAAAGAGAAGAGAACGACAAAATAAAGAAAATTAGATGGTTAGATATATGAAAATAACATATAAAAATGAGAGGATTATATGTCAAACAGACTGAAATACACAAGTTGATGATAAGAGAGAAAAGCCACGGTAAAATTATGTTCCATCTAAATAAGGAAAAGCAATTGTAAGATGATCATGCATAACCTTCTATAAAAGAATTTTCTACCTCCATTACTCTCTCTTCATCCTTCTTTTCTTTCTCTTCTTTTTTTTTGGTGTTTCCCTCCTTTTCTCTATTTCACATTCCCTCTATTTCATTATATCTTTCACTCCTATCACTGATTTGAGTCTTTCTTTCTCTCTCTATCGCTCTCTTTCTCTCCTTCTCTCTTTGTGTTATGGATAGTTCTAAATACGTTCCAAACTGAACAAATGAAATGAAATATTAAAGATTTCTAATCTAGCACTCGTCTACAGATAATATTCATATACGACAAAGAGCTTACTTCGTTACTCGACCTCTAATTCAGCCTATAACTCATAATCATCTCAATGACCGTATGATAATCAATCGGCGATTTGGCATATGCAATGCTCATCTTACAAACAAGGAATCAATAGCAAAATCATACAGAACCTATTTAAATTCGTTGAAAAAGCCAAGCATGGAAAAAGAAGATAAGCATCTGATGAAACTCTCCACTCCTGGATGTTTTTAGTTGAACTGATAAGAAACTTCAAAGACTCATTTGAACCAATGTTCAAGCTAGTTCCAGCTATCGGAACACGCCGCTTCACTTGCTATTTGAGCTTCATAAACTCAAATGATCTTAAATGTAGAAGGAAGAAGAATGAGACAAGAACTACGAAGAATAAAACGGTTCGATAAGGAACATACTAAAGTGTTGCGACAGAGGAGCACAAGCAAGCAGTTCTCCACACATTCTGAATAAACAAGTAGACCAATCAAAGTATAAAAGAGTTGACCAAAAAGGAGAAAAGTCAGAGGTCAGTTCTATCTTATCAATGTCTGATGCTGCCTCAAAGTTGTCAAGATAATGTAAGCCTCGGTCATTCATCAGCATACAGAATGCTTAAAGCAAAGCAAAGTGAACGCTAGAAGAAGAATCACCTGAT